AAAACCTGACCCTATAATCTTTTGAGATTTATTGAGATCATAATGCAAATTGGGCAATGTTGAAACAACCTCTTTACTAGTTTATCTGAAGCTCACATTTTTATTGACTCTCTGTCTGAATATGTATTATATCTTGATCAGGTATGAATGGTGGTTTTGTATAATATGAAAATATTTAGACATGTTTTTTTTTATCCGAATGTTGACTCAGATACGTCACCTGTAATCTGCTGTTACCTGCCAAATAAAAATATAGAAAATTATTTTAAAATGTTTTTGTCAATATATAAGAGGTTTCACTTAGAAAATCACTTTTGATTGAAAATTTATTTGACATTTACCTAAGATTTTGTAAAATGAATCAAGAGAAGACGTCTTAGTAGCTATTATTAGTTGCATTTGAATGGTTGAGTAGCCTTGTAGCTATTGTCAGAACAGTTGTTCCTAAACTTGTAACAAACATAACAATTTTTCAACCTGAATCATATGTGTTAAATGATTACTTTATTTCTGTATAGGAGATCTAAGAACATGTGTAACCTTCCATTTGCCAAACTGAAACTGTGTAAATGAATTGGAAAATAACTAAAAAAGGTATTTTTTCATGCATCATTATTTTCTCATTTACAGTGTCAAAAATATAAAATATACAAAAATAGACCAATAGCTCTATTGGGGGTAGGGGTCTTAAAATGAATAGGAGGGAAAAGAGAAAATTGGCCTTTCACCATAGTCTTGCATCAAGCCTCTGTTACCCTCCCCTTGCCCATTTCACAATGAGTACCAGATCACAAGAAAACTGTTCTTGTATAAGAGGACCAGGGGTATACCATTACACATGTAGTGATTGAGCAAAGTCACTGGTCTTATCATCACACCCTGTTGGGGGTACCTTGAAATACCAGATAGATTCTGCAGTGGTGCATAGAAAGGGAGGGGGTAATAAAATACCTACTGTGCTTGACCACAGAGATAGGAAAACAAAGTCACTGGTCTAATCATCACACCCTGTTGGGGGTGCAAGCAATATAGCAACTGTTCTGACACCATCAGAGGCTGTACTCATTATCATTATGTAATCTAGAATGTGATGATCTGCAGCCGCACTTACAATTATAACAGTTAATTAACTGTTGAGCAATATGATTTGTCAGGGTAATTGAATATTACATCATTGTTAAGTTAGATGCAAGAGCCAGAAATGAGATGGTTCCATCTAATCTATTCCATCAATGGATTCTACTGAAATAACAAAATTATCGGTGATTTATCATCATTTCACGATTTTATTTGGAAATAATTATTTTGCCAAATTGCTCAAGAGTTGTCAGATTGTGTCTGCTAGTTTGAGCAAATATTGGAGAGATATTTTTTCATTATATGAATGTTGTTGTTAGGTTAGGATAGAAATAACTCATACGTCAGACATAACAATCACTCATCTTTCCATTATATTATACTCTCCTCGTCTCCATGGTAGGAGTTGTCTATTTTAGCATGGTGTCTATATCAGTCTGAGTATATGCCTCACAAAGTAGTCATCAAATGCACAGCTACGGCTATCAAGCTTCTTTCTTCTTGAGATCATCCTCAAATGCAGGGCTCCAGACATCTTCCCTCTTCCAGAGGTGCGAGTTTGGAGGCCTGTGTTTGGAGGATGTCTTTAAGTTCAACTTGCTCAACAAAGTGATGAGGCAGTAGCCTGAATATACCCATCTATATTTTGGATGATCTTAACAATCTTCAATGCAGCTTTCATGGCCTTTTTGGGAATTTGAATATCAAATGCATGTTATCAACTCGTAGGCTGAACATGCAATGTCATGAATTCTGACTTGGTACTTAATACAAGTATGATAGGCCATTCTGATACTCACAGCATCTTTTTGTTTTACCAGAAAAAGGCTGAGAAGAACTGAGATGTCATGGTTTATCATCATGGGGATATGGTAGATCAAGATTAATCTCACCTACACACACACTTTCTTGACAAGAGAAGTTTTGCAATGGTATGCAAGCCTTGTCTCTGATGAGCCTGTGAAGACATGTTCAATCCCCAGGGTTCATTTACTTCCATACCTTCTTTTACTATTTTTAAGTATCAAAATGCATCTTTTTTAAGGTTGAACTTTTGGTGAACTAAAACATAGAATTAGCATGGATTATATCAAGCATGTTGTATCAATTTCTGATAACCTTATTTCAATAGATCATGCTTGCCTCTACCAACAAAGGAGGCATTGAATATTATTCAGATGCACCCGAAAAACTTTCTTCCGAGTTGCCGTGGTAACCTTTATAAAGTTATCTTAACAAGAAATCCCCTGTCAAGTAGCATGTTAAGATATGTATACCTCTAGAGGTACACTTCACTTACCAGAGCTTCAAAACAAGATTATCTCAAGCTCTTATCCCATCATTTCCTGGACATTTATCTTATAATCCTGTACATGATTGGTCAAGATTGGTCACATGATAGGGATTTTTGCTTTATGTGGTCTATTTTGTATGGTTTTATCTATATTTTCCAGCTCTTCAGATTGACCTTAATTTCTGAAATAAATCAAACTGGAAGGAATTCCTAATCTTAAAGTCTTGTGTTGTTTTAAGAGATATATGTCCCAGGTTGATTTACTGTTAAGTACACGTCATTTGTTAGAGAAATTTTGGTCGAGTTTTTCAATTTGATCTATCAAGATGCAGTTTTTCATATGACTGAAACATAGTATAGAATGCAGAAGGTTCTGCATCTTTGCAATCACGTAAAATAATGCTGTGCAGTTTATTAGTTGTGGTTGGAGCATGGCCCATGTCAAAACTTATTACTAACCTTACTAAATTATTAAACTAACTTTCATATAATATGTTATATCAATGAATATGGGCGTACAAATATATTTTTAAGTACTGTACATATTTTGATCTCACTATGCTCTCATACACTAATCATTTTCATCAAAATTACAGTAACAGTTTTATGCTGGTGAAAGTTCAAGTATTACCGGCACTTTAAACCTGCATACCATTGATGTGTACACTAAGTCACAAACAGAAATATAGAGTTTTCAGTTTGAATTTCCCAGAATGTGATTCTAACTATAAAGAACCTCAATCTTGAGGTATTTTCTATTAATAATTTATAAAATGCTGACTCAGGGGTTCTTATCATCACAGACTGTTGCCAAGCATAACTTACACCCAGATTTATTATGAATTTGGTACGTGGGAGTATATCACATTCTGACTTAATCTCTTTTTTATAAGAGGTCAAATGTCTATAAATCACTTTAAATCGCACACATGCAAACATTTTCTTTAGACCAAAGTTCATTTATGTTATGGGCAATATATTATGGGGAATCATAATTTTCTAAGTGTATCATAAGATCTTGCTGTTTGTTAGGGTTTAATATGGATGTGATATTATTTGAATGAATGTGCTACTCTGAGGTAATAAAAATATAATGCAGTATATGTGTGGGGTACTGTTTGTTGTATGTGTGATATGAATGCTTATATTAAGTTATATCAGGTGAAGGTAGGCTGGATTCATGCCTTGAATAATTTACTCTGGCAAAAAATACCAGATTTTATTTGTCCAGTCCAATTAAAGAAAACTGTTCTCAAATACCTTTGTAAACTTCTTTTAAAACCAGGTCTTTTCATAATATTGTATGACATAGTATTGTATTATCCCATTTCATGAACTCGTGTTGTTCTTTAGTCTGTAAAACGTCAATAGAAAAACCAGATTAATACAAATAGTATAATTATGAATAATACTGTAATCCCATCGAACGAAGTTCGGAGGGATATAGGGAACGCCTCCGTCCGTCCGTCCGTCCGTCCGTACGTACGTACGTCCGTCCGTCCGTCCGTCCGTCCGTCTGTCCGTCCGTCCGGGCAATAACTCAAATACCGTTGGCCTGATTTTGTTCATATTTTGTACACATATACCCTATTGGGGTAGAAGTTCTGCTCGAAAGCCGATTTTCAAAATGGCCACTCATTTCAAAATGGCGGCCATTTTAGTGACGATTTTACAGTAATTTAGGTGCAATATGTAAAACTGTAACAGCAATATGTTTTAAATGTAAAAAAATTATAAAGGACATTAATAATGCTACAAATGTAGATATTAAAGAAGCTCATGGCAGCCATCTTGAAAAATGGCGGCCTTTACTCGTCATTTTACGATTTTTGCTGTAACTCAAAAAGTAGTGGAGCGATTTTGTTCATATTTGGTATGTGAATACTATAAGCATTGCACACTGTCTAAAGACACTTTTGGTAGAAGGCGGCCATTTTTCAAAATGGCCACCATTTTAACGTATTTTACTATAACTGAAAAAGTAGTGGAGCGATTTTGTTCATATTTGGTATGTGAATACTATAAGCATGGCACACTGTCCTATGACACTTTTGGTAGAAGGCGGCCATTTTGAAAAAAAATTTGAAAAATGGCCGCCATTTTAACATATTTTACTATAACTCGAAAAGTAGCGGAGCGATTTTGTTCATATTTGGTATGGGAATACTATAAGCACGGCACACTGTCCTATGACACTTTTGGTAGAAGGCGGCCATTTTGAAAACAATTTTGAAAAATGGCCGCCATTTTAACGTATTTAACTATAACTGGAAAAGTAGTGGAGCGATTTTGTTCATATTTGATATGTGAATACTTTAAGCATGGCACATTGTCTAATAAAACTTTAGAGAGTAGTCGGCCATTTTGAAACATGGCCACCATTTTTATGTGTGTTATTTTACAAGTACGTGTGCGATTTTACAAGAGGTGGCTACTTAAAAGCATATTATTTCTTCTGATGACAACTTGGCTAGTGAGCAACCATTTTGAAAATGGTGGCCTTTCTGGCTTGTTGTTTTATGATATTTGCGCTTCGTTTGTAAAAATGCCAGCTATTTCTGTTCGATGGGATTCGCTACGCTTTGGCGTTGCCGTTGTTCTGGTTAAAACTGTATGTATTCCCTTTCAGACAGTACAGATATTGTAGACCACAAACTGAAGCTTATCCTGGGTCTGATCTGGACCCTCATTCTTCACTATTCCATCTCTATGCCAATGTGGGAGGGTGAGGAAGAACCAACCGAACCCAAAGATAAACAAACTCCCAAACAGAAACTACTTCAATGGATTAACCAAAAGATTCCTGATAGACCAGTTAAGAACTTTACTACAGATTGGAATGATGGCAAAGCTATCGGTGCCCTCGTTGATGCAATTGCACCAGGTGAGTCATGACACACCCAAAATAATTTACTCGTAAGATTTTGGTTTGTGACATAGAGTGTGAAATACTTCCATGAAATTGAAGTATTTTTGTATTTTCCTAAATGACTTTGAAATCTCATTGAAGTCTTGTTTTAATGAGGTATTAGGAGAACCCCATTAAACCATTAAGAACTTCAATTTCCCTTCAATCTTGTAACATATTTTAATCCTGTGTATGTATTCTTCTCAGAAAACTGTAATTTACAGTTATTTTCTTATGTTCAATTTTCCTGAAATTTTTTAATTTTGTGAAAATGTTAGGCTAAATTACAGTAATTGTTAAAGCTCATAGTCTAATAACTATTTCAAGGATCATAATCTGCAGGGTTCGCGATGGTGTCCAATAATAACATACACTATTTGGATGTAACATCAGTCCATTTTTGCATCAACTTAAATTATGTCTTTCCTGGCATTCATGGTAATGATGAACTTTTCAAAAGGCCATAGTGCCTTAGATTAGAAACCTTTATGACGTCCTGGGGGAAGATTCAGGTATAATTAGTTATCTTTATGTCACCGCAACCTCAGTTAGTCTGAAGCTTTTTTAATTGTGCATCTCTACCTCTGAACCAACAATGTTTTTGCATCTGTTCTTAAAGCAATTGGAAGATTGACTTACCTTCCCCTTCTCGTCATACTTAAGTTGCTGGATTTAGACAGCTTACATGGAAAATAAGTGGCAAAGGGGGTTTTTAATCCCAGGGTTCAACTGATAAATGAGTTGGAGCCACGCCTAATTGTTTCAAGTTGTATTTTGGTTTTCTTTATTGTAATTAACATAATGAGAATATTTGCCTGCTATGAGACTATATAAGAGTCTAGTCATAGATTTGAATAAGTTGACTTTGGAGAACCAAACCAGTTTTTCAACCCATAGAAAATTTGATTTATATTCTAAAGAAAGATCAGCTGATAACTTGGATTGCTAATATTGTTTGTTGGGTTTCGTGTTTGTATATTTTCTGAGTTAGTAGTATTGCCCTTTATGCAGGGTGAGACATGAGCACCAGCCCTAGGGCCAATTGTTGCCCAGCAAAAATAAAAAATGAGATAAAACTGGAACGATACAGTTTTTTTCCTGTAGTTAGTAAATCCTTATGATGTAACCTGACCAAAATAGCTAAATCAATCAGTGATCCCTACTTATGTTTATTTGTTACCTGTCAATAATAAGTTATAAATAGAAGCTCATATACATCAAGATTGTGAAAACTGTTCTATATGTCATTTTAAACCTCTGTTAAAATACAGTAAAACCTTTTTATATTGAACACTTTTTGCTGAGAGAAAAGTTAGTGTTCATAAGTGTTCAGTGTTCACTACAGAGAGGGTAATTTATACAGAAGTCAATAGAGCATGTGTGAAGGAAGGGTGTCTATAAGAGACAGGTGTTCACTAGAGATAGGTGTTCACTAAGACAGGTTTTACTGTAACTAGATAAACACGTACATGTTTATTGATGTTATATTTCAAAATCTTAATGTTTGTGCCAATGTTTCAGGTTTGTGTCCTGATTGGGATGACTGGGATCCCAAGAAGGCCAAGAATAATGCTAAAGAAGCTATGGATGCTGCTGAACAATGGCTGGATGTACCCCAGGTAGGCATAGCAACAAAAAATGCAACCTCTCATGTTGTCATAGCAACCATTGTAACTGATGGTATAAGGAAGTCAGTGAGAAAGATCCATTTTCGTTGCTTTCAGTACGTGTTTCAGGATATCGTTCTTAATATTTTCATGTATTTGAAGCTCAATATTACCAAAATGGGACATATGTTTATTTATGTTTGTGTCTAGGTTACAAAAGATGCTAGAATTATATGATTATTTATTGACTGTAATATCATCCTGCAGATTTCAGGTAGTTTGACATTTAGAGAGCACTACCAGAGTGTTGTGCTATGCACCATTTACACGCCACATATCACGCCACAGAATCTACACGTTTTCTCACTTAAAACCACATAGGGCAAAATCTGGAAGAAATGAATTTTGGGTGATTCATTCATTTCATTTATTTGGTCTAATTAACTTACCTCTGTAACTGTCAGTAAAAGTTGAACTGTTCATCATTTAGTTTTAAAGGTTAAATGCTCTGGGCCTGATTCTCAAAAACATTGTAGATTACGATTCTTGTATTTCAATGTTTCATAATGTTACTATGGTAATAGTCTGAAACTGAATTTCGCTAATCATAATTCAAAATATTTTTGAAAAAAGAGCCCCTGGTTTATATTTGGCAAATATTGCACCAAGCCCAAATATACCTCTCCCCATGACATACACGCCTTCTATCCTTTCATTTGACTTAGGAGGTCTGTTTAAGAAGACTGGGGGGGGGGACCAGTGACTTGATACAAGACTTGCTACTACTACAGACACATTATTTTGACATGGTTCACATTTTGAATTACATGTGTTAATAGGGGTGAAGAAAGTTAGGGTTGGCCTAATCATATTTTCACTTGTATTTTGTTTTCCATCACTGATTTATGGTTATATGTCATGTCTGACATTTACCAATTCCTAGCAAATAGCAGACAGATATAACAGCATTAGGAAACCTTCTACCTTCCAGTTATCTCACCCAGTGAAATATTTTCCTTCCATATATTAGAAGTTGATCTACATTTTATAAATCCAATTTTGATTTCAATCCAAAATTTGGACATGACATCACGTCATGTGGGCATGGCAACAGATCATAGGACATTGTCCTATTTATTCTTTTCATGATATTCTAGAGAGGAAAAATCAAGTTTTTGTTTTTGTTTTTTCTGATGGATAGGCTATTTTGGTTATTGAAACAGATGCATATACATGTAATAATCTGTAATACATAATTTTTGCTAAATATGTTATAAGATGTTGCGACCAATGTTACCCATAATCATTTGTAACCTTTGGTGAATGGTTGTCAAGAGAGGTATTGAGCTCCCAAGTAATATGTCTACCCTTTCAACACAGGAGGCATATTTTCATCTGAAAATTGAATGACCACTCTGATACCCATCCTATTGATGGCATGGTTTATCATGTGGATTCATAATTTGATGAATTCTGACTTGCTCTGTGGTGATCAAAAATTGATGTACATTAATGGTACATTGATGGTACCTTGGCACATGGGGCCTGTTTGAGACTTAGGATTTGGAGATAAATGCTGAGAATTTCATGTTGACATTATGAGGAGATGAGATTAAAGTAGGTAGAGGTTTGTTTGACTTTGACAGTGTGTCTAGCCCAGCTGTTCTCTATAGAGGATCATCATTCCATTTATCCCCTAACCACATCTTAGATGTTGCAATTTTGTGGCACTCATCACCAAACCACAAAACTTTTTCTGTTCCTGTGCGTGCACAGATAATTGCCTACTCCTGATCTCACGCTTCCTGTGATCAGCCGTCTCTGGTTTCCTTCATGTTTTCATACCAGAAAGTGTGGTTTGTGTAGCAGTATTCAGACAGTTTACTTGACAGTTTTATCAGTGGTGTTGCCATATAAGGCAGTGGTCTGCCCTAAACCTGGTCCTGTTTCAATGTTTTGAAATTCTACAAATCTGATTCACAATCTGTTGTTGAATTAATTGAGTCCCCCAGAGTTCAATATTTTGGCACCGATCTGTATTAGTTTCATTTGCTGCCAGATTATGGGGTGCATGTTGGGCCGAATGGCATACCTCTATTTAGATTGTATGGTGCATGTTGGGTCAATTCACACACCTCTGTCTAATTGAACTAAGGGCATTCTTGGTGCTGCATGACCCTAGTATTGTTTATGCAAAAGTCTGAAGGCCAGAACCAATTTGTGTTTGCTGGAAGAATAACAACACAAGATGTTGAAGGATAATAGCTGTAAATTCAAGCCTTATACAAAACCTTCAGCTAAACACAGGGGTCAGATACCTTTCTTGGAAATAGGCTTACAGGCAAAGGATTGTAAACAGAAAAGCTGAAAACATGAATGTCAGTCATGCTAAAGGTAATTTTGCTTTCCCAGAGATGGTTCCATGGTTCCTTGCCTAAATGACCAGTCCCAATCGCTGCTTTCCACTGCACTGGGTCTAGAGGTAGTAACAACTGAAACCTTAAGATGCCCCTGGTGCTGTTCCCCTACTTCCCATTGCCCAGCCCTGTGAGTTGTTTACCACTTATGTACAGTTAAATTGTTTCATTTTTGATTCAGATGTTTTGAATAGTTGCCAGCATTTGCGGCTTATGTATCTTTAACATGTCATACACTTGACTTTAATAGGCATAGTATGACCTTAAACATTCCATTCATCAGCCAGACTAGAACTATAGTCTCTACAATTTGCTTTTTACTGTGTGCATATTTACATACAATCAAGTTGAGAATGATACTATTATTAATCATCTTCATGGGTTGAACACTTGTTTTTAAAGTTTCAAGTCAAAGTGCCCAGACTTAATGGTATAATTACCAGTTCTTGGCAACCAGTTCTGTGTATCTATGTGTTTTGTGGTTATGAAGTTGCAATTAAATGCAAGTTGGTCCCATCGTTCAGTTAGAATATCACTTTTCCATATTTCCGATCTATTATCTCTCGAAATTTAGTTTTTGTTTGTCTTGGAAAGTTCAATATGCCTATTTCATCCAAGAATTTCATATTTTGGTAACAAGTTGGCAAAAATACACAAAATCTTTAAATAACACTTTCTGATTAATCTTAAAAGCATTCTTATCTATATTTACAACTGTATAATCAAGATTCAGAAGGGTAGTTGTTGGTCAATGAATCATGAAATATGTTCTAGAACTGTTTGAATGATTCAGAGAAAATAGTTCTTTGCCCTGGAAGGAAACTGAAATGTAGTTTTTTTTCAATAGCCTTCCCTCCCAATCAAATTAAAGGGCCCATAGTATGTTTCATCAAAGGGGGTGATCATCACCCATAATGCATTATTCCTTTTAAATACCTGGAGGTACGCCACCAGTGATCAGCCTCCTGTAGGGTTGGCTCTAGATAACTTGAGGTTTTATGATTGCTTACAAATAACTCTAATGCAAGATAAGCCGGGGATAAATATATTACTTCAGGTATTTTAGGCAATATGCACTCGGCTTTTTCTGACAGGTTGGCCAACTGGTGAATTACTTGTGAACTTTCCGCAACCATTTGTACAGTGTTTAGGTTAATAGCATACGTAATACATAGAAGTGGAGCAGAAGGAAGATGTAGACAGGGAATGTTGATTATAACGCCCTCTTTGTTTCTTCAATGATGTTGTTCCAGGGTTGGAAAATCAACACAAGTACGAGTATTCTCCATTCACTCTTCTTAGTTTACATGCATATCTTTTATATATCATTACTGTCTCATCCCAATCCAATGAATTTATAAAACATATGTGAAGATGACATCAGACAAAAATAATGTAATAATGTATGTTTTATTGGTTCACATAATTCACAAAAAGAACAAACAACACAATCATGACATGATACTCAGATAACTCAGATTTAAAATGCCACAGGTTAGAGACACTGTAGATAAGGATTACAGAAAACATAGCCCAACCACCACCACTGTATACTTTAATAACACACAACCTTTCAAATAAAGCACAAAACAACTGTATTTTGTCATTAAATGAATGTACATATGAAAATCAAATACGTGTAATTTAAAGGAGTTTCTTCAGGTATTAATATTGGCTTCATCTTTAAATATTATTTTTTCAAATGTCTTTCCTATTTGATCTATTATGAAAAAGTTACCTTGACATTCTATACAAAGGTGAATCAAAGGTAACTGAATATAAGAACAATTAAGAGATCTTCAACATACAGCAGAGCTCTTTGAAGTAGAGATAGTCTAGTGTTGTCAGACAACAAGAAATAGTCTACAGACATCAATACTTCAACATAATGATTTATAGCGTGATTGCCATAACAAACTCATATAATTTCAATCATTAAATGTATCAGAGTCTAGGAATTTTCATTCAGATACTGAGACAATTTCTGCATTGTTGAGAATGTACTCTTTGGGGACTTGTAGAAAATGGGGAGAGGGGGGTCTCATGAGGAATTTTATTCTCAGTCAAATTGTTCAAATATATTCAATGTTTCCACTGTCTTGTCTTTAGTGAAATAAATGTGACGCTTCCTATAGGTACATATGTTATATTTTGCGAAGGCTGAGCTATATTATTAATTTATTTATAGGGTTATATAGATTCACTGAAATTATTGAAGGCTTGAAACAGCTCCCAACATGTGTCCTGAATAGCTCTTCCATTCCATCTTCGTTGTCTTCAATAATTTCATAGTGAACTATTTGTCATAATTTTTCTTTTATTTCAGTAGTTTTAGCAAGCAAGGTTTTTCATCTTGTTTATGCATGTTTTATAGTCAAATCTTTGACAGAATACTACAACAAAGATTTGTGCCATAAAAAAGATGAAATTATGATTAATTTATGATAATGATATATAATTTAATCATAGATTTCATTTTTATCATTTAGGTCATTACTATGTAAAGTTATGCACTTGGTATATTTTGAATTATTAAAAACAATTCTAATGATTCTCAACTTAGACATTGTCAAATCTTTTAACCCCCCCCCCCTACCATCTTGTTTTGAGGGAGAATGTAATATGGGAACCCAGAGGTTTGATGCACGACTGAGATTGAACTCATTTAGCCAAGGGCATAACTATGCATACTATATACAAGCACGTTATATATATTTCAACATTTTGTGTGTCATTTTTAGCTGATCAAACCTGTTGAAATGTGCAACCCAAAGGTTGATGATCTCAGTATGATGACATACCTGTCCCAGTTCCCCAAGGCAAAGTTAAAGCCTGGGGCACCTTTGAGACCCAAAACCAATATAGCCAGGGTCAAAGCATATGGCCCAGGTAGGACCTTTAAGAGACAGTGGTGACATCTTTGAATGGAACTTATTTGTTGCATCACTAATTTATGTTTTGGCTTTAGGGGTTTATGTTCTGTTATCTGTTGCCTGTTCACCATTATGGAATGTTCATATGTTCATGTATTCATTTTTTGCTTATAGACAGTCATGTCCATATAAGGAAGCATGTTACAGTTCACTTGTTTATGTGTATGCTTTGCTTTGTTTTCTTTTTAATAAGAGCATAGTACTGTTACTGTATGTATGTGTTTGTTACAGTTATGTTACAAGAAATCCCCATATTCACCGGCATTTGATCTATCATGATCAGGCTTATTATGTCACCACCACAAGTTGTGACATATTGTTATGGTCACCAACTTTTTGTGGACACTGTTCGGCAGTTGGTGTTTGGCAGTCAGCATTCTGCAGTCAGCATCTGTATCAAATGGCAGGTGGTGACATTTTGCATGTTAATGCCTCATTTTATTCCTTGTTAGCGGTACATAAACATTATTTAATTTTAAACCAGTTGACATACCTACATACATGCTCACACTGTTATATTATAGCTTATTAAACCTGAAGAGATGGTCAACCCAAAAGTGGACGACTTGAGCATGATGACGTATTTATCGCAGTACCCTCAAGCCAAGCTGAAACCCGGGGCACCATTAAGACCCCGCACTAACCCTAATAGAGCTCATGCTTATGGTCCAGGTACTTGTGCCTCAATCTACGGAGGCTAGATAGGGAGACACGGCTTTCTGATTTTGCTCCTATGTTTCTCTCGAAGGGTTAACATCTATAATTCTGATCCTAAATTACTCTAAGATATTTTAATTTAACTCCAATAGACTTTGAAGTGAACCCCTTTTTCTGGGATTATTAAAACTTCATAAAACCACTCATTTTGGGATATTGAAGATCAGAGTTATAGATACTGCCTTTTCAACAAACAAACATTACAATACGTTACTTAGGATGCATTTTATTGGACATCCCTCAATTATATATTATAATGTTTGTTAGTTGAAATTTGCTTTTTCTAATCCACCATTACCCATGAGTTGCAATTTGTGAACACCACTTGATCACAAAATCACAATAGTACTAGACCCTCATAGCTAAGATGTGTGTTTATATGATTTTTAGCTGATACGTCCAGAAGAACTGACCAATCCAAAGGTTGACGAAATGAGCGTCATGACATATTTGTCTAATTACCCGAGTGCTAAACTCAAATCTGGTGCACCTCTTAGACCCAAAACTAACCATAACCGTGTTCGGGCCTATGGTCCAGGTTTGTGTCTTTGTTCTAATTAATATAGTAACTTCTATAAATCAGTTTTCCCCTGTATTTATTCATCAATAATTGGTCTCTAGTGTAGCACTTTTGTCAGTTTTCCTTTTTGCACGCTGTTTAGCACAATCAGTTTTGAATATGTTTGGAGTGTGTTTGATGATTAAATCATGCATGGTTTTGTTCTACAAACATTATTTATTACATGTACATTAAGTACAGGTAAGTCCATTAAATGTGAATTAATTAATTTAATTATTTTGTAAGTTGAATTCATAAAGTCTATTTTTGCATGCTATTGTTAGAAATGAAGCTTTTTGGTCACTGTATAACAGAGCCATCTTTCTTTGACTTCTAAAGGTATTGAGCCCAGTGGCAACAGTGTTGGGGCACCAGCCAGGTTCACTGTGGAGACATTCAGTGCTGGTCGTGGAGAAGTACAGATCACTGTTCTCAACCCTAAAGGACAACAAGAGACAGTAAGGATTGATATGTTTTTAATATTTGTTGTTCACAGTTGTTTTTGCTATTACAGTAAAACCTTTATATATATCTGAACACCTCTCTAGACTGAACATCTCTAAATGTGAGGGCTTTTTTATCCCATTTTTCAATGTGCCAATAAAATGCCAATTTGCAAAACCTCAAAATGTGAAAGTATGTCATTCTGAACATTTTTGGCTAGTTGGAGTCGGACTCAGATAGAGAGGTTTTACTGCATGCACATATTTGTTGATAATTCTTAAATTATACCAGTCAGTCTCACTTCAATAATTTCTTGCAAAATTACCAGTTCGTTCAATAAGTTCCCGGAAAAACGCTCTCATTTTATTAGTTTATAATATTTTTCATTGAAATTTTCACAGTATGTGTGCAATTTATTTTCAAATCATTGTATTAAATTAATTTGAAAATGTTTTACTAGTTTTTAAGTTATCCAACATCATGTGACGTCACAAAAGGGTATGCGGGGCACTGTTTAGTATTACGGTTTGGATCATTAAATCTAAACGTTTTAGTCACATTTTACGATATACTTTAACACCCTTTGATGTCTTTGTATGCTTGTAAGATTATATATTCACATAGTCCTCCACTGTCATCTACATTAAATGCTCAAAATATGAACCATCGTGCTGAATACATAGCCTCTGTCTCTGAACCCATTGCTTGTATTGGTCACGGAACCCAACTGGAAACTTCTCCTTTAGTGCATTCTTAACACCTGCTTTAAGATCATCAACTGAGCCAAAGCAAATCCCCCTCAGAGCTTCCCTCAATCTGTTGAAAACAGCAAAATCTAATACTGCCATATCAGGTGAATAGGGTGCCTGGTCTTGCAGTTCCATTTGGAGATTGATGGAAATGGTGTCCTGCACCAAGTTAGACCTATGGCTTGGAGCATTGTCCTGATGGAATATCCTAGAGGACAGTAGCCATTTTGGTGTCTGACTAATGACTGATGTCATGCATTAGTTGTGTGATGTCATGCAAATATGTATGATGTCATCAATTCAAGGAATTTTTGCATCTTGTACAGCAGTAATATGATGTCACATAGTTACCATGGCAACAGGACTGTTTATTCAGTTGAAATAAAACAAATACAAAAAATGTGAACATATGATGAATAAATTGAAAATTGTGAAATTTTAACGTCAAAATAGTGCCCCGCATACCCTTTTATGACGTCATGTTATCAAGGATAAGTTAATAAATATGAAATATTGTATAAAAATATTTCTATTCATAAATTCTAAATAAATTTTACACATACTGTGTAAATTTCAATAAAAAATACTACAAACTAACAAAATGAGAGCGTTTTTCCGGGAACTTATTGAACGACCTGGTATATATATTCTGAAAACAAGTCTCTTAGATTTAGTAACTCACACAGCATGTCATAAAATTCTAAACCAGAGACTAAGTTTTAATTTTCTAAAACATAACAAATATTATTCTATTTTTCAATATTTTCCTGTTCTATTTCAGTGTGAAGTTGTTTTCAACAATGACAGAAACCTTACATACTCTTGTGTCTACACACCAACCATGGAAGGAAAATATCGCGTCATTGTGAAATTTGCCAACAAGGAAATCCCCAAATCTCCATTCCAAGTAAATGTGGAAGGAGCTGCTGGCGATGCCTCTAAAGTCACTGCAGCTGGGCCAGGTTTGGAGAAGACTGGTGTACAAGTCAAGAAGAGGACTTACTTCGAAGTATTTATCAAAGGTATGTTCAATGTATAGTCTTTATAAAAGTCTGTGTTTCAGTTTCAGTTTTCTTCAGACTAATGACAAAAGTAAAATAATTTATCATAGTCTTTGAACATGTAAGAGAAATATTAAGTAAGTTTGTAACACTTTACAGTTTTTACTGTCAGCATCATACAGTTTCACTCCCCCACATTACATAAAAATGTATTACTGCCATCAGGATAATTCCAATATCCTGAACCTCATATAGGATTATCTCTATATCTTACAATATATAACCTTGTAATTCAGGTGCTGGTAAAGGTTCAGTTGAGGTTGTGATTCTCGACCCACATGGCCACAAGGACAGCATTAAGCCACACATTGTACAGAAGTCTGAGGAGGTTTACTATGTAGAGTACACCCCCAAGGAGGAAGGTCTTCACTCTGTGAATATCTTCTTTGCTGGCAAACCAATCCCCAACAGCCCATATGGAGTTGGTGTTGCACCAGGTGAGGATCATGAAATTATATTACAGTTACATGCAATGAATAGTTTGAATCAAATACCTATAAATGTTACCACACATTATAGTCTGCTGGACTGTGGACCTCTCCCTCTTTATCTACTACACCAACACACTAAGGTGTGTAGCTGGGTTAGGGGAGGGGGGGGGGGGTTCACAAGGGCTTGTATGTAGCTAGACTACCCATTTTATATCCAGATCTTAACTTCAACTGAACAGAGGCGGTCAATGAATTTAATTGATTGTGTCGTTAAGTCTGGATATGGTCTTTAAAGTTTAAAGGAGTATAGGCTGGATAAAATCACTGTTATTTTTTCAAAACAATGCCACTGGTGATGGTGTATTGAACCGTAGAGTTGTAAAATCTCCTGTTCTTTAGCTTATACTCTGTGTTGATTTATGGTGATGTATGCTCATCTATGTATTTGTATATTCAGGCTTTGTATAATTTATATTTAGACCTTTTCATTCTTAAATTTCTATTTTGTAATGTTGTTATGACATTCTTTGTTTTTCTGCACAGCCTTAAGAGATGAGATAGATATGATATATTTTCTTTACATCATTTTCTTTGAGATCTTTTACTAAAGAGTAGATGTTGCTTTAAATTGTTGTTGTTGTATTCAGGGGCTCAAGAAATAGTTGAAGAGCCCCTAACTGCTGGTGAAGCAGCCCCTGTAGCCCAAGGGGCCCCTCCTTCCAGGAGTGAGTAGCAAGGGTTACCCATAGGGGGAACCACCATCCAAACACCCGACCAATCCTGGTTCAGTTTTTCTTCACCTCTTCTCACTCAAAAACCCTCCTCAACTCCATTCCTGTGATATAATCTAGTCTATGCATGCACCATTGTACATATTTATGTATACTAGACCTCTACATATAAACTCATAAATTAAGTCCCAGAACATGGGGAAACAGTGATGTCATAGTCATTATACATCCTAAAATTCTCCATGTCACTCCATGTATTGCATTAAGTTAACTAAACCCCATGCTTATTGTTACTCAATCACCATTTGTTTTTATAGCCGAGGGTGGTAAGTGATGTGATATGATTTATAGTTTTCTGATATGATTTACAGTATTTTGATACGATTAATGGTCTTGCGATTTATTTTACTACGTTTTAATAACTCCTAGAGTTGATAAAATGTGTTTATAGTTTTGTTATCACGCAAGAATAGAAAGCATGTTACAAGTCAGAGTATTCCTTAGTTATATGAGCTTCCACCTTGGTTAACTTGTTTTGCAAGTAAGAAGATGCCATGACTTTGCCCTGAAAGTGTAGCCATTATCCAATACAGTGGGTGGTATCAGCTATCTAGACAAGAATGTGCATAGGGTGATGCACTTATTTTCCAAGTTCTGATTAACCATTCCACTGTATATGGCCACATATTCTTACATTACCAGCTTGTGTTTTTGTTGTTATTACCTTACTAAATCTTTGCAGTGACATACAGTGAACGAATGCTATTTGCTCTGTTCATAAACACATGTGTCTTGATCTGTTTGATTCAGTTTAGTTTGTTTAGGTAATGTTCATTAATTGCCAGATATGGCCATTTAAGCAGTTCTTAAATTCACTCAAGATGTATTGCTCAGTATTCACATGCATCCATATTATATTTTGGTTTTGCCATGATTCTGCTAAAATTCAGAAAATCAGATTTTATTTAAACATCAACGCTTTCTCAGTAGCTAGACTTGTTATGGTAGGTACATAGAGTTTGAAGTATTGTTTACTCTTGAAACAAGATGCATGTAACATATATTATTTTAAGTCTGTGAGTTTGACAAGAACCTTCAAAAGAAAAAAATGATAAATGATGAAGATACTTAGTCTTGAATAAAATTCTGAATTCCTTGTTAATATTAGAAATTCCTAAAATTCAATGATCAATGTCTCATCCCTGTGTACCTGTAATATGTGAATTCATGTCGATGTTGGTGTACTAAATGGTGTCTACTATTTCAGCTGTCGACCCCAAGAAGTGCTATGCCACTGGGCGTGGAATCCAGCCCAAGGGTATCAGAGTGCGTGACATTGCTGACTTCAAGGTTCACACCAAAGGAGCTGGCAAAGCTGAACTCGAAGTTTCAGTTATCGGACCAGGTATGTTGTTAAACTGAAATTTCAATTTCATTAATAAGCTATCCTTATCGCAAAAGCTCGTTACAAACTAATGTAGAAATTGTTTTAAAGAGGCAAAGTCTAATGAATGTAAAGGGTGATAATGATCTTGATATTTTCATTGTCTAAAATGGGTGTAACTTTCTCCAAAATTACAACAAAATTGTGCAAAAAATTATTGTTGTGTTGCAGAGAAACTAGGAAACAATTTTGATTTTTCTATTTGTAACTTTTATTTTCTCACAACAGGTGGCACCGAGGAAAAGGTCAAGGTCAAACAGATTGATGCTGACACCTATGAGTGTTCATACACACCAACCAGACCTGGTAACTATGTGGTCAACATCACATACGGAGGTCATCACATCACTAAGAGTCCATTCAAGGTTGAGGTGAAACAATACATGGTATCTAGAATCAGAGCCTTCGGACCTGGTCTAGAGGGCGGCACTGTAGGATACCCTGCAAACTTTGTCGTGGAGACTAATGGCGAAACTGGTGCTCTAGGTATGTACAGCTGACATCACTTTAAATAACCACATGATTTTATATCAGCCATGTTTATTGAAATGCCTTTGGGCTTGTAGGGCATTAAAATACATCTTTAATTTTCCATTTCAGGCTTCTCTATTGAGGGACCTTCCCAAGCAAAGATAGACTGCAAAGACAACGGTGATGGCTCAGCTGATATTACATACTGGCCAACTGTACCTGGGGAGTATGCTGTACACATCCTCTGTAATGAGGAAGATATCCCCAACAGTCCATATATGGCAGAAATTCAACCCGCCACCAATGATTATGACCCAACCAAGGTTTGTTCCACCACAGATGTTCATAAATATATAACACATGTATGTTCAGTTTAGTGATCTCTAATTTTTGTGAGTAAATCTAAGGGGAAAATATTTATATTATATATGGCCTATAGTTTGACAAAATGGATCCTTTCAGGTTATCGCAAAGGGACCAGGCTTGGAAAAAACCGGTGTGCAGGCTAACAAACCTGCCACTTTCACTGTGGATGCTCGTGCAGCAGGACGTGCCCCATTGACTATCACTATCCTTGATGTAGACTACAACCCAATTGAGTGCACCGTGAAGGACAATGGAAATGGCACCTACAACTGCCAGTACATCCCTAAACGTAACGTCAAACACACTGTGTCTGTTGCATGGGGAGGCTGCAGCGTACCCAACTCACCATTCAGAGTATGTTTACATTCTACTGATTTCTCATCATAAACATTGTCTAAAATCAAAACTAATGTGCATATTACTCTAATCCTCTACCATATCGATTTTTATTCTATATATTTCTATGGTTTAGCATATCTCATTGTTCTGCTAACTTTAACTATAGCCTACAGGCGATTTCAGTTGTTCAGTACACCCCATTATATTCATAACATTATCTATATTAACCCAATATTGTATCCTCTATAGGTGTATGTACAAGAGCCTACCAACCCTGCAGCAGTGAAGGTCTATGGACCTGGAGTAGAGAAGGGAGTTAAGACCTTCACCTCAACCTACTTCATTGTTGACTGCAAGCAGGCAGGACCAGGAGATGTTGCAATCGCACTTGTTGATGAGAAAGGACTTGATGTACCAGTCAAGACCACTGACAATGGCGATGGTGGGTACTATTGTGATCAGAAAATATACAAACGCAATATTAGGAAAACAGAAATAAAGAGCACCCATGAATACTATAATATTGATATTGACTTATTGACTAAACCATGATACAGAATTAATACTTTGTAGGTCACAAAACTATTTTAAGATATGACATTGCTTTTAGAGACGAGAATAACAGTTGAACACGTTAAAAAATAACACATTAAACTATCAATCAAGAAATGAACATAAGTGTTCAAAACAAACAAATGTTTGAGATGTTTGTAATCTCAAACTATTTGTTTGTTTTAATACAATGAATGATATAAAAGCAATTCTTAAAACACATGGAATATTTACTTATTGAAGCAATTTTCTCTTTTAAGGTACATTCAAGATCGAATACGAGCCCAAGACTGTGGGAACATACCAGGCCAGTGTTTACTTTGCTGAACAGGCTATCCCCAAGAGTCCAATCAAAATCAATGTTGAGCCTAGCATTGATGTCAGCAAAGTCCGTGTTGAGGGACTTGAGCCTAGTAAGTACATTATCAATACATTGTTCAAATGTGTGTACATAGATTACACATGGTTCATGATATTATGTATGATTGTTGTCTGTTACAGATGTTTTCATGGCCACTTTGTCCCTTGAACTTAAAATGCTATATAATGTTTTTATAGATGTGAAGGTATTCTAATTTTTCTATTTCATCATTCTCTTTAGCTCTCACCTTGAAAAGACTATGTGTGATATATTTCTATTAAAAATCACCTTTTCCTTCTCTATCCCTATTACATACTTGCAGTAACTTAATTGCTTTTGCTGTCCTACATTCATTGATTTATTGTAATATAATTATATATTTGCTTAATATCAATCTGCACCACAATTCTACATTACATTTTGATGATAGTAGGGTTATACTTGACTTCACACTTATGTTGTTGTGTAGAAATCCCAGTTGGCAAGCAAGTTGACTTTGATATCATCACCGTGGGAGCAGGAAAAGCTGGTGTTCAAGTTAACATACACACCCCCTCTGGAAAGACCATCTTTGCCAATATTGAAGAAACCATTGATGGCTATGCTGCTAAATTCACTCCCCTGGAGACAGGTCCACACACTGTGGATGTCAGCTTTGCTGGACAACCTGTCAAAGGCAGCCCCTTTTCCACAACTGCTATACCCGACCCATCCAAGGCTAAACCCCTCCCCAAGGCTGACCCCTCCAAGGTTAAAGCATATGGCCCAGGTCTGGAAGGAGGCACTACTGATAAACCAGCTGAATTTACTATCGATACACGTGAAGCTGGACAGGGAGGTCTTGGCTTGACTCTAGAGGGTCCCATCGAGGCTAAGATTGAGTGCCAGGATAATGGTGATGGTACATGCAGCGTGCGATACTACCCTACTGAACCTGGAGAGTACACTATTAACATCACTTTTGCTGATAAACCAATCAAATCATCACCCTTCAAGGCCAAAATTGTCTCCTCCAAGAACATTGATGTCAGTGGAATCAAATGCCATGGACAAGGAATTGAACCTGGTAATCACATGCATGAGGAGTGATAGCATTGACTTCTGTGATGGCCTTGACCTTTATGGTAGCCTTGACCTCTGACCCACCATTGCTTGAGATTGACCATTGCCCTTTCATTTTTGAACCATTTTCAGGAAAGCTGTTCATACTAACTCTTTTATACCTTCATTTAACATCATAGTGATAATGAAATGTTTGGAAGTTGATATTAAAACATTTCAGGGCTGTTTTCCAGATGCTACTTCCTGAACTTTGACTTTATGTTCATTTCTGTATCTTGTACTCTTGCGTCTGAGCTCTGCATTGCCCCCTCCCCTTTCTATATCTAATAATAGAGGCGAATAATAGATGGAGGGGGTGGATCAGAGACTTAATGCAAATGCAAGAATATGTATGTAATTCAGTTTACAATTTTTAGTTTTCAGTATTTTATTAGTAACTAGAAGCCAAATAAGAACTGATTGTTTGTATCTGTTATGTCTTATTTTATATTAGTAATTTTTTGGAATATCTGCTCTTCATAGATAGAGTTGCATGGAGTTGATTTTGAATGAACTTTGGTGTAAATAATTGCATCTAGTTTTGTGTTTAATTAATGACATATTCTCAAACACCATGAGTACATTAATTAAGGATTTAAGTAGTGTGTAGATAAATGTGAAGTTCTTGCTTTGAATTGTTTTTTATGTGGAAGTTTTGCTGATAAATTCTTGATAAATCATTTAAGTGGAATTGATGCATAGTGAAAAGGTACTCAACAATTTTTCCAGTATTTTGGGTGGTACTTTATTTGGAACTTTTCCAACTATTTAGATTGCTCTTATATCTACTATACTGTACTACAGTATTTAGGAATGTTTTGGAGCTTGATGATTATCCACTCAATATTTATCACCATGGTGAAGTTTAAAAATTTACGAAGGATCAGGTCTATGAAAAGTTTCTCTTTTTTATTTAACAACAAGGGATATAATTGGATTTGTGATATAAATGCTCCCAGATGGATTTAATATTCGCCTTTTTCCCAAAAAGACACATTTTGTCATTTCAGGTAAATATCACAAAAATATTGTCCATTTTGTCTGAAAAACGATAGCTTGTTTTTCATTCAAAATGATACAATGGACACTTATATTTTGGTGGATCATTGCATATTTGCAAAAAACAAAAAAAATGACAGATGATAGATCTAATAAAGTGATGTAAAATGTTTAGTAAGTCAATGATTTTTGCTAATTTAGGCGTCTTCCTGGAGTCTACCACTGACTTCACAGTTGATGCCAAGTCTGTGACCCCAACTGGGGAGGGTAAGGTGCGAGCCATCATTACCAACCCCTCAGGATCCAAGATGGAAGCCATCACCAATAACAACGAAGATGGCACATACAAAGTCAGCTATACACCATTTGAACAAGGTAAAGTGAAGTTCTATATCTAGTTGTATAATGGTTTAAAGGTTTTTATTATCATAATAGTGATCACTACATATTTAACAAACTCATCTAGGGCCAAGGCAGTGCATTATTGGCCCTGTTAATTAATTGTAAATATAAGTAAAAAGTTGCAATGAAAATTTATTTGTCAACTCAGGCAGGAATACTACTCATTCAAAGTAGAGACAATCAATTGGACAAAACATGCAGTCGTGTCAATAATTCTCTGATTAGTCAGACATGAAAAAGAAGATTCACCATACAACATTATACTTTTTTTGATGGGTACTGCATACAGGCGGGAAAGACATTTGCATATCTTAAACTTTGAAGTCTGCATTCAGGTCTCAACATATAACAAAAAAAATTATGCTCATGTAAAATGAATTAGCTTTAAATTTCTTAAACAGGTTATTCATACTCAGATTTTATCTGAGTCATGTTCAGGTTGTGGATATGTTCTTACATGCCTGTAATTGTAAGTATTTATACTCTTGGTATTTTTAGGGCCTCACAAGATTGATGTCACATACGAGGGTATCCCTGTTCCAAAGAGTCCCTTCGCTGTGGGAGTTGTCCCCGGCTGCGACCCAACCCGTGTCAAGGCTTATGGACCCGGCCTCAATGGAGGAATTACCCACAAGCCCCAGCAGTTCACTGTTGAGACAAGAGGTGCCGGACAGGGAGGACTTGGACTCGCCATCGAGGGTCCATCTGAGGCAAAGATGACTTGCAAGGACAACAGAGATGGCAGCTGCACTGTTGAATACTTGCCCGTCAAGAAGGGAGATTATGACATTAGCGTCAAATTCGCAGATGAACATATTCCAGGTAATCTTATAAAACCATTTTGTCATCTTGGGCATGTAGCCCACATATTCATTGTAAACCATAAATTAAAAAATAAAATTAAAAATATAGTATGAACTTTTAAGTTATAAGGTAAAGTTGATTTAATTAAGCAATAAAACTACTAAGTGCAATAGACTTAAGTTACATTTGTTGTATTCTTCGAATTTGCAGGATCCCCCTACATGGTTCACGTCATGGATGAAATCAACCCATCCAAGGTAAAGGCCACAGGACCTGGTCTTGACCCCAAGGGTGTACGTCGTGGTCAACCTGCTGTCTTCAATGTGGATGCTTCTGAAGCAGGAGAAGCTCCACTTGATGTCTCATACACTGACCAACTTGGTAAGTCTCAAACGCAATTTCAAACTCAAATACAATTTTAAAGTTTATTTCTGTAATGATTTCTGAAAGGACAGGTTAATAACATATTACCATAACAAGTGAGATTATCCTTAAGAATTTTTCCTCCTGGAAACTTGATTGGTGGCCAGCTGACTACAAGTCGATCAATTTATTTTTGATCATTTTGACAGGTTTGTCAAAAGATAGAGGTCTCTTGGATCTTAATAAATCTTCAATTTATTTCATGACTATAACAATATTTAATCAATTTTAGGCATTCAGAGACCAGCAGAGATTGTCCCCAAGGGTGAGGCTCTTTATGATGTGGCTTACTACCCAGATGTGGAGGGACCATGCAAGGTCGATGTTTCCTACAACAACCAAGCTATCCCAGGAAGGTGAGATACTATTCATTAAGTCATTGATTATTTCTTTTTATAGCCTATTATTAAATTAAACATTCACCCCATAGACTAAAGAAAAATGTGACATATTCTGTAACTTAGATAAAAAGAATTGAGTGCCATTCTTAAATTCCTGTGAATTAATCATATATTTGTTTAATTAACGATGATTATATTTATTCTCTCCAGTCCATTCAAGACCAATGTGCTCCCAGCTCACGATGCCAGCAAGGTCAAGGTCACTGGACCAGGAGTTGACCCTAAGGGAGTCCTCGCCTCCATGCCAGTTGCCTTCCTTATTGATACCAGAGAAGCTGGTATTGCTGACCTTGAGGTCGCCATTGAGAGACCAGATGGCACCCTTGTTAGGCCCAACATTGTGGACAATGGAGATGGTACATACACTGTACAGTACACACCAGAGGATATTGGACAGTACACTGTCAAGGTCAAGTTTGGAGGCACTGAGGTGCCAGGCTCTTCATTTAAAGTCAACAGTTCACCAACTGGAGATGCCAGCAAATGTGTTATCACTGGTAAGTTAAAAATTGTGAATTCAGTCACATCACATGTATAATTACATGTTACACACATGTAAATCCAGTTTTATCCTTGAATGATATTGGAATCCATATTTTGGCTTAATGTAAAATAAACTCTTATTTTGTATCATCATTCATAGCTTGGTAAACTTAGATCATGATCTTGGTTGAATATTGAATATTGAGATGAAGTGAACCACTTTTCTAATTTGTAAATGTGTTCCTCATTAAATTTTGCAGAGATCAATGCCTTCAGATTTAATAACTGTTTTTTTTATTTATTTCATAGATGGTCTTCGTACAACTGTCCCAGTCGGAGAGGAGTGTGTGATCAACATCAATGCTGCTAACGCAGGCACAGGTAACATCACCTGCCGCATTCAAACCTCAACAGGAAGTGATGTTGATATTGACATCATCGATAATGGTGACGGCACATTCAGCATTAACTTTACACCACAGATGGTCGGTGCTTACACCATCAGCATTAAATTCGGTGGTCAGCCAATCCCCAATGGCGAATACACCATGGAGGTGAGCTTGTTTGATTTTCATTTTGAATCCTTGTAACATAAGTGTTTTGAGATGATGATTATTCGCCAAAGTGGCTTTGTGTGTGATGCTTTGATTCAATTGTATGATAATCGTATTATGCTGGTATTGACGAACCTCCTTTGTTTGAAATTGACATCTATATAACTTTTGTCTTGTATTTGAGTCACGCATGTCATAAGATTTACATCATATTGTTGCCAGTTGAATTGCACTCATGCAGCATGCTCCTTCAACCTCACTTAACTTTGTCATTCAAATTTGTAGAACACTGGGGGGGGGGGGGGCACATTGCAAAATTTAAATTAAGGGCTGATTTTTGGATACGCCTATGTGCATATAATCCATATACCTTTTTAGCATTTATAACTTAGTGTTATGGTTTTCATTAAGGACGATTCTCGGTTTGGAGAACGAAGTTCATCAACATAAATGAGCATTATCCCTGCTTCGGACAAATTTGATTTTTTTACATAATATAGAGTTGAAGGTCTTCTTTTGAATGGTCATAATTTAATTTGGGTAATATTTCTAGATTTTTTCGCAAAAAATATTAGCGCAGTACACTTATGAACTTTTTTCCCCAAATCGAGACTTGTATTTTATTGAATCGGTCTAATTGATCGTTATCCCTGCTTCAGATCAATTTGTTATTTTTACATCTTGTAGATTTAAATGTCCTCTTTTGAATATTCATAGTTTAATTTGGGTAATATTTCTATATTTTTCATGAAAAAAATTATTAGCCCAGGAGACTGTTCTCCAAACCGAGAATCGTCTTTTGGCCAAGTATTTCATATCACCATCATTATTCTGATCATGTCTGGGGTCACATTGAAGATCTTGAGCAGGTGTTTGATATAGGCCTAGGGGGTCAACGGAGTTCATGTCTCCTTTTATGTTTGGTTGGGTCAGTAAATTGGTTTAATAATTATTCTGTGTTGTATTATATTATATTACTCATTAGTATTGCCAGTGAACATTTTTGTTGTATCCTTAAGAAAAGTGATTATCGTGAAATTTTCTGTAGTATTAAGTAAATGTTAATAAAAAATGATCCTACCAAATGAATGAAATTAATTATTTCATTGATTTCATCAAAACCGATTATTATATTTTAGCAGTCTTGTTTCTTATATTTCATAGCACTTTCCACTGCACATGTAGAGTTTCATAAAGGTTGCATGTAAAAATCCAATTTGTGTAAAATAAAGGTGTCAGTCAATGTCTACAGTAGTTTACTGTTCCTATCATGTACTTTGAAAAACAAACCAGAAATGTTTACATGCATGTGAATTTATTCAGCATTGTACCTCATAACTCATTCAACATATATATCTCATGTCAAATTTAGAAACCTGTCATCATTATAAATGTATGATATACCCCCTGGTTATAGCCCCTGGTTATAACTGTACAACATAAAATTCAGGCCAAGTTTTTATGTCCAAAAATCATCATCAGATCTGTTTACTTACCTGTTGTATTTATTATACCTTAATGTGTATTTATAATTGCGCAGTAACTTCACATCATTATTAGATTGATATGTTGAACTGAAGTGTCAAATAATTTGGAGTATCTTTAAAGACAAACTGGACATTTTTATCATGGTTCATTGAAATGGATTAATTCTATTTTATTTTTTGGTAAGGATTTGCAATTTCTTTTTATTGTAAAAAATTTTGTTCAATATTTTTGGTAAGGATTTGCAATTTCTTTTTAGTGTAAAAAAAAGTTTTTTGTATTGATAAGTGAATAATTGACATGCTTTTTTGCAATTAAGTAACTTTTGATCTCGAAGTTTGTAGTTTTATATCACTATTACTTTTTGTAGTTTGTAGTTTTATATCACTATTACTACTGTACATGTATATGATAGTTAGGGCTTATACAAGCATTCAAAAGTGAACTTAATGTCAAGATGTCCACTTATATTCACCTCACTGAATGTTATCAATCCCATAATCCCACATCCCTGCATACACCATCTTGCATGTTGCCATGGCAACCCACTATGGCTGCTGTGAGAGTACTAACGATTGTTTGTGGCATGTTTTGCTGTTGCTAGGCAGTTGATCCTGCAGAATACCAAAGATGGCTGGAGGAGCAAGAACGGTTGCGAAGATTGGAAGAAGAAAGATTGGTACTACACTTTTAATATTGACACCATCTAATATGACCTCACCCTTATATGACCCAGAGGCACACATTACATTAATATCTTTTGCTTCAATTTTATCAACATTTTGCACTTCAGTTGTACCCTCATTTTTGCTTCTTAAAACATCCATGTGATGAAATGTGAGTCTTAAACAAAGTCAGTGTCCCTCTCCTGGTTTCACCCAAAAAGATAGAGAAAAGTATATATTGCCCATTACTTAAGTGTGTTGGTTGTTGGTCAAATTAGATGCATTTATATATAGTTATAGTTAGTATCGTACAGCTATAGAATGCTCTTCCAGGCTTACTAATCTTCATCATAGACCTTTTGATTAAATCACAATCCAGAATGAAAAATAAGCTCTCAAGAATAAACGTCTCTACATGTAGAGTTGTGATTTTGAGAATAGACCTCTATATCATTGTGTTGCAAACTAGGAAGATTACAAACAATTATATAATAGTTGTAATATTTGTGGAAATAATTTGCATGAAGTTAGTGTGTAGAACATTTTTGTTGCACTAGATTACATTTTCATTATGATTTAGGTAAAATTAATTCAGAATTAGACTCCAGTATAGACTTCATTTTAATTTTAGATAAAATAGATTTGCGCATATAGATTTTGTGCAGATGACCAATAAATTGTAAAAATCCATAAACAACATTTACAAACAAATTAATCTATTGATTACAGTTTGTTTTACAATTGATAATCACAATATTCTCAAAAAGATGAATTATGAATACAAATTACATCATTACGGGAAATTAAATCCCTGATATTTTGCAAGATCACAGCTTGAGCTGAATGTAATGATTTTTACTCAATGTACCATGAAAGCACGTGAATTGCAAAGAAACATAATAAAAGACAACTGGGTTTAATGTGACCTGATGTAAATCTGTGTTTATTTTTTGCAATATAGGCTGGAGAAGAACTCGTACAAGCTGATACCGTTGACTCACTGCAATCCGCCCCAGGCACATTCAACCCTGTAGACTTCTGTATACCAGTAGGACCCATATTCAACTTTGTCACTGGTAAGTAATCAGCTTTAGTTTATGGTATTCATGACCCGTATTTATGGTATATAGTCTTAAATTTGAAATCATTTTCTATTTTTGCCACCTAGCTGATAGCTTTATATCTAAGTAGTGGTTCAGCATTGGCACACTCTCAGATTATTTATTGAAAACATATCGAAAATGATAATTGAATGATGAATCATCAATATGATTTTTCTCTATGTTAGGCAGTCACTTGCAACCAACTGAATGAATTGGTGCTATTCCAGACATAATCAAAAAACTTTATAAACCAAATCATAGTCACAAAATACAGGGAACTGCCTCATTGGTTGTAACATTATGTAACAATATTATCGTAATTAAATTGTGCGAAGCTGCCTGGCCAGTATTCAATTGTGGAATCTATAAATCAACAGAAAAAACTATTTTTGGTATCAGTTATCTGCCCAAATTATTAGTAGAAAAATCAATGAAATTCGCAAATCGATTTAGTATCAAGACTGGTAAGTTAACATTAGGCAGCGTAACATATAATGCACCGTATATCACATTAATTATTGTATGGCACAAATTAATGCCGAGCTGAATAAAGCCAACCTCTTAAAGGATCATCTTTGACATTTCTCACTTAAACATGTTTTAATGAATATTATCTTAGAAAATGCCAAATATATTGAACTTTTGGAACATCCTTGACATCTTTGAAATAGGAATGTAATGAGGTTTAACTTGAAGGGTTTTCTTTTTTATACTCGGGATTTTTTGGCACTATTGAGATAACCTTATTAGTTGACGTGAGAGGCTTTAATCATATGATGCTTAAACACAGTAATAGTTGGAGCAAATGTCTGCTGACAATTCCAACTATTCAGTGGAAGAATGGCACATTTAATACTATAATTTCATTTCACCAATATTTTGTGACACCCCTTGAAATGTCTCCCAATTTATTAGAAAGCCTCTTCCAGTTTTGTAGTTATACCCTTGGGCGCTGACCAACTTAGATGCTCTAATGTCATTATCTATTGTAATCTACAGAGCCAGTGGTCATCTTTGGAATGTTTAATTTTCTCTCATATATGCAATATTAGAAATTGTATTCTTACTGTTAATAATATAATGGCCTTGTATATTGTTGGACAAATATTCACATATGCTGTAATATTTGCAAGACACTGTAATGTGTAAAGTAGGGCCAGACATCTCATTTTCTATATTACAGCATTGAATTCATCTTATAAATATCATGTCAGTGTATGCTATTCTACCAATAAAAGATCATTCAACTTAAGGTGATCTGAGAGGGTCTACAGAGTATGAGAATTAATGAAGTTTACATCAATTTAGAATGATGAACATGTACGAACATTTTTTCATCATGATGGTGAAGTTTCAAAGAATGTTGGCTGTTGTTTTGGTAACAGACTGCTATTTGATATTATAACCAGGATGAATTAGCTAACACATATAGAAGTACAATGGATTGTCAATAATCATATATTTTGCTGTGAAAGACAAACAATCGTAATTTTTGGCGTTAAATGAACCGTGATTAAAAAATGGATTATTAATAGAGCTTGGATTATAGGATACGAGATATATAAGTCCTTAATGGAGAGTTCTTGTTCTGAGTGGATATGGATTATACATGATGGGATACATTGACCATTTATCTCATAGACATGCTATGATATAACACAGGGGATATTAATAAAGACAAAATGCTTGGAACTTTATATATCTATGTACAGAGTAAGAGTTAATGGTTTATTTGACTTCATGACCAATGAATCAATAATGTCTGTAGTGGTTGAAGCTGGGAGTTAAGTCTTTTGGATTGCCTTTAATTCCCAATTGATAGCTCTCGTTTCTCAAAAGCTCCTAATTGAGATAACAAGACTCTGTCTATAGATAGCATGTTACAAACTTGTGAATGCAACAAAAGGTCGACCAATTTGCTATTTCCCTGTAAAAAACTGTCAAATAATTCTAGAAATAACTTAGAATATTGAATAGAAATGGAATACAGTTAGAGACACAATTGTCATAGTTAATTGTGTTTCTAGTCAAATACAAATCATGAATCAAAACTTAAAGATTCATATGATATATATACTGTGTATGATTCAATATAATGTTCTCATTCCTTTCAAAAATAGTATACAGCGAATGTACAATGTTTACAAAACATAGTGAGCTTCTTTATCAAAATCATATATTGCTTTCAAACTCGATAAATCTTTATTAAATGTATACCTTATTATTCTTTTTTTATTTTAATAATTGAGATTAACTACATGATTGATTTTGTATGTTTCAGCTGAAGTAGTGATGCCCTCTGGCAAGATAGCCTTCCCCAAGATTGAGGACAATAAAGATGGCACTGTAACTTGTCGCTACACACCATCTGAGGTTGGGCTCCACTACCTACATGTCAAATACAATGACCAGGAAATACCAGGTAAAAGCGTAGTAACATCGGAGGCTCGTTTTACAAAAAATCACTATTTTTGTCACATGGTTGTTTGAATTTGTGATGGCATTTCATTTAATTGACTCGACAAAATCAATTTCAGTATGTTTTCTCCTCAGTATGTGATACATACGAGCTCCATCATTTGAGGATGGCTCTTGCAATAACATACTCATCAAAGTTTGCTGGCTATTGGATCTTTCCTTATTCAATCTATATCATGGAAATCAGAAGGAAATCAATACCAAGTCGACCAAATAAGATTTTCCATCAATCATGTGTTAGATTCTTATTATTATTTTCATATCTTGATTCAATCAAATAATTATGTTGGTGTTTATCTTTGGACAAACTCCTTTATTACCATCATTTCGCATATATAGTCATCCAGGTTTTCTTCTCCCAAATTGGATGCAAATAGGGAAGAAATTAAAAAAGGCAAACTGGTAATAGAGTTTTTTATACAAAAAGGGAGAGAAAGATTACCTGTTTTATTAAAGTAGGTGGGGCTAATATTTGAAAAGATAGTGACCAGAACTAGAAACAATTTTTTTTAAATTTCCTCTGTGTCTGAATTTTCTTGATCTCTGGAGTGGTAGTGTCATGAAAATAACTATGTATCCTTTTTGCCTGCTATTTTTGGACTTCATCCTTTTATGTCATCTCTAATGGGGCCCTAATGATAGCTCTGTAGCATGATCTGGATTTAGTAATCTTTATGGAAAAACCACCAGAAATCAATCGTTTCTCATTAAATGTCTAGGCATCATAGATAACAGCATAACAGATATCGCTGAAACTTTGGGTTTTATTGGTAAATGCCTTAAAGTCTAAGTTCGTATAAAGCATTCATTAATCACTAGTAACATGAAAACACCGAATCCGACAGCAAACTGCAATATTTTATATTTAGAGTGCTAATTGTGCCAAATTGAAGTATGCCTAGTAGCCTACATTGGATGAAAAATTCTTGTTAATAGCCCTAATAGAATAGTAATGACATTTACTTTGTTATTGGTTAAGAGCACAGATACTATGAGAGGTATAATATAAACTTGGACAGAAATATTGAATTATTTATATGGATATTGAATTAGATGAACAGTCTGAAGCGCTAAGCTGAGATAAGATAAGGCACTTTATCCTCCTGCGGTGTATTGTGTTAATATATCAGAAAAATAAGAGAGGAAAATACACAAATTCCAGATTGGCTTATAATTAACACTTTCAATTAACATAGTACAACATGGTACAATATATGAAATCAAGATTTGAATAACTCAGTACTCAGCATAGTTCAAAAATGGATGCAATATAAATTTATACCTGTAATACATTTGTTTATTTATTGTATACATACATTGTAATTAATATCATTGTTTGGTTTCAGGCTCCCCCTTCCAGTTCCACGTGGACTCTGTCAACAGTGGCTTCGTGACTGCATATGGCCCAGGTTTGAGCCATGGTATTGCTGGAGAGCCTTGCAACTTCACCATAGTAACAAAGGATGCTGGCGCAGGTATGGCGGCATCTAAAATTTGCACTGATATTTTAGAAATTAAAGTGGTTATATCTTCAAATATCTCATGAATGCATAAAATCATAGCGGCCTGTAACTTACACTATCAGTGCACTATGATACAGATACAAATCATATTTTCTCAAAATATCGAAGCTTGAAAAATTGCTTTTAACTGGTTAACTCGACTAGAAGTTCTGAAATCAATGAAGAGAAAGTCTGGGTTAGCAATATTTTTCAAGCATAGATATTGAAAAAATAACAGGATTGTGTCAAAATCTATTGATGGTGCAAATTACAGACTGTTTTACATTTAGATTTTAAAGTACCCCTTTAAGAATTATTCCTATTCATCTATTCAAAGAATCATAGAAGCATGAAACCATATTTGCTGCATGTGACAATGTTCAAATTGGTCGGAAGATAAGAATCTTGTATTGACCAAATACAATTCATGTGTGAAATCAAGTTATTTTTGCTTTAAATCCAAGAAATACAGAAAATATAACTAACATTTCAAATCAGCTACTGGTATTTTGGTGTTAAATTGCGACTAAATCACTACTATGGCTATCTACTACTCAGTTCAGTAAATTTGTTACTAACTGAGTACTAATATTGTTCCCCTTAGGTGGCCTTGCCTTGGCTGTAGAGGGACCCTCAAAGGCAGAGATCACATGCCAAGACAACAAAGATGGCACATGCAGCGTCACATACTTCCCAATGGCACCTGGAGAGTACAAAATCATTGTTAAGTTTGCCGATAAGCACATCAAGGGATCACCATTTACTGCTAAGATTTCTGGAGATAGTGGCCGCAAGGCTCAGCTCTCTGTTGGAAGCAGCAGTGAGATATCTCTTAAGGTTAAGGAGACTGATATCAGTAACCTAACTGCAACAATCAAGAGTCCATCTGGTGCTGAAGAACCATGCTTGTTGAAGAGACTAGCCAATGGACACTTAGGTACGATTCACTCCTTATCTATTATATTATGGTACATGGACGTGCCCTTTATTCATTCTATCAAACAATGTAAAATATTTACCTATTCATTTGCTATTGCATTGAGAATGCAGAACAGAATATTTTGCGATAGTCTTTCACACCCATTTTTTAAATAGAAATCTTTATTTTGAGTAATAGAAAATTACCTTGTTGTTTTAGGAATCTCATTTACTCCACGTGAGGTTGGGGAGCATTTAGTTAATGTTTTCCGTGATGGAAAACACATACCAAACAGCCCCTTCAAGATCTACGTTGGCGAGAGTGAGATTGGCAATGCCAGCAAAGTAAAGGTCTATGGAAAGGGTATTGAAGAAGGCATGGCAAACCAGCTGAATGAATTTACAGTCAACACTAAAGATGCTGGCTATGGAGGACTTAGTCTCTCTATTGAAGGTCCCAGCAAAGCTGATATTGAGTGCCATGATAATGAGGATGGCTCTTGCCGTGTCACATACAAACCAACAGAACCAGGAACATACATTATCAACGTCAAATTTGCTGATGAGCATGTCCCAGGTAAGCATGGACTAAAAATTTTTTACATGATTAAAAATTTTCATTAGTTTACATGTAAAGAATAAACATGTTCACCAGGATTACATTTTGTAAATTTAAGAAGAATTCATATTCCCCCGATTAATGAATTAATAGAAGTTCGCTTTTGCAAGACAGATCCTCCACAATTTTTTATGTTACGCTTTGATTTCAATTTTTTCCCCTTAATGATGAAAAGATCAATGCATGAATATTCTTTGAATTTCAGGAAGTCCCTTCATTGTAAAGATCGGAGGTGAACCAAGCAGCAAAGTCACAGAGAAAATCACCCGTCAACGAGATCTTGTAGATGTCACTAGTGTAGGATCACAATGTGAACTTAGCCTTAAAATCCCAGGTAAGAGAAGTATATTCATTTGGGATTTAAATATTTAGCTCTATGATGGAGTGCTGTTTTAAATTTCATTCTTTCAAGACCTAGCTAGTCTTTTCAACTGATTTCCTCACTTCCTCAACAGACAACTCCACATTTTTAATTAAATTATAATTAAATGTTATCCAGGTTAAATGCTTTCAGACTGCATTTTGTCCATTATATAATGATATGTATAAATGTAATGATGAGAAATGATGTAATATTATATAATATGAAGAACATTTATTGATTATTATATCATTTCCAGGCACTAGTCCATTTGATATGGAAGCTGCAGTAACCAGCCCATCAGGTGTCACCGAATTGTGTGAGATCAACGACCTCGGGGATTGCCACTACAGTATCAAATTCGTACCCAAAGAGATGGGCATCCACACAGTCAGTGTGAAACACAGGGGTATGCACATCCCTGGCAGTCCCTTCCAGTTCACTGTGGGCCCTATTACTGAGGGAGGCGCACACAAGGTCCGTGCTGCTGGACCTGGTTTAGAAAAGGGAGAGGTTGATCAACCAAGTGAGTAGACTGGATTCAATGTCTTAATATGTTACTTTGCTTAGAAAAATTGAAGGTGATTTTGGAATACTTATAGCTGTTGAAATGTTAAACAAGCACCAAAGAGTATAAGGAATGAACATAAAGTAGTAATATATTTTCAAACTAAAAACAAACTCATCTTGAAAATTATGATTTCATATATTTAATATGTGTGTATATCTATTTAAAAATAATATGGAATAGTTTTTGACAAATTACTTGAAATATTCTTAAAAAAGTGAAAAGGTGTTATGATTTATCACATCCTCCATTTCCAGATGAGTTCAATATCTACACAAGGGAAGCAGGTGCCGGAGGTCTTTCTATAGCAGTTGAGGGACCATCAAAGGCTGAAATCAACTTTGAAGATCGTAAAGATGGCTCTTGCGGAGTAAACTACAAATGTACCGAGCCAGGCGAATATCTCGTATCTGTGAAATTCAACGATCAACACATCCCAGATTCACCATTTAGAGTGTTCATTAGTCCATCTGTAACAGATGCTAGGAAACTGACTGTTAGTCAATTACAAGATAAGGGATTACAGGTGCGTGTTTTATTTACATTATGTTATAACGATTTACCAAGTTTTGTCGTCACTTATTTTACTTTATACAGTATATTGTATGTCAATTTTATGGTGCAGATTCATACTCATATATCATCCATTGAACATTTGCAATCATATTTTTAAGGCTTGTATCATATTCATATATTAAAGCTGCATGAACAATGCTTAGTTGTACTTATACTAGATAAGTTATATGTAACGCATACATTTGCTATATTGTGTTTTGAGGATATTTGATGGCTTTTTCAAGTTGAAAATTTATGTGGTTTCTCTCTTTTAATGCGGCCTGCAGAATATTTTAAAAGTAAGACACTTTTGAGTGACACACTTGAGTGACACATTTGAGTGACACTTCTGAGTGACACATTTGAGTGACACGTTTGAAATCTATCATTAATCAGTTATATCTTGTAGAAAATACACAGCTATATGATTCTGTATTTGGCAAGCAAAGCTTTACTCGCTATTGCCACAAAGCACACTACATATTCTATATATACACTATATATTTATCAGCATGTAGAAGTGAGCATTGCATTTGGTTTTCAGACAGATTTAGAAATTGGCTCATTCATATGTCAGAAAATGACTTGTCCATACGTCATACCTAGAAATTGAGGTTTTTGTAACTGTCTAAAACCAATTTGTATAGTTTAGCCTACTTTCATCATTTCCTCATAAATTACATTCTCTCAGTAAATCTGTGTATATACAGATCAATCAAGGCCATTTGTTTGCTGTTCAGCAGGAAACAACAAGTTTCCTAGTACAGTGGCAGCACTGTAATGAATTGGTCTAACATTTGTGCAGCATTTTCTTACAGTAGTTTAGTATAGAAAGTGATGTAAATAATAAATCATTTGCTTTATTTTCTACAAGTGCTGATCTCTTATTAGTTCAGTTTCATGTTCTACATCACATATGTATTTTATTTATGTTTTCAATTCTTTTTTGAGCGATACAAAACTTTCATTTTCAAAATTAGTTTCATCATCCTGGGGTTTGATATGGGTAGAAAGTTTTGTATCACTATCTATTGGTAAATATTGGGTCAAAATTTGATTTAAAATGATCATCGTTATTTCAGTCCATGAATTTAACAGTTAATATACTGGCATGTGCAGTTTATCATTGAAATGTTTTTACCAGATTTTTGATCTTTTTAATCAAATTTTGACCTATGCCTGTAGTATAGACTATTTAGTTATATATTCTCTGTTTTATTTGGTCACTAGATAAAATTCCAGGTATTGTATAGCATTTATAGATGGCACTGTTCTTCCAATACACTGTCCTCTATTGTGACCTGTAATGTTCATTTCTGGATTAAGATTGAAGTGGAAAGAAGGCCTATAAATTGGTTCTACACATTTGCCAGTTATAATTGTGGCAATATTTGCTAATTCAATGAGATTTGGTTAGAATGAACATTGCAGTGCTACAACTCAACCAAAATATTTAGTCCCATAGTAAGCCGTAGTGTGTTAAGTCATTTGCTTTATATTGTTATTATTATCATAATGTTGTGGCTGGCTTTAAAAGGGTATATACATTCTTGTTGTGTTCCAAACTCTCATGAAATATTTCTTCTTTAGGTAATTCGATTGTCATTTTTGGGACCATTAGCAGGACCTCCAAAAAATCGTTCAACTAAAAGTACAATCGAATATCCTACATGTCCTCGCTAAGATTTATATAATTCATAGTTAAGCTTGATAGTACAAAAAATAACACACAAATAACACTACCAGTCATTTACCATCAATAATTGTTTTATATGCTAAATTGTCAGCTTCCTCAACATATACCAGTATACCAAAGCACAAACATTAAATGTTCCCAGTCTTTCAACTACAGTATGTACGTTAATACCCCATTTATGTTCTGGTTTTGATATTATTTATTGCAATTTCGGTTCGTTCAGTTTACCATCCTCCCAGTCCCAGTTTATTGTTTGTCTCCTGTTAAATTAAAAAAATGAAATTTTTGTTTTATTTTTAAGTTCAATTAAGATTTGTTGACGTTTAACACATTATTTAAATAGGGTGAAGGTGGAATGGTTCGATCTTATGTAATATAAAGCCATTTTGTATTTTAACGAAGGTTTTGAAGTTCAGTCTTGTATTTGATTAATCGGCTGTAATGAAATTATCTGATGAAATCTGGTTCACTTAAACAGTTAAAAGGAACATATGTATCATGTTATAAGCATGAAACCCAAAACTCATTAATGTAACCATTACCATACATTATTAAACTCAATGTTATTTTCCTAAATTCAGATTGGCAAGCCAGCTGCATTCACAGTAGAAACCAATGGTGCTCTAGGTAAACTCGATGCTCGAATCGTCGCACCCTCTGGCGCAGAAGACGAAGCTGTTGTTCAAGAAATTGACGAGGGTCACTACGCTGTTAGATTCATCCCACGTGAAAATGGAATCCATTATGTTCACGTGCGATTCAATGGTGCTCATATACCAGGCAGTCCATTCAGAGTGCTTGTAGGCAAAACTGATGCAGACCCTGGACTTGTACATGCATATGGTGAAGGATTGATCAAGGGAGAAACTGGTAAGATTTGGGCATTCTGGAATTTTGATGCCTTCTGTATATCCATATGTACATTTTTCTCAACTTTATTGAACAAGTAACAAGCTATAGATTATTGAGCTGTACATTATATAGTGGATGCTTATTGTCTACATTCATGAATTAAAATTTCAATGTCTTAATTATTTAATGATGTCTTAAAATAAATATTGGTTGACAAGTAGCTTTAGATTTCAACAATTTCAAATACTAAGATTAAACATAATTAAAATTAAAACTGAATTAACATATTTTCACTTCAAAATTAAGATTTATCTGTTGATACAGTAGAAAAATAAAAATAACTTACAACTTACCATTCAATAAATGATAAATATTATGAGAAATATTAACATGTAAATCTAATCCATACTTTTATCTTCTTTTTTCCTAACTGAAAATACATGTACAATCTGTTTATAAAGTAGATGTGGTGGGTTTATGTTACTACCGCTATATTGACACCAATTAACATTATTTCATTGAAATGCTTTATTGATCTGTGTTCATACATTATTAACATTTGCTTCTCAAAAGCATTTGGTGTCTTGTAAAACCAAGTCCTGCATATGTGCCTACACTTGAATAAAAAATATTCAATGCAGAACTTGATCTGTACTCATCTTTAAATGTATTAATACATGTACTGTGGAACCTGTCTGTAATCCCGAGTCACATTTGCTTTGATTCGATTCATCAGTCGCTCCCTGGCCAATTGAGTATTTTGTTGAAAATTGTATTGAACGAAATACTCAATTGGCCAGTGATATCGGACCAAATGTGACTCGGACATATCTGACACCTCTGTGTCTCGGAAAAGTGCAGCTTTAGAGCTCTTCAGCTTTTCAAATTTTTTCGTGTCAATGTTAATAACAGGTGCTTATCACAACAGGTTCTACTGTACTGAACTTTTTGAATATTACGAACATGTCGGCTTTACTCTGTACATTCGCTTCCAGGCAAGAAGGCCAAGTTTATTGTAAACACAGTAAATGCTGGATCCGGTGCCCTCTCAGTGACTATTGATGGGCCATCTAAGGTTCAGCTCAACTGCAAAGAAATTGATGAGGGATATGAATTCAGCTATACTCCCACCGCTCCTGGAGAATACCTCATTTCTGTCCGCTATGCTGGCAACATTCATATCGCTGGTAGTCCCTTCAAGGCTATCGTGACAGGTGTGCAGGCTTTTTACATTCTTATTCTACATCACTATGGGGTTTACACTTGAACTTTTTTCTTCAGGGAACTCCCACTTACTTTTCTGCCTATTTTTACAGGATACACTTAACTTATATGTGAGCATTTTAGTTGGTTTTTTTACGAGGTAAGGATTTCATATGGAGATGGATCTTTCAGAGGGCATGAAAAAAGTGAAAGAAATAATTTTCAGTCGAACCATACAATTTGCTTTCTCTTTAGACATATTATCCCAAAATATCTATGCTCAAGTCGGAAATGAAGAATTGAGATACAAACTTAATCATTCTTTAAAATCAAAAAGTGACTCTCATTTTGAACTTACTCTTTATATCTGTTTCAAGTGTAAATCCTATTTATATCTTTTACATCATGTGTAGTGCTATAGTCAGCAGTATTGGGATGAATACAATCATCACCTGCATGACTAGAAAGCTATAGTGGTTATTGGTAGTATAGGGTGTAGAATTGCCCATTTCAACACAGGATCATGGATTCTTTTTATTTCCCTACTTTTTTTTCTTTTTATTTATTTATTTTGAAATTTTTCTTAAGTCGAGGGAGTTAGTGGTTTTATTGGAACTGAGCTTATAGGGAAACAAGGACTAACAATCGAGTGATTTTTAATCAGAAGTATATAATTCTCATATTATTGAATAGATGGCAGAAATGCAGTTCATGTGACTATTTGGTTGGGCAAGGTTGACATGGGTTTGTTCTGATTTTATATTTTATGTTGGCTGATTTAAATGAAAATGAAATTACGAAGTAGGTTAGGAAATATTATCTACGACATAGTCTCACATAATTATAACAAACATTTTTGTTTGCATCTGTTTGTTGTAGATCTAGTTATTGAGTAGATTGGAATTCATTTTCAATGTGATAATCTTTTCTTTAGTGTCACAATGATTTAGATATTTTAACATGACTGAAGCAAGTTGTATAAATAGGATCACTGACCAATTAATATTTACATCATATGATATTATATACATTACATTGTGTCATATTATATTTATACATGTATTCTATTCTATTTATCTTTTATATGTTTCTCTTTTAGGAAGTGGACGTGTCTCTGGCCTTCATGAACACTCTGCAGTTGTCGTGGAAACTGTAACCAAGTCAAGTACCACACAACAATTCTCTAGTATGGCAAGGTTTGACTCTGATGCCAGCAAGGTCATTGCTAAGGGTACAGGCTTGAATAGGGCAAATGTGAACAAAACTGAAACTTTCTCTATTGATGGGTCTAAAGCAGGTACGTTTAGTCCAGGATAAGTTATGACATGTTTCAAATGCTGCAATGGGGTATTGCTTAATAAAACATTGCAATAAAGTCCAGGATACGCTTTTAACAATAAAGATTGACAATGTAAATGTGAAGAATATCTCAGTGACTGATACTTATTTGGTTTAATGATGATGCTTATCATTATCACCAACGGTATTAAGATAAAATTCTTCTATTTGTTAATTTTTAAGGAAAATGTTGCTATTATTTTTCAGGGATTTTATAAGCAGATTCATGTTATTATTGGACAATCTTTACTGAATTATTAATTTGAAAATCTTGATGTTTTCCAGGCAGGAACATGTTGATGGTTGGTATCATGGGACCAACAATCCCATGTGAGGAGATCAAGATAACTCATACAGGAAATCTGAACTATACTGTTAACTACAGCGTGAAAGAACGTGGCCAATACGTCTTGGTCGTCAAGTGGGGTGATGATCATATCCCAGGATCCCCCTTCCATTTTGAGGCCCCATAATCCTCTGCTTCACTAGCAGACGATTTGTAGGATAATATTCAAATTTTATATTACGTCTCAAACCTTGAGGGTTGGATTTATAATTCATGATGCTTTAACAATGCTGTTACTTCCATATTGGACAAGCTGAAGAATAGAGATATTGAGTTGTGTATAAATGCCAGATTTGGAAAAAGAAATCAATCAGATACGATGTGTAAATTTCGGAATCTATAATGGAAGATGGAAAAAGAAACCATTCAGAGAGAGAATTGAATGAGACTGTGCAATGACATTGTTAAAAATTGTTGCGCAATACGCATACCGACACTGCCAGCATAATATTTGCATGTTGCATTATGTTTAATATTATCAAATTAATTTTAAAACTCGTACACACATGCATGTCACTTTGACGAGACCTGAGAATGAGCGAATAATTCTCCGAGATGATAGACAAATTGAACTGTGATTGTCAGATTGTTAAAAGATTATTTTTTGAAATAGTATTGTCTAGTCACAAACCATGTCATATGTAATGATTCAAGTATAGTCTAGGCTACCAATCAATGATTCAAGTATAGTCTTAGGCTACCAATCAATGATTCAAGTATAGTCTAGGCTACCAATCAACTGCTGTTATGATCTAGGCTATCATCCATACTTAAGATTGATGCTTTTACTTTAAATTGTGTAATGACACACAACTGATATGAAATTTAATAAGGATTAAATAGACGATTCATTATGTACTTACATGCATGTTATTCTGTTTTAAATATAAACAGAAGAAAATTTATGGTTTTCAATCATGATCAGTTTTCAGAACATATGCAAAGGTTTAATATCACATATTTTCAATCATCCAAAAGTTCTTTCATATTGTCATATTTTTTATCATATGTACATTAAATGTTAAATACGTATGTATAGAATATACACCTTACATAGCTAGATATTTTGTATGTCATAACATGATACGAAGCAATAATTATAAGAAGTACTTTATATTAACCCCTTTATTGCCAATGTTTTTATCGTTATTTGGCAATAAAAGGGTTAAAAATGGCTGTAAGCGCGTAGAGGTGTAGTACCAAATTATTGAATGTTTCATTTTTGGAAGACCTTGTGATCTGTAGATTCAGTTTAGTTTAAGAGGATCAGAGAAATGTTTTAGTTGACTTTCCAAATTGGTTTGGAACTAAATTGAATGTTTATATACATGAAACTTATTATTTATATGTTAGATATACTTTATATTTCACAATCAGAAATTACTGATGCTAAAATGGAAGCTTTTATTGCCTTGTTGCTTGTTGCAACATAGAAGCAAATATCATGTACTAACCCAAGCAGCCATGGGATATTGCGTAAATCGGCAATTTATCCGCCAGAAAATTGCCAATCTAAGCCAATATTTTATGAAATGGTTTCAAAATGTTCCTTTGTGTCAAATTGCGAAACCCATTGTTTTAAAATCTTTGATTAAAAGAAATATAAAATATACGAAAAATACAATTCTGTTGCGGTTTTAGAACAAAGGGTCTAGCTTTTTTTCAGGGATTGTTTGCTTCTCCCCGCTCACAATTGTGACATAATAATAGGAATTACATGTGTGTATACCATGTATGTTAGCTTTTGCTCTAGCCAACCATTTATATCCACATATTTTGTATGCAACTTATACATATAATACTATACATATGTAGGGGAACCTAGGAAGAATTCTGCTAATAAAAAATAACAGTTTTGCCATTAAGTACACTCTTTGTTGAGTTCAATTTTATGTACAGATTCTTAGAAACTGCAATTTCCTAAAAGTAGCACCTAAAAACGTGAAGACTCGTGGTTCCCTATTTCTTTTACTGTTGTAACATCAGGTAGCCATTTTTAAATCAAAATTCCAGTCTTTAACTTACTTACCATGATTTAAGTTTGGAATTCCCCAACCTAATGTATTGTTAAAGAAAAAACCACCTGCCATTTGTTATAATACAAATGCTGAACGCCACCTGCCAAACACCATCCACAAAAAAAAAGTTGGAGACTAACAATATGTTGCTACTTCTGTTGATTCCATAAAAACTACTTTTACATCAATATTTACAAACAACAGATTTATCATTTTAAATATTTATTAAAATGTACACCACACATTTAGACAGTATACATGTGAACTCTTCATTTCGAATATTTTTGCATTATCGATGTACCATGTTTTAAAACTCCACTTTCCTGACATTGCGCACTGCACTGATCGGCATTATTGATTTTTTAAAAATCTTATGCAATTTAGACAAATCAAACTAAAATCAGGAATAGTTTAAAATTTGTGACTTGAAAACATATGTATCTATTTATATATATATGTATCTATAGACAATGTGATCAGGAAAGTGTATAAAACATTAGATAATTTGACGAAAATAAAGCTCTACAAGTCTGGCAGTTTAAAAAACTGCCCAAATTGGAAATGAATGAAATATACTGTATACACCTTACAATGTCCAAAAGGACTACATGCCATCTACATGTATATTTACATCTTAAATTGTAAACTGAACATTAAGTAACACACCTAAGTATAGTTCCTATATAAATACATGTAAAATCATGGAATTCCAAAAGTAAGACAAGCTAATAAATAAGACTACAATATGGATGTTTTCAATCAGATGCTGGCACTTGCTCTAAGCAAATTTACTTTGGCCTTTTTGGATAAGCGTATCAACGGAGATATATGTACAACTTCAGATTCTAAAACCCTAAGGGGCATGGTCAAACATCATGTTTTATTTTAATCAATATTAGTTTTATTTGGGAATGATAAAAATACCACTCTCCATATTAAGTAAGAAACACTGAAATTGAAAAGCAAAATCAGGTTACATTATGTTATTTCAATGTTTTGCGCTAGTTTGAATAAATATGGAAGGAAGGGACAATGTAATATTGGGTTGAATAGATGTTGCAAAGAATTAACATTGATATTTCACCTGACTCCTTACTGGAAGAAACTGTTAAACCATGGCTGTGTTAATGAAAACTTTTTATTTCATCAAAAAAAAACAAAGCACAATCAAGCAGATTGCAAATAATTTCTTAAGTTTTACAAAGCTGAAATGAATTTTTGCAGTTTTGCAGAAAACTTTTGGAATATCAATTATTAGAATTAGTTAATAAACATAATTGTATTTTTTATTGTATTTGTTTACTTATGACACAAATTGATCAATCTATATAACCATCAACAATTATTTTTTTAATTTCATACATATGTATACTAACTAAAACAATAGTACCTCTGTGACGCAAACTAATTCTACCACTTTCAGAGTCCCCATCTGGAGATCAAACTAGATATATCTTCCAATAACAACTAACAAATAGGATGTTTCTGTTGAGACTAGTCTTTGTTGAAAAGAAATGGCTCAAAATACTCATATCACATTTTATCAATATACCTAATGGCTGAAAACTATAGCTGCAAAATCAAAACTAAATACTTAAATAATTGCACTCTTATTGCATTGACTTGATATATAATATATCTATTATAAATATTAACTCTACTGAGTCTATATCACGCGGCAATAACTTCGACCGTTAATTTGAATTTTTGACAGAAAGGCAATTTTGTTTTGCTTTTAATGGTATAAGTTTGAAGAAAAACGGTGCAGTATGAGACTCGCAATCCTTGATTTTCAAGTATCTGATAGGTCAAAAATTCAAATTAACGGTCGAAGTTAGTATCGCGTGTATATGCAAGTTACAAAGTATATAATAATTATGGGCACAAATACCATTGACACAATTTGATCACTCATTACTTAGTGTAAAAATTATTTTTGGGCCAAAATTATCATTTTTACCTCATGGATATGATTTTTGGTGGATAAAAATGATATCCTTGACACTCTTGGATAAAGGGATTATATACTGCACTTCTCTCAACAATAGATTTCAATATTTGAAATCATCACTTATGACTGTGAACTTGAACAAAGCTCACAATCAAGAATAAATTAAAATGACACATCTCCTGCTACAAGACACACATAATGATCCATAATATGTGTCACTTGTTCAATGTTTCCTGCTACAAGACACACATAATTATCCACATGTGTCACTTCTGCAATGTTTCCTGCAACAAGACGCTCCACATGTCTCTTTTGTTCAATGTTTCCTGCTGTAAGACACACATTACACTCCAATTGTGTCTCTTGTTCAATGTTCCTGCTACAAGACACATATTAAGCTCCACATGTGTCTCTTGTTCAATGTTTCCTGCTAAATGACACACATTACACTCCAAATGTGTCTCTTGTTCAATGTTTCCTGCTACAGGACACACATAATGCTCCACATGTGTCTCTTGTGCAATGTTTCCTACTACAAGACACATATGCCGCTCCATATGTGTCTCTTATTCAATGTTTCCTACTACAAGACACACATGACACTCCAGATGTGTCTTTTGTTCAATGTTTCCTACTACAAGACACACATGCTGCTCCATATGTGTCTTTTATTCAATGTTTCCTGCTACAAGAAACATGTGTCTCTTATTCAATGTTTCCTGCTACAAGAAACATGTGTCTCTTGTTCAATGTTTCCTACTACAAGACACACATTACGCTCCAAATGTGTCTCTTGTTCAATGTTTCCTACTACAAGACACACATGCTGCTCAATATGTGTCTCTTATTCAATGTTTCCTTCTACAAGACACACATAATGCTCCACATGTGTCTCTTGTTCAATGTTTCCTACTTCAAGACACACATGCTGCTCAATATGTGTCTCTTATTCAATGTTTCCTTCTACAAGACACACATAATGCTCCAAATGTGTCTCTTGTTCAATGTTTCCTACTACAAGACACACATGATGCTCCACAAGTAATCTGATCATCACTATCATATTCTTCAATTCCTCTAGCAAACAGCTTGATAGCTTGACAGTGAACTCTAAAAAGAACAAAAATATTGTCTACATAGTGGTGTCGCAATTACTAATCATAATGATACAATATACAGAAGTATAAAGAACAATCCTAAAATATAGATTTTAATATGAGTCCAATTAGTATTGTACACTTGTTCACAATTTCATGAAGTGATTCAAGGAAGCACAGGCTTTTACTTTATAGAGGTCTGTATTGTGTTATATTTTCTGTAAATCTTCATCTGAACTAAATCAGAATAACCATAAGTCTGAAGAAGGTAGACAATTAAAATTGAATTAAAACTTATTGTGATTGAAATGATTGTGATGTCAATACCAATGATACTTATTTACTGAAAGTCCCTTTTGTTAACAAACATGTATATTCTATACTTTACAAGGCATTAACATGACAAAATGTCAACATCTGATTGCATACTTAGAGGTTATGTTACTATTGTTGCATAAATGCCCGAGGGTTTCAGTGATATATGGCCCGACCTTGGGAGGGACATTGATCACTGAGAACCAAGGGCATATGTGCAACTATAGTGACATAAACGATTTATAACATACCTATGATGATCTAGTCTGGTCAGAGTACCATTTTCTTATCTAATTGGTTCGGAAATGATGATTTATTCACATGTTTGTATCTTACGAATGTACGAGTCAATTTGTCCTAGGCCTAATGTATGACGTAGTAACAGCGCTTGACCAATCAGAAAGTTAGCGGGCGCGGGCTTTTCAAAAGTTATATTGGCCCGCTGTCTTGTGAACAGTTTACACTATACATCATCATAGGTATGTTATAATTACACGTTACAAAGAGTGTAACAAAATGTTACAAAGGCAGATATACCAGTCAACAGCATCTAACATCATTAGCATCGTACCCGATATCAATAGCATTTTACCTAACATCTAAAGCATTTTACCTGACATCAATATAATTTTACCTGACATCTATAGCATCGAACCCGATATCAATAGCATCTTACCTGACATCTATAGCATTTTACCTGACATCAATATCATTTTACCTGACATCAATAGCATCGTACCCGATATCAATAGCATCTTACCTGACATCTATAGCATTTTACCTGACATCAATATCATTTTAACTGACATCTATAGCATCGTACCTGATATCAATAGCATCTTACCTGACATCTCTAGCATTTTACCTGACATCAATATCATCTTACCTGACATCTATAGCTGCTTGCTCAATGGGTTCCCCATCAGAGTTCCAAACACTATTACATGACCCTTGCTTGACGTGAGATTTCAAAGTTTGTTGACCATCTGGATGAGCCTCTGCACAATCATCTATGACATCATCATCGTCAATTAATGGCCGGAACTTAAACTGACGCACTCTGTGGACTTGTATGAAGTCCATGTCAAACTGCAATGCACATGTAAATATTATAGTTTATGAACGATATACAGCAATGTATTACAGGATTGGAGAGCCTAATGTTAGATATTGACATGTATGGAAAACTTGTGTATAATAAATCATATATAAGGCATTGATATGAAAAATGTCACCACCTGCCATTTGTTACAGATGTCCAACTCCCCAACTCCGAATGCCGAAACACCATCCATAAAATTTGAAGATTACAACAATATGTGACCACTTGTGGTGGTGACATAAAAATAGAACCATTCATTGGGCTCACTTGGTGTATGCTAATTCCATCATTGTCATGATACTAATAACAATTATGTGTATGTATGAATGGATACTTTTCTTTTGATGCATCATGTTTTAGTGTTTTAGTGTTTTTTTTCATTTGTCCAAAACTTTTTGACAAATGAACACCATTATAACAACATATATTGAAAATATTTAGAAATGTAAGATCCCTAGTAAAGGACATATTCAGTTCATATTCATATGAGGAAGAGATTCAAACCTGATTATCTTTCTTAGCTGTACACCTCCATAAGTGTCTAATGTAGTCTATCCTCGAAGTCTCGTGTACTAGCACTAGATCTAGACATCCGTCCCCCAGGTGGCAGCATGGTGCAACACCCTCAGGACTCTTCTCACAACGACAACTCATGGTAAACGAATTTATAGCTAGGAATTTACCACGCACCCTTCTCCATGCATCATCTCCTGAAGAGAGGAACAACAATGTAAAATTTCTAGTTCACGTCATTGCCTTATTTTCTTGAAACAAAGCCAATTCAAAATGGAATAAGACCCATGGGCCATTTATTGAAAATTATATGTATATTCAAAATAAGACACACAGGGAAATGACAATATTTGGTCAATCGGTGAAGGGATGACTACCGTTGGACCTATTTTTGTACATACATGTATTTCACTATTTTTGCAACAACTATTCATCGGAAAAGATAATGTCAAAGTTAGTTTGACACATCTCCTTATAACATGTTCATGACATTTATTTTGAAAAATGACATACCAAAGCCATCAGGGGTATGAGGTTCACCACTGGCGTAAGAAAGGGCTGCTTCATTACACACTTTACATCTGAAACAATATATACTAATTTTGAAATGCCTTTAACTTTTTTCCATTTGAGTGTTGAATCAACTTCGGATAAACTTTAAAATAATATATGACACATACTATGAAGACATTGGTATATGTCTGCTTAGAGGGGCCCCATACTTTCTGGACACCATGTATGTAATTGTAGACAAGAAAATAATATATCAAAGAGTACATTCTTAAAAGACCGAATCATGTAAATCACGCTTGAATCACATTTGTAAAAACTGCTAATTTGCTATATATGCAACTGCAAACATCGATATTGTAAATCTAAACAATATATACCCTCATATTTTAGTGTATCAAAAAACAGAGGATTCATCATTATGAATTATTTATAACATACCCAAGAAGACATCTGCTGCCATCTTTAGGATGTAAATGTTTATTTGGGCCAGGGAGAAATGTCACCTCTCCCTCATAAGAATTATTGGATAAAGTTTTCTTCAGACCTGAAATGAAAAAATTCATATATCCATTTTACTCATTCAAATGGGGTGACATGGAGAGATATACATTACATAAAGGTGAATACACACACGAAAAGTACAAAAAGGTATTCCACTTTCAGATGTGTTCCTCTCTACAGGTTTTACTATTACTGAAATGGATCAGTGGAACAGACATATATTATTTATACAACACAACCCATACTAGTTAATCATTAATTAAAAAACCAATTGTTTGTATATTTTTTAAGAAATAATGCAATAAAATCATGTATAAAAAACTTGTTAATCAATTAATATGGGCCATTATTTTTGGTGACAATAAAACTGGTACAAAAAGAGACACAGAATAAAAGGTGAAACTATTTGTATTATGTGTGCTGTAAAATTATCTTACCTGACCAATCATATCTTTTTGGCCCCATCCATCTCTTATCTTCACTATCTACTATCACATCTCCATAGAAACCATATCCAAGCAATGATACATTGAAACACAGGAAGTGGTTGCTATGGTGTAAGGTGGTGACATCTATAGCCATGTTGTCCCCTGTTGAATATAAAATCCCACACAAAATAACTATAATATGCCAACCACGAAAAAATAATGAAGATTTCAAATATGGGTTTATCACATCCTTTTAAATATTGATAAGCTGGTCTAGTGAGCATAGTGCTTTTATCATGCTAATAAATACCTCCATCTCTAATCAAAAATCACAGACTCGATGAGGCTTTAAGGTATGCTATACAGTGATGTATTATCTATCTATTTTCGGGTTTACATTGCATGTTAAAATGAGAACTTTCAGACTTATTAGCATGTTGAATTGATCTAGACTAGATCTCAAAGCATCTAATTCCATGTTAGGTTTCAAAATATGCACATCCAAATTTTCAGAAAATATCATATTGACACTCGGGCTATCGCCCTCTGTCAATATGATATTTTCCTTGGCCAATATCATATTTTCCCTCGGAATAAAATCCATATTCCATCCCTCCCATTAAATAACCTCTATTTATTTTAAAAATACTAGTGGCAATACTGAAACGAGGTTCATGCAGTAATTCTTACCGCACTCAATTTTAGAAGCAAGGGGTCTGGAAACCACTGATGCAGGCCCATAGCCAGGTGGAGCAGCTATGGGCCATGCAGTTTTTCACTATTCTGAGCACTTTTCTCATAATTTTTTGGCCAAAAACTGTCAAAAAGCTCCTCCTTGGCAAAAGCTCCCCTTTGGGGACTAAGACTAAGACTGATTAAAATCAAATCTACTAATCATGATTTGACAGTGAATAAACTATTTCCAATAAAAAGCCATATGGATTCTGGTGAATGATGGTAATCTAAACAAATCTCTTGACTTCACATCGGAAACATATGAAAGGGCATTCTATTGATTACGAGTAAAATAATTAAACTGAATATACTTCTGAAATATAAAAGGTCAGCATAACCAAAATGAATCTAGCATGATCTATTGATTGAACTTGTCAGATATATATAGCTTGGGGGAAATGTATCAAATTATTGATTTATGCAAGAACTACTCCTCAATCATGATGGGATAGAAAACATGACTATCCAAGCCCTAACACTAATCTATAATAATATGTTTTTCTAAACCCCTTCACCTCATTTCACACTTATCCCTGGCTACTTACTGTTGAACAGAAGAGAGGAATTACCCAGAATTCAATGTTGGACCTATCTTCATGTAGGTTCAACTTTTCATAAAGGTTCATCTTTGATTTCTTGGTTTCCCACCCTCTTTTTAAACAGTAAAGGATATAAATTGGTGTATATTCATTTCTACATTGAGTAGGCAATAATATTAATAATGAATGTGGTATGAATGAATGGTTTACCATACTAGAAAATCCCAACACCACAGTGTAGCAAACCCAAACAAACAAAATATGCATTCCCAAAGTAATAGGCATGGGCATAGCGCCTGGTGTGGTTACAAATACATAAACCTCAAAAAACAACCATATTTCAAAATTGAATGCTCCTTTTTTTGCTTTGTTTTTAACTCTTGTTCCCGTCATGGCCTAATACTAATCAAAATAGTGCCACGCCAATGATAGTTAATCTTATATTTTAGATATTGCCATGCTTACCTAGAATTATATGCAAGGCGGATGTTACAGGATCATCTGCCCCTGTTGTACTGTGAACCACTGTATTGGTGGAACCTAAAACAAACATTGGAACAAAGAGTGTATTCGGGGACTGTCTAAAAAATGTGAACATTTATTGATTTCTTAGAATGTAAGTAATAAGTAATGCTAAATACTCAAATCAATAACTTGATGTTTTTTCAATGTGAACTAAAAGACTTTTGAAATGTCTGCAAAATTTTTTTTATTCTTTATAATTTCATGATTCATTTCTACATCTTTCTTCTTCAGGTAAAATTGTTTAAACACTTATATTGACAATATTTAAGACAATACTTTAAGACAAAACTGAAGCAATATTTAATAAATCATAAACCATTGGTCTAAATGCAAGAACAAGCAAATAACAATAACAAATCAGTAAATTCAATAGTGCATCTTTCCTTCAACATTATCATATCAAAGCAAAAGTTATGATTAAATGCATAACTAAACATTCAGTGTTGAAGATGACCACAAATTAACATATATCAATAAACATGACCTAAAACTGACCCATACTATTCAGTTTATCCTGAGACACATTTCTGGCACTCAATCAACTGTTCTTTTTCTAAAGGCATTGTACATGTGGTTGTGGGGGGGGACTGAGGTGGAGATGGGGTTCAGTGGTGTGTAGACATTTTGTAATTTTTTTCATTATTTTACGTTGTAATATGGATAATACTCCCATTAGGGGGTCTTCCGTCTTATTTGATCTATATGATTTTATTATAAACTGAAATAAAACAATAACATAACATAACATAACAATATTGTCAATATGACAATATTAATAATACTCTGCTCCAACAGTTTCATTAATTAATCGAACCGTATATACCGAACATACCAAACAAGCCCAAAGAACCGTGGTGCTCTGCAGTTTCGGTTAACAATTGGAGCCCAAGACAATGCCCTACTGTTCATTTGTGATTCCTTTACCTGCTGGAATGATGCCAATTCTAAGTTGTGGCTGGATCAATGGAATAGATGGCCCTAATGTATGTATCCCAGAATCCTTCAGTGTTCGCAGCAGAAGTCCATGGAGTATCTCTGAAAACATCCCATCGCCACCAACACATATGATGCTACAACAGAAATACAATCTTCACCATAAATGTGTCAAAAATGACTTCAAAAAACATTATGATAAATGGTATAATTGGTATAAAAACAAAGAACCGAACGGAATATTGTATGATATGGCTATTAATTTCATTATATGTACTTTTACAGATGTTCTTTAAAAATGGGTGTTCATTGGCGGAAAGTTCACTACAGGTAAACATTCGCTTGAAGGAGGTTTTCATTCGAAAGGTGTTCACCAGAGAGAGGTGTTCACTAAAGAGATTAAATCATGAGAAAGGTGTTCATTTCAGTTCATTTTTTGCAAGAGAAAGAGAGAGATGTTCGCAAGTTAAGGTTAATTGTTTTTATTTGTGTAACAAATTATATATTATTACTTGATACATGATTGTGGAGGACTGGGGCTTTAAACATTCACAAGAGAATTCATGTCACTTGGAGAGGTTTCATTGTCATTGGAATCATTGCATTTGCCAACCACTTACCCATCTATCCTCCCGAGATCATAATCAGAGACAATGTCTTTGGCATGATTTGCTCTCTGGGTAACTGAAACAAACCACTGTACTCATTAAAAAATCGATAACATCTATTACGATTAACTATGCAATATTTTATGATTTTTGAGGCTTAATATTAAAAAAATATAATAATAGAATAATTCATTGTTCTGGAATATATTTGATGTTCTGGAATGTGTTTTAAGAATATCATCCTCTTCCCTAAGTAAAATGACCAGAATCAACTGATGTCACATTTGAACTCGGCAATAAACCAAGTAATAAATTCTATAATTAACCACCATGCGCAAAATCAGGTAAAATGGTTTTGACTAAGAAACCTAAAAATTATAAATTAAAAATTAGGTTTTTCAAAAATATCAAACATTGAAATTTTTTATTGCATAGTTTTTAGATTTCTTGATCATTGTCATATCACATGACCTTGATTATGTCGAGTAATAATGGAATAAATACTCTCATGTCGTTAATGAAAGCATGTGCTTATTTACCAACAACGTCAACTTGTATTTTCGCCAGTTCGAATAAAGGCTCGATTTTCTCTGCATAAATTTTTGGTCCTCGTTTTTTCCCTCCATATGGATTAACAAATAGTAAGAGTCTCTTCGGTCGATTTTCTACAAAAAAATATTTGCAATATAATCAAATCATGCAAATGGGAATAACAGATGCTTGTAATTGAAAGCTGTGGTACTTTTTAGTTCAGCCAATCAAGCATAGAATTACGGCAACTAATCTGTTATGAGAGTATCTTGCAAAACTAGTAACGATAATTACTTTATCGATAGCCTCGTAGGTGACATGCTGACATTTACTGCAGAAAATGACAATATCATGGATGTCTCAAAGATTTTTCTTGAAAAAATACAAAGTGTCTCACATTAATCTTTGGTTAATCAGTTTTGTGGCAATTGTAATTGAAAAGGTGAATACATAATGGTACACCCGTAATGACAATTAATATAACAAGGTGTGGGAGGGGGTAATGTCCATTATTCTTAAGGCAATTTTTATTGTTATACATTTAGGGAATAGAAGGGGACTAAGCTGATGGGACAACTAAAATAACTGAAATATTGACCTAAGGTCTATACTTATTCTTTTAATGGTTAACTCTCTGAACATAATCTATCATAACCTTTATTTTAGACAAGAACTCATACATATGAAAGGCTGTAAAATATGTAATAATTCCCCAGTTTCTCCTTCAGGACATAATCAGATACTTTAGTGGTTTATTTCGTGCCTAGGTTTATTGAAACCAATTTTTAACTAGGCCACATAATAGTCTGATGGATAAATGTCTTAAATGAGACCCAAGTAACATGTAAAATTAATCATCCTTGGCTATAACTTAGACATATGAAGCTGATATATAAAATGAATATATAAACAGATACCATGGATCTCACATTGGATGGTCTATTACTGAGGAGATGTACAATTTTGAGATCGAAATAATATTCCAGTTTTCAATCTAGCACTAGGATCACCGTGACAACCCCATTTCAATTTGCAGTTTCCCGTAATTTCATTATTTCTCCCCGTGATTTTGTGATCATTTAATGAAGGATATTAATGGATCTACAGTCTTAATCTGAGAATCTATCACTTGAAGAACATTCAAAGACGAAGACAATTTTCAAGAGAAGCAATAATTTTTCTTAGACCTAGATTATGAAATGTTGGTCGGATACATGACAAATACGTTCCAATATTCAACCTCTAATATCCAGTCTCTTTGATTTGGTATTCAGAAAGATGTTCAACTAAGAGCCCTTTGGTCTCTAGAGTCTGATCTTATCTTGAGACTGATCTCATTGCTAGACTACAGCTTCAGTGGATGAACTATGATACTTCTTCCTTTGAGAATTTGCATACATTGGCTAGACAAAGTTACTGTCTGCCTATTCAGTTGATTGGAGCTTTCCTAGGCTAGATCATATGTCTCATTTAAAGAGTAAAGACAATGTCTTGCAAAGAGTATTGTATATCTCTGATATATGACATTTTAGTGCACAAATGTATAGTCTTGTATCAACCCCATACATTGTTTCTAACTCAGGGTCTCTTAAGGGCAGACAAGGCATTAACATGAAAATGTCACCACCTACCATTTCTTACAAACACTGATGAACGCCAGTCACCAACTGCCGAACATAACAACACAACATTCACCAAAATAGTTGGAGACAATAACAAAACTGAGGTCCTGAGGCCTCATTATCCGGTCGACGCACCGCAAATCGCAATCGCAACGTAAATATTTAGCAAATCGTACGCAAAACAATATTATGAGGTCATCTCAAAGGCACTCTAGCGCAAATTCATTGCCGTTTTGCGTCTTTAGCGCAAATCGCAGTTTTCTTATTACACGGTAGACGCATCGCTATTTTCATTTCGCATCGCAAATACACTGCTAACCGCACGCAATTTGGTATTATGCAGTCATCGCACAGTTGTGTCCACGTAAATCAGTTGATTTTTATGTCGCAAACTCCACTTTATTTGCGGCATCCCTGACCCTGCCGCAATATAAATCGCAAACATATCATCAAGAATCTTGATAGTTTTCCTATTTAAATTAACATTATCGTTGTAGAAATCTAGGAAGTGCCCTTTGAGACATCCAACTAAAAATAGGTTGAAAAACATAAGAGACACAAATAACCAAAACTTATCAAAATCAAGTCTGAAAGTGCACGATTATGCTACCTCGGTTTTGTGAAATCTATAATAAATATCGCAATTCCATTTCGCAAATATCGTCTGCTAAAATTAAAATATTAGGGATCGATCAAGCTGGAAAATGTGGCGCATATTATTCCAGGATGTTCACAATAGAAGAGGTTTACGCTTATTCAGAGACAGGAGTCAGCCGTTAGAGATGACTGACGATGAGATATTAAACAGATATCGCATGCCGAGGCCACTCATTCTTGAGTTGATTAATATATTAGATGGGGATCTAGCGTCAAGAACAAGGAATCCTCAGGCAATTCCATGTCAGCTAAAAGTATTCATTTCATTACGATTTTATGCTACAGGTTGTATGCAAATGATAAATGGAGATATATTCGGGGTATCCCAACCTACTGTTTCGAACATTGTTGCTGAGGTATCGGCGGTTTTCTCTAGGTAGGCTATATCAGTCGGACTAATTACAAAGACAACGTGTCTTGTTTTCAAGATGGGCTGCCTTCCAGTGACAGATCTAGATTTTCGCAAGATATATATAGGTTATGTAGTGGGAGGGATTCAATATGGGTTAGAGGAGGGTCAGAGGGAAATACCAAATTGTCCCTCACGCAATATGTGAAATATCAAATTGTCATGAGGAATAAACCCATATTTAATCCCGACCAGTAAATTAGCTTTTTATTCCATGATATTCATAACTGTCTTCATAAAATCATTAGTTAGATTTTTCTATGAAAAAATGGTATATTTAATCAAATATGACTTAGCTTTATGATATTTTTAAATATAAAAAAATTATTGTACATGTGTAACATAAACACATCAACATCAAAACATTCAGCAATACGTAAGCATTTTTGTCTGTGTCAGAGCGATGATGATAAAACTGGAATTCGTTTTTCACATAAGAACATCATTTTAGCATGCTATATCGACCCAACTGATTGAAAGAGGAAGCTTTGTTTGGCAAAAATTTTCAATACGATTTTTTTCTCAATATCAAAAATATTCCCGGTTATTCATCGGGAATTAGTAGTATCATGGGATAAATAGAGATTATCCTATATGAGGTTCAGGATATTGAACTATAGGATGATCTGTTTATCCCATACCAATCTTGGTCATTTTGTTCACGCTGTTCAATTGGCCGGAGTTCAGAAAATGTCCAACCAACCGTAAGAATTCATTTAGAATAGCCTGATTTTCAGATATTCATCCACATTTATTTCTGAAATCCTTGTTTAACAGGGATACGCTCATTTCCTTCCTATGTATGGAATAAAAGTTTTTACAAACCAGCTTTATGTACCTATAACACGTCCAAGTATGGGATTGACACATCCGCACTGGCGTAAACAAATACATAGACATTAAAAAATCGATAAATCTATTTTGAGCTCTAAGTTTAAATTTCCCGCGTTTCCAATTTATTTGCGATTAGCATACTGTTGCGTCTGCGTTGCGTCTGCGTTTGCGTGAAGCGCGTAATACGACGCAAACCATGATTTGCGCTTGCGAATAATGTTGATTCGCAAGCGCAACGCAAATCGCAACGCTAATTTAGCGCTGACCGGATAATGAGGGCTCTGTTACTTTTGTATATGAGCACAGTATTATTGCTAAACTGACTATTGAGTTATTAATCATAGAACTCATAGTATGTAATAGTACTTACAAGGCCCTGAGCTAAAGATAAAATTGGGACTTGATGCAAGACTATACAAAGCTTTATCATGCACATAGGAATAGTCATATCATTCTACAGAGGAGAGTTGAGTGTACCATACCCTGAAGGTTCAGGAGGGACAGTTTAATATCAGTCATATTTCTCATGCAAATGCCATATCTGCATACTTCCCCAGAGAGTATTAAATACAGATTCTCCATTTAGCTTCAGATATTGGGAATTTTGTGATTTCAGATATTGGAAATTTTGTGATTTTGAACCCAATATACTTTTAAATTTTCCTTTTTGTAGCTGAGCTGTATTTCTTAAATCTTTTGTCTTACTTCTTTAGGCAATTATGCTTATCATTCTAGATTAAATGATAGAGAAAATGGATATTGTAGCCAGATAACTCGAGGCCTATAACTTTTTATGCAAGGTTGGTATTGAAAAGCAAATCTATGAGATCATTAACTTTCTAGACAGCTCTAAGCAAGCAGAAGATTAGTTACAATGACCTTTGTCTACAATACAATCCCCAGATCAATCAAATCACGCATGGATGAGCTTCGAGGATTTTGGAGTGCAATACAGGTTTTAGGCATGGACAAGTTAGTCCATCATAGATTTCCTTGGTTTAAAATCACAGGCAAGAGAAAATGAAAATGAAGTTTGTCTGTGAATATCATGAAAATACATTCATAAAAAATAGGACGATGTTGTTGTAATATAAATCCATAATCTTACCAGTATATTTTTTCAATTGTTCTTTGATGGCATCTATCAACAGCTGGCAAGATGCACAATCCTTACTCACTAACGTTATCTTCCTCTCTCGCCATTTATACTTATGGGCACGTCGAATTGTATATATGGCACATGTGTTAGATTCTGTATTCTTCAGCTCAATTCCTGTGAATCCCGTTTCATTATGGCTGGTGTGCTCTGTTTGAACTGTTATGATTTCAGAGATCTGAATTCTGCGATTGTGTTCTGAAAGTATAAGATTTAAACATGTGTATGATATAATGTTTGAGAATAAGAAATTAGGAAATAACTAGCTTTGATGATTAAGACATATGTATTACTATTCCATTCAGAAGAAATTGTTCTATTTTTCTATTTTATTATGGCAGGTAGTCTAATAGTCTGACCCTGCCATAACAGACAAGACGCGATGATGATAGAGAATCCTAAAAACAACATGTCTGTAGTAAAGTAAGGGCTGAAAGGGCACTATGGCATATGACAGTAAAATGTTGAGCCACTTAAAAAAAGGATGTAGATAACAGGCAGAAAGACTATAGGCAATTTGAAGAAAATAGGAAAAAGTTAATATATTTTGGCTACCACTGCCTTCATAAAATCTATAAAACGAAACTGTTAGCAATGCTCCAGTGGGAAATGAACTGATATTCACAGTCTGACAGAACTTATGAGAAATTGTCTGCTCATTCTATATAAAGTGTGCAAATGTCTCAAAGTCAATGGTTCACATTCAACATTAATATTCTATTGAAGTCAAGAAAATTAATTATTACCACCTTGCCTGGCCAGTTTTAGGGGTTTTAGTGCTAGTTTAGAAGGCATTCATTTTACTATATCGACCTGAGCAATATGTGACGTCATAGTGGCGGCCAATACTGCCGGTCGAGAATGGAATTCTTGACCAGCAATTTTCCCTGGGAAATTAGATATCGTTCAGTGCATAAGATTTTCTTGCTGTTTCAGTCCTGGTCATTAACAGTGGTAATAATACAAATAATGTCATTTTTGCGGGCTATAGTGAAATATATATATATTTCACTATCTTGCCCTTCGAAATGACGTTATTGTACTATTGACTGACTTTGGTTGGGTTCTCGAATAAGTAAAAAAGTAGAATTCTCTCCTGGTTCTATGTGTATGATACTTTTTTTAAATGGGTGCAAATAGGTCTTCAGTTATGTGATCACAGGCTGGTATCGAAAAATTTGTCCGCTGTGACGGAGCGTGCTATTTTGCATAGAATCACTAGGAAATCCACACAATTTATTTTTTTACTCATATGTTTTGCTATATCAAAGAAAATTACTGACTCCATGCAATGGATATATCATTTGCGGGTAACTTTAAATTCTGTTTGAAGTCCAACAACGTTATGAGTAAAAGCTATTGAAAACGGCGTCGGAGTATCATACTCCAAAATGTACCATTTCTTTTATTTCTTTTTAATGGTACAATAATAGCGACACGATAATATTTACATATGTTTTCAGCATAACTCTGAAGGTATTAATGAGATCTTTATGTATTGGGTATTTTTAATTTTTTTGATAAAAAATAATAATTAATTTTTTTGTCCGCTGTGACGGAGCAGTTTCAAATCTAAAATGCGTTAAGAATTTAGATTCATAATATATTTCTTTACAACTAAACTTTAGAGGAGCGAGCGTGTCAAATCTCTTTCGTAAAGTATTCTGAAAAATGAAACGTAATAAAAGTACACAATTCAAATTCTGAGATGTATAGACGACCACTCTTTAAGCTTCTTTTCTCAGTTTGTACTGCAATCCAACTAATGCATGGTAACTCATGAAAATGATAGTCAACTTCCATTTCAGTAAAGGGTATTTGCCTTTCGTAGTGCCCTCTGTGGATCCATCGGCCTGACATGGTAATTTTTTACGGTAACTTAATTATTTGAAGTAAAATGATTTGCTGAAGATGAAGCTAAATACATATAATGGTATGGACTGTGGATTGTTCTACCCTCTTTAGTCATTCCAAAAGGTAAGTTGAATGTATCTTGAAATACGAAAATGCAAAATTTGATTTTAAGATCGTTCTTTATTTGACTAAGAGTTATGGCTACCTGATGCAACTACAGTAAAATATGTGTACAGTGAACACATATGGAGCCCAAAAATGTGTTCCCAGTTGGTATAGATGTTCACTCCATAGAGGCAATTTCATACAGAAGTCAGAGGAATATTTGATAAGAAGAGGTATTCACTAGAGAAAGATATTCATTGATACAGGTTTTACAGTGCAGCACGTTTACAAAAACTTTTTTTTATAATTTTAGTCTATGCAAAACGATGAATTTCATGAATTTCAAATAATTGCAAATTAAATCTGTATTGGGATCATCTTATATACAGTAATATAATATTATGTGGTATGATGTCTGTGCGCTATTTCGAATAAGTAAATTAATATTAGCCCTATTTACACTACACGTGACATTTCAAGACGTCTAGGCGAAAACGTATTAGAAATATTATGTTGAGTTTACATCATGTTGATTCATGTTGATTTCAGTACAAACCTCCGAAAAATACTAAGAGTGGTCGTTTTTATATCTCAGATTTACATTACCCCATATCTACAAGAGGCTGCTTGTCATTATTTAGGAAATTGATTTGTGACGTTCTCTCTTCTAAGGGTACTTTTAAAGGATATAATTTGAATCTTAAATTCTTAACGTAGTTCACAGTTAAAACTGCTCCGTCACAGCTGACAAAAAATGTAAAGATTATTTTTTATAAAAAATATTAAAAATACCCAATACATCAAGATATCATTAATACCTTCAGAGTTATGCTGAAAACATATGTAAATATTATCGTGTCACTATATTGTACTATTAAAAAGAAATAAAACAAATGGTACATTTTGGAGTATGATACCCTGGCGCCGTTTTCAATAGCTTTTACTCTTAGCGTTGTTGGACTTCAAACAAAAGTTAAAATTACCCGCAAATGATATACCCATTGCATGGAGTAAGAAATTTTCTTTGGTATAGCGAAACATATGAGTAAAAAAATAAATTGTGTGGGTTTCTTAGTGTTTCTATGCAAAATAGCACGCTCCGTCACAGCGGACAAATTTTTCGATACCAGCCTGTGGTGATAGACGGTTTTTAAAAAAAACTTTAAGTGGATGCAGTTTCCACATGCTTCAATGCATGAGATAGCACAGAGAAACAGACATGACCTTTTTAAAAAAAAGTCAAGTCACTTTATCTTAACTTCAAGTTGTTAAAAATTCTCTTGATTTATATGTCATGAAAGCGATAAAAGTTGATAATAAATAATTTTATAATATAGTCCCTTTCAAATGCGTTTAAGAGAAATGAGACATCTTATATAAATCATGATACCACTGGGAGGCATATTTGGAATCGATAGAACCATGTTGAGAACGTTAAAAAATGAAGTTATCCTGACCTTACATTCTCGCCAAATAAGTTTTGAACAGAATCTAGAAAACCACCTAATTTTACCATCCCAATTGAAAACACGAAGCTAGGAGAATCTTGACATTTTTGATAGATTCATCACATGAAGTCCACATGCAGATGAAATGACTTGAATGACATATGAAAATGAAAGATGATACAAATTAATTGATAAGTCGTATAGTTGGCATATTTTCTTGAATTTTAACATTTAATGTCCCAAACTCCCCCTAACTGCAGAAAAGTATATACAGGGTGTCAAAAAACAACGGCACCCCCCTCTACAGCAAAAAGTACTTAATGTTACATGGTGTGTCATATCTCATTTTAAAGACAATTTAATTCTGGAGTTACCTGAGAAATTTCAGCTTAATATCATATAATTTTACAGATTTAAAGCTGATTCTTAGTAGTTGGTATGACCACCAGTTGCTGCTCAACCAGCAGCTTATCTGGATGGATATGATTTCAATAAAAATTCAGATAAAGGTGTAGCATTGCATAATCCTCTAAGCACATTCTTCAGAAATACATCCTCACTGTATCTTTTTTCAAGAGGCTCTTTGTCCATCAGTTCCTATACCCTGTTTTTCAGAACTGAACCCATATATTCAGTGCAGTTGAAATCTGGGCTAATTCTTTCACATTCCACTTTCTGAAGATTTGACCTTTAATCAGTAACAGAGCAGCAAACAAAGCACCCAAGTAGCAAACTTAAAAACAATGTAGCTTGTTTAGTATAAAGTTTTATTATATGAAATTTGAGGAGTAACTCCAGAATTAGATTATCTTTCAAATGAGGTATGACACGATATGGAACATTCAGGACTTTTTGCTGTAGAGGGGGGTGCCGTTGTTTTTTGACACCCTGTACTGTAAATCATATTTACCAAAATGAGTGTCTCCAAGGCTTCATACCAGTGTATGCATAATGCATTTGTCACGAGTTTGAGCTGAAATTTCGCTAAAATGAAGTAAGGGTAATCTTCGCCAGGTTTGTTTATTGTGGTTAGCTTTTACAATGGTAAGTGCTCAGAAGCAAATAATTCATGTGTGCAAAGTAATCAAATAATCTGATTGGTTTAAACTTTAATGCGCATACGCAGGATGTGTGCCATGTTTTTTTCTAGTGATTTCGTTTTGTTTCATGGAGTTTGTGTTTCAGTGTAACTTCCGCAAAAATGGCGGACCAATGACAGAATTAACAGGTAAAATCACTTCGAAATTTAAGAGAAATTTTTACCTATAATAGCAAAACTTTTGTTTTATTTGTGCATTCTTTCTATCAGGTAGTAATGTCAGGGGTATGTAGGCAAATCCATTTTGGTAGGAGCACTCTGTTTAGTTTGAAAACTCACCCTTTATTATTTTGTATTAGCACTATATGTTATGAAATAAGGTAATCTTACTCCCGTCGAGAGCTACTTAGATTTTGAAAGTATAGCTCTCTATCGCTAGAATCAACAGCTTAAGAATCCTGACTTCAAAGAAAATTTCAGGGAATTCAGCTGACTCATGTTGCACATTATATACCTGAAAATGTATCCTACATCGCCATCTTTCATTCAGCTCAACTATAGAACGTCTCACTGCCCTATGTATCGATCAGGACTTCATTTTATTGGTCGTGTCAAAAGTTTTGGCCAGGTATATTCAATATGGCGGCTTGATGTTTCCCAAGTTGCGCATGCGTCGATAGTATTTCCGTTTAACCGCCATATTGGAAATGGGTATCGAACAAAAAACGATTAGAACTCCTGATCGCCATAGAAGCACATCCGCGATCCTACATGCACGGGGAAAGTAGACACATATGAGCCCATATGTAGGCTACAGTTTGAGACAAACAGCAAGCCGTTGACTGGCGCTGATCAAATTTAGATGTCACAATTCTTCAGCTGGGAGATCCTCACGATGGAGAGCTATACTTTCAAAATCTAACATGGTAGCTCTCGACGTGAGTAAAGGTAATCTACTCTTGCAGTTTACAAAATACACCAAAATTATTTTTGGTTTCATAAAATTGTAAAAGCACAACAATTTTTGAAAAATTCTTAATTTGCTTCATGTTAAAATTAAAAGTAAAAAAATTCCTTGTTTTAACCCTCATAGATCACTTCCAACTGATACTTTTAATACTTTAACTGTGCATATAATATTATCCCCTAACAAGAGGGGGGAAAACCCCGACCCAGGGTTCAGAGATGACATACGTCTATTCTGTAAATCTGTATTAAGATGACACTGTCACTGATTGGTCAAATCAACAGAAAAATGATGTCATTCAATCGCGGTTTCAAATTTTTCTATAAATGCTTAGAATGTGAATATGAAAAATGCATTATTTTGTTTACAAATTTATTGATGGTTCTGTATCGTATATTTAACCATTAAGTTTTATCAGAAGACTTCGGCCACACATTCAGACATCCCCAACTGGGCGTACTAATTCATAATTATAGCCCTACGCCCATGGATAGTAAGCTAACCGGTGCTATAAGTTTGACTACTAACAGACTAATAGTACAATAGATATGTTGTAAGACTGTCTGATAAAAAAAAATCGATTCAAAAACCAAGAGCTGCTGACACTTATCTAGTTCCAATCCAATATCTATGTTTCTGGTCTTGGGAGCCTTCATTAGAACCTCACATGCGTTAGATTTCAAAAGTAGGAAAATATTGGCCTTACCAGTAGCCATGCACATATATCTTACCTCAATCAATTCTTAACACCACCCTAAATGTTCTCTCAAAGCGGTTGTCCCAAATTGCAGAGGTACACTTTCAATCTTTAAATCAGTATTTCAAAATGTAAGGAAATTCCAGAGGTACCAAGGCTGAATGTTTACAACTTGCGATTCATTTAAATATTACTATGCATAGGCAAGCTAAAATAGTTTGTTGATCGGAAGGGACGATCCCTATGTTCATGGCGGACATTTTGAAATACTGGCTGCAATCTAAAGATTTAAGTGTATATCTATGCACTTTGAAACAGCCAAAACTTTTAGGCTTTAAGGCTAGTGTTTAGAATGGATTGAGGTAAGATATATGAGCGTAGCTAGCGCCAATATTTTTTGACTGGATAATCTTACGCGCACCTTCTCAAGTGCTGAAATGACATTTCAAGTGTAAACTGTGGGAAAAACAGCATGTGAATCAAAACTCAAATCAAATCCTACAATGACTGTGTTGTGACACACATAAGTAGTAAGGTAAAGTGGGGAACAAAAATAAACCTCAACCATCAAAAGTTGTCACAATGAGCAATTCTAAGTTTCGTGTATCAAACTCTCCCAAGAAAAGAAAAATAATCTTAAGTAGCACAATAAATGAATCCAAAGCTTAATACCTGCAAATGATGGATAAATCCCTACCAAATCGAACGAATGTTTTCATGAATCACCATGTTTGTGATCCAAGGAGGATTGACTCCCAGAATGCAACAACAGTTAACCTTATTTACTAGTGATAGGTTTCAAAATGGCGGAACTGCATTTTGAAAGCTGGCACGTGTCATGTTGCATTCTGGGAGCCAATCCACATTGCGACGCAATCGGGCTCCAAAATCACCTCAATATTTGAAGAGTCGGCATTAACATGTGAATATCCACTTCAAATTTTTAAGTTCTTATTTGTCATAATGGACACAAATTCCACTATATCTGGACTTAGAAAATAGAGCACTGAATACACTGAGGTAAGAATTTATTACATGTGTGACAGTATCACCCTATGCAGACAAAGCCTGTGGGAAATATTGGGTGCGGAGCAAATGAGCGGAGGATGTGGAGCTAACGGTCATTTTTGAATTTAAATTTGGGATATTTCTGAAACTAAGCCGTTTTGGGACTTCAAATATACCAAGATATGTGTATTTGACACCAAATATCAATACAATTGTGAAAATAGTAGCGCAATTCATTTTATAGCGACGCAGTGTGCCTTAAACCTTTCCCAGACCTATCTATTTTGAAATTATCGTTTTAATACTGAGTCCCCAGCATTCATAAAAAATGGTGACAAGGTACACTATCTATACAAATTATTTTTGCATCTTGGAAGCCAGGCAGTATCTGTGTGATTTTATAAAAATTCGGAAATGTTTTTCAGATATGAGCCCCCTCTAAATATTGGGTGCGGAGGAGCTCCATAAACGTACCTCCGCACCCAATATTTAGAGGGGGCTCATATCTGAAGAACATTTCCGAATTTTTATAAAATCACACAGATACTGCCTGGCTTCCAAGATGCAAAAATAATTTGCATGGGTAGTGTATCTTGAACACCATTTTTTATGAATGCTGGGGACGCAGTATTAAAAGGATAGTCTCAAAATATATAGGTCTGGGAAATGTTTAAGGCATAATGCGTCGCTATAAAATGAATTGCACTACTATTTTCACAATTTTATTACATGTGCGACAGCATGTAATTTTCATAGCTTTTGCAATTCTTTATGATCCCCACTGTAGTTACTACTTTTTTCAAGGCCTGACTTCGTCGCTAACATGCTAAATATAAGAGTTAGCTGACGTTTGGGAGTCTGACTTACCTTCTAAAGGTTAGAACCCGAATCTTAATGAAACCATATCACCTTTGTTGCGTCGATGATGATGCATAAACGTAGCATTTGATAGAAATTAGTGTAAATGCTTTTCCGACTTTTTCATTTTTCATCAATGTTGACATCCGGGAAGGCGTTGTAGTTATCACGAAATAACGCATTGACCCTTGAACTTTACTTTGTTGACGTGTCAACCAAGCATGTCTGGTGTGAAAATTAAAAGAATATTAAGCAATGTTCTACATCCACCAAGCTAAGTGAAGTAGCCAATATTTAAAATTACCAATTTCAAGTGAAGTACGCAACGAACGAAACTGCGTGATCTACAGTCCCACTATTTGTCTGAACGAAATGCTACGTAGAAATATGAGCGGTCTGCTGTATTAGTCGATTAATAGAGTAAGACCTGTTGGTGATGCTTTATAATTTTGACCAAAACATTGAAGAACATACGAACCTGTAAATCGTGAAAACAACGAACAAATATTCGGTTTTCATATATGTTCGGTAATTTTTCGTATTGAAACTTCCGGAACTTACAAGGAAATCATTCATTTTCTCGGTCCATGATTTACCTCTTGGATGTTGTGGGAAATGCTCCATGGTTGACGGAACAAAGGTGATATGATTTCATTAAGATTCGGGTTCTAACCTTTAGAAGGTAAGTCAGACTCCCAAACGTCAGCTAACTCTTATATTTAGCATGTTAGCGACGAAGTCCGGCCTTGAAAAAAGTAGTAGAGAACAAAAGTTAGAGTTTCAAAGGTCACTATTATTCAGCTGTCCATTTCTCCTTTGGAGAGCCCTAAGTTTCAAAATCTAATATGGCTCTCGAAGTTAGTAAGATGCAACTACTTGATGCTAACTATCTCCCAAGGCTACATGCACTGACTATAAATTCATAGAAACCATGGTTAAAAATTGTGAACATAATTCTAGAAAAAAATATGTGCAAACTTTTAAGTTTATTCATAAAGGATACTTACTGTTAAGAAGTGACTTTTTAGGTTCTTCATGGACCCCATCTTTTTCTTCACATTCCCAGAATATTTCTGTAGAAGTTAGGTACAACTTTACACGCCTTTTATCGAGTTCAAGTTGGGACTCAAACACAACGTCTTCTTCCATCATCACAACAAACTGAACTAAGCGCCACCTATTGAATAAACTGAGGTCAAGGTCAAACGACGCCATATTGACAACAAATGAAAATTTTTTTTAAGAGATATTATCTAATTTCTTCGCTTTTATGGACTTTATAGTATATATAGTTCGTAATGGATGATAGCTGATGATGGCTACTTTCAGCAACATTCACTCGAAAGACGGGTCTAAGGCCCGATTTTGGAAGAAAGAATCGAAAGTTCCAGGAAGGTGGGTCATTTTGAATTTTTTCAGAAAATTTTCTAATTTTTGTTACTTTAGGCTAATCTTTAGTTTTCTTTTTAAGTTATTTCCGTCAACCCTAAGCTAACAATCTAGGTGCATTTATGAACTCTTTTTGTAAAGATATAGAAGATGTATTGAATGTGTATCTGAACAAGGGAGTCCAATTAGGAGTCCATTGGGATTTTAGCATTCTTTTTCGTGTAGTTGAATCCACGATTGTCTGGGTTTATCGGCAGACAATCCGCAATATTTGCGTGTAATATTTAACTTATTTCAACCGTCAAATTCTTCCATTTATTGGTTATCCGGGCCACTTCCGGGTCAGTCAAACGGGGAGTCCCCTTTTAAATCCAACCACCATCTTGGAAAGTGACGGAATATCTCTCGATGAAAAAGAAAAATGTTCCCATTCTGCCGATATACCCAAACAATTGTGGATTCAACTACACAAAAAGAATGCTAAAATACCCAGGAATCTATTGAAGTAGGTATCTTAAGTGTAAGGGGCGTAGATAATTCTCCCAAGTTGTAATCGTACAGGCAAAAGAATGCGCTGGTTACAGGACTATAGTCATGGCACAGGATAAGCCAATATGACAATAGCAAGATTAAGTAGATTATAGAATAACCTACTGTTAAAAGCTGGTAATAGACTGACATAATAAGCAATATCAATCAAGAACACTTGATCACTTGACTTTGGTTGATCTGTCACCCCTCTGGTTTTCAATTTGGGCATGGATGGAAATGATGACTCATTCACTCAAATGTGAATCCCAAGACTAATTATTTGTCGAAACATTGCTGCAGATAGAAATGTATGCAAAATACTATTGAGGTGACATGGAGTAGAGAGTTACTCAATAAAGAGTTAAAAGTAAAAAAAAATTAGTAACAGAAATTGTAAAAGTTGACATTACTTAGCTGAAGCCATACTTATATTTTATTAGCTTTATCTTTCTGTTTATCCTATTAGACATCTTAAGTTTAAATTTGGTGTATGGTACTTTATAATTAAGGAGTTGACATAAGATAATGCACATCCTATTTAGATTAATCATCCAAATGGCATTATGTCAATATCTGGGTCAAAAATATAAAAGAATGTCATCATGACATTCTGTTTTATTATACCCACCCCTTAGACCCCTGATCCTCATGATCCACATTTTCGACAAAAAAATCATTGATTATGTGCATCAGACACATTGACTAATTATGAAGAGAATTGAATTGCTTTGTTATGTCACAAAAAAACAAAAACCCAAATAATTTTATTCAACCCTACAAACTTCAGTCTCTGTATGATGGTTCCCAAAAGGTTTAGTTATCTTGGTCACTTCATACAAAACTAAAGTCATGTTCTTTCCCGAATATGTTGATCCAAATGAACTCCGCGGCGTTGGAGGCAAACTTGTACATATGAGGCAAAATTTTCAATAACTCAGATGAACACATTCCTCTTTAGGGATTTCTCTGATTTTTGCTGTGCTTGTTGCCTTTAGTTCAGCAATATTTTGAGGGTTGTTCTAGTATACATAATTCTTGAAATACCCCCACAGATAAAAACCTGGAGGTTCACTTCTGGTGAATGTGGTGCCCACTCAACATCACACTCGGTGTAGATTAGTCTCTCCTGAAGTCACTCTCAACAATGCTAGGGAAACATGTATGGGGGTGGCCCTGTCTTGCTTGAACCATTATCCATTTTGATGTATCCCTCTGTGTCATCCCAGTGTTCTCAAAAACTACCTCAGCATTTCCACATGATACTCAAACACTGCTGAGGCCATTTAGAGCATATTTTGGAAAGAACATGAATATTATGCAAAGCGACCAAAATAACTGACCTATGGGGAATGAACATACACAAACTGAAGTTATGCCCAGCAACAAGAATGACCAATACCCTTAAAGCATGGTGATTGTATATTTTGCTTTTCCATCCTTATTTCAATTCTTGCACCTTTTTCAGCATCACACCTGTGTATGGAGCACAACATCCCCCTAAACTAGATACACCTTCCAGGTACTGTATTACAATATAGATGAATAGACATAATTTTAGAAATGATTAATATGAACTAATCAAAATCATAATTTTACCCTAAGATATAAGCATAACAAACCTTAATGCCTTGGTCACATTTGCTCCGATTTTCACTAACGCGCCCGGCCGATTGAGTATTTTGTTCAAAATTGAATACAATATTGAACAAAACACTCAATCGCCCGGGCGCCGGCCGATGGATCGGAGCATATGTGACCCAGGCATTAATGTTTGACAAATGCTGCAAAATTCTAATCATTTCTTAAATTGAAAGAATCTAACCCAAATCCTGTCGGTAATTTTCACATAAAATAACACTTTTGAGAAAAATGATGTTACAGGTCTGTAAATTAATAAATAAGAGGTATATGTTGGTGTTGGAGTTATAATATGTTACATTGGGGTATACTCTACATAATCAAACACATTTAGAACTATGGGAACCCATATTAAATTGTATATGGCATTAATAAGAGTCAAATTCTCTCTTTTTACAGCGTTACGAACGGACATTTTAAAATAAGCTATTTTAGAATAAGTTTTGAGAAAAAACTGAATAAACTTATATACAAAAGTTATATGTTTATTTTAGTATTTTCAGTTTCCTTTATTTTGCCGTTTATTTCAACAAATAACATCGAACAACAGAAAAGTTATAGCATTTTTAGATAAGCCTACCTCCGTTACGACTTTCTGAATTTTCAGCACTAACATTTTTGATTCATCAACTAACAGGTAAAATATATTTTTTTATTTCATTATTTTTGTGTTTTAATAAAGCCTTTTGATAGTTATAAGCAAATAAAATATGAAAACATGTAAATCTTTCAAATAAACAGAAACATTATTATTTAAAGTCTAAATATATCTAAGAGACAAAAAAGTGTAGCATCCGTAATCTGTAGAAAAAACTAAATTACATGTTAACTGAGAAATATTTTTAATTTTTATTGTTCTAGATTTAACAAATACCCCGCCCTCAAGAAAATAGCATATTTAAATATTCTGTGTTTTTTCCTTTTCAGAGTCCTGAGCTGATCTAGGTTGTGTAGCATCCGTAATAGACAATGTAGCATCCGTAATGTCCTTTATTCCCAGTTAAAGAGAAATAAACACAACCCTTCAGTATTATGAAACATGTCATATTGCAACATTGATTGATACAGACTAGAATTACTTGATATCCTTAGGAACAGAAGGGGTATTTAATTATGAGAGTTGACAAAGAACCAAAACCATATTTTTCTTTTTTAAACTTCTCATATCAAACTATGGAAAGGATGAACATTTTTATTTCAGGAATCATTCATTCAATTAAAATTAAACTGGCACAATAAAAAAATTGGACACTATTTCTTTAATAACATCAAACACACTATATTACGGATGCTACATATTTTGTTTATATTACATAATGTAAAAAAACAAAGTCTGACTTCAGAAGTGAACTTATGAAACCAATAGATCAAGACTAAGAGCAACATAGGACAAAATGGGACTTTCAGCAGAGAAAAACAGAGAAAATGTGAGAAAATATCGAGAGAAATTAAAACAAGACAAATCTAAATATGAAAAGGTAAAAGAAGTTGATCGTAAAAGAAATCAAAAAGCAAGAAAAGAGCTGAAAAAAAGATGTATGAAAAATCAGCCTTTACACGAAGCAATGAAGGAGAAACAAAGAGAACGAATGCGGGCTTATAGAAAAAAGAAGAAAAATGTGGAAAGAGATTCAGAAAAAGACAAAAGGATTTCTGCAGGTAAAAAGATAATGGCAGAGAAGAAAAGAAAAGAACAAAAAGCTAAAAACAGAAAGCAGAGACTGCAAGACAGACTGAAAAAAAGGCGGAAGTATCTAGGGTACAACGTTGGAGGATGCGTATAAAATTAGAGCAAAAAACCAAGAAAACCCATTTGGAACTGAAAGAAATGAGAGAAGGTTCAAGAAAAAAGCAAGAGAAAGTCTACCAAAAACTCCAATAAAAAGGTTCTATTTTATTGGTTATGCACCGCAACCCACCCCCCCTGGCTACGCCTATGCCTGTCGAGAGACAAAAAGAGAAGCGAAAAGACTGTTAAAACAAGTACTTCCAATAAATACTTTTACAGTTATATGTGTTTATCAACGACCCTACTTGTCAAATTAATAGAAACGAAAACTAAATTCTTTCATTACGCGAAAACCGTTGAAATATCTACCTGATTCGCTGGAATAGTCATAAGTCACATTATTTCAGAGCAAACAATTAGCATCTACTATAATATTTATTTTTATATCCGATATACAACTGATATTGATATCTTTCCCCGGGCAATGTGTTATCTCATGATCCGTTGACATCATCAACAATTTGATTTACCACAAGAGAGTAACCAACATTCCTTAATTAAAAAGTTGACATTTCTTGAATTTTACAGCAAAAACACTATGACACAATAACATCGAGGCAAAATCAAAACATGGTGTGGAAATAAAAGGCATACAAAATGGCCATTAAAATGAAATTCTTGTTCATAAAAGTATCAACTTTATTACATTGGACGCAAATACAAAGTATAGAATAAATAAAAATAACGTCTTCCCAGAGATTACAATACGGATCAGTAAGTCAACAAATCTAACTGTTAAATAAACAAACTTAGCCCATGTCTGCAATTGTTCGTCTGCTGGTCAGAACTCGGTATCCTCTTCGGATAATCAATTTCTGTGACTACTGATGTCTTAAATAATTCATAAAGACGACGGTGTCTTTAAATAAGGATCTTTAATCTACAAACTGTAAATAAATAGCGTGAACCGGGATCGTAGACAACAACATTAATACCTTGCTGTCCTCTGTTAAATCACGAAACCCGTTTCCCTTAAATTTTTTACTAAGAGACTTATACATGCATAAGTTATCTATCAAATTATTTTTCTTTAAATATTAAATGTTGTCTAAGTTTGTTTTAATGATTACTCTTCATCTAGATTCATTAATCATCACGATATTTATATATACATATTATGAAATAGACCTATCATATCACGTCCGTAGTTACAAAGTCAACTACATATTAATGCAATAGAATAAGACTCAATAATTAAAAAAATAAACCTCAGTATTCGGGCCTAAAAAACACAGATAAGTGTATCAATACCAACGGGTAAGCTCAAATAACCTTCCAAATAAGTGTATCAATAATCAAGGATTGCGAGTACTAAGGAACGGGTAAGATGGTGGTAACATTGGACATTGGTATTGCTAGTTATTAAACACGATTTTGTCTTGTGATAGCACAAGACAATATTGTTGATAAACTATAGAATTGCAACAGTTAAAGTTGCTAACTTAGAGTAAGATGTTACTGTTCAACTGCAGCCACAAAAGACTGTAAAGTTAAATATTAATGATTGTTCAACTGCAACACTAAACATTGCAAACTTATGTTATAAGATGTTACTGTTTATCCTCAACAACAATGGACTGCATTAAGTATTATTAAAAGACATTTCATTTTTACGCATCACAATTTTTCATTTTTTACATATAACATTCCTTTTACTGTAGAACAATGGAATGAAAACAAAATAGATGCTACATGTCATTATATTTTCAATTGGAACCATATTGTTTTGTTTTTATTTGTGGAAGCTAGGGTGAATAATGTGTATGCAATCAATACTTTACCAATACATGAACTGACATTTTACCATCAGACATCATAATATTAAGTACTAGCGGAATAAGAGGTAGGCATAAATACTTAATGTTTTTATAATTCTAAATTGTAGCATTTGAATATCATATTTATAAGATATTATATTTACTATTATCTATTAGTATTAAATATTATAAAACATTTTACATATAACTAGATATTTCCAATTGATAATTTTATTTTTTCTCACGAGCTGACTTTGTTAATTTCACCTCTAGAGAAGTATAATTATATGAAATACCTATTCACTGAAGTGTATCATATGTCTATATATTGCAGATATCCTAATATCTGATTATGAAGATACATGACAAGAAGAACAAGTAGATGCAGTTACTAGTTTATGGAAACTTACAATTCCTAACCAATGTGAGTTCATATGTTTATATTCTTTACTATTTGTAGCATCCGTAATTTTTTCTATTCTATTTTGAATGTATATAAGATTAAACACTTGCAATCTACACAGTTGTTTTATATTTTCTATCACTAAACAATGTTCAAGTAACAGGATACTACTATATTCTCTTCTTTTAGACAGTCAATATATAAATGTTCCACAAAAGTATTCTTGCTTGAGCATCTTTTTTGAATTTTTTGTATAATTATGCATTTCATATTTGTACCTGACAAAAAAATATCTTAAGTCTCTTGTAACTTATTATTTAACAATTTCAGATTAAATATGCCAGCCATAAAACAGCATTGAGAGCTCCACACTTCAAAATGAAAAGGGTATCATTGTACATTTTTATGTAGCATCCGTAATATCACCTACCTGTGTAACAAACTGTAAGCATCATCATACTTGCTTGTTTAAGACAAGGAAATGTTACTTCATTGATTAAAGACTGTTTTCTGTACAAGAAATTAATATCTTTGTCACTCTAACTTAAGTAAGATGAACTAGAGAATAAATGAACCATCACTAAGTGGAATAAAAATTTATAAGATAATCAAAAAAAGTGATTTTTTGTGAAAAGATATTTAAGTTCCAATATTTTCAGTTTTTATATTATTAATTCTACCATTTTCTTCCATTCCAGAAACTTACCAGTGACAATGTGCAATTCTTGTGGAAATGGGATACAATAAATTTGAAACATATAGCAGCTGTTATTCTGATGGTGTCAAACTTTGGATGACCGAATGAGACACTAAGAGATGCGAATACTTCAGGATTTTTGTGTCAAATGATCAGAAATAGATTTTTCTTCAATAAAAAATACAAAAAACAATACTTATGACAGGTTTATTTTTTGATTGTCATGTCCTCCAAAAGTGCTATTTTATGTGAAAATTACCGTGTGTATTTTTGATGTACCTGTTGTGGGCATCCTTTTTTATTACCTTTATTCTAATCATCTAATCATCATTATCTACTTCCCCTGGTGACTTCTTAATTATGTCTGACTTAAGAATTATTATACAGGGGTACAAGCCACACCTCGTAGACTGCATTTTTTTTTTCATCTTTCATATTTATTGTAAGCACAAGTCATTTAGATACAATTACAAGGGGCAAAGCGCTGTAAGCATTAGATGTCCCCTTATATAAATAAACAATAAAGTACAATATTCATCTTAACCTGGATGTCACCTGTAAATGGTAGAATGCCTTGCAATGAAACAAAAGATAGGAGGGCTGCTGATATCCTGGGGGGGGTAGTATGTTGAAAAATGGAAACAGGTAGACTGCATTGAGCTGATCATACTGATGAGTGAACACACAGCCTCTTGCCTTAGATATGATATTGTTGAGCAAATGCATTGTATCATAAGGTATGGCTAATACCCCTGAATACAGCATCTTTTGATTTCCTGCACCCTTATTCACAATTCTACCTTTTGATCCCAGTATTTCATGAGATTATTAAACGTCATTGATATGAACTCAACAAAAACAGCTAACAAACAAAAACATTCTCTCACTAGAATTAGCCAATCAGAAAATTCAAAATACATAAAAAATATGAAAATAATTATTTTGACTTATTTCTTAAGATAGTGGTGCCTTATATTATCAAGCAATGGAGAGAGGATAAACTGAAATATATGTCCAGTTATCCTGAATAAATGTCTTTAGAACTTATGATTATCAATCAATGCAGGTTTAATCATGACATTTATATTTCCTGTAATGACTTTTGATGACTTTATACCATATAACATTTTTTGATTTGTTTGGTTATTTGCTTTTGAAATGTTTCTTTTTGTATTGCTTGTTTTTGCTTTGCTTGTTGTTCACATTTGCTTGTTCATTAATATATAGAATGTCATGCTTTAAGAGTGACTTGTATTGTATTGAGTTGATAATACATTATTATGCTTCATGTACTAATATTACAGTAAAACCTGTCTAATCTTAACTTGCCAAAAGTGTTTGGATTAGTAAGTGTTCACATTTCCAGGATTTATAAACATGTAAGTCAATGGGATATAACTAATTTGGGACAGAGAAAAAGTGTTCACCTTGAGAGGTGTTCAGATTAGAGAGGTGTACGGTAACACAGGTTTCACTGCATTTATGCCTCTCCAGAATGTTAAAAATATTTTATATATGGATTACCATAAAATTCAGTGCAATATATAATGACATTATGTGAGTTGATGGAAAAATGGAAAAACTTAAGAAAAGTGTTCTTTGACATACTTTGTTACATGATCTTTGACATTCGGCATTACTTCCTCTCATATATAAAGTGCAGAATTAGGATTTCAGTCAGACATCCTGTTCAAAACTGAATACACGTATGTACCACTTGTCATGTTATATTCCTTTATGCTGGAAAGTCAGTCTGAGTCAAGATTGAAACTAAGCAGCTGTGGTTGTTATGCACTTCTGTGGCATCCTGTTTATATGTACATATACTTTCCCATTGACTTCCATACAAATGCATTGCTAGGTATGTAATTCATACAGACATGACTTAATACAACCCGGGTATTGTTTTATGTGTTTTGCAATTATAACTTTCCATTGTCCTTGATTTTTCAGTTCTAATAGTACCTCACCCAAAAAGTCTCGTCATCGGGAAAAAGATTCATTTGAGGCATTTGAAAGTAAAACAGAAGATGCTTGGGACGATGGGGATGATGACATGTTCCTTATGCCCAATATGAAGGTAGGTGATTCAAAAATGAGTTTCTAAATTTGAGTATAAGGAAACATAGCATGGATTAATGCCTCAGTCACATTTGATCTTTGGCAACCATACTGAGCTGTAGCCTCCCAAAATAGAGAGAAATATGCAGCATAATATTATGTACGGATAAGCAGTACGATGTTGATTTTCTATACCGATTTTGTGAAGCTACGGCCGCCATTCGGCCTTCATAGAGCAAATGTGACTGAGACTTAAGGGTATCATTTGTCATAAACATGGTTTATGTTATGGAAAGTGGAAATCCCCAAAAGACTATACGAATTAAAGTACTACATAAATGATGTTTCTTTTAATTGTAAACATATGTTAGTGTTATTTCATTGCATTATAGATGTCATTGAAGGATGTTCACTCTACGGCTATGGAAGTCATTAACAATCACAGTCTTCGGGTACAGACTGCAAATGGCACTGAAGATCGAAATGCAGCAGATATACATACAGGGGATGCAGGTGAGACCACACTATTTCTCAAATTTTTCGTATTCATTTCCGTACAACTTCAATTAAGTCACAACATTGATTATTCCATTTATGATTTTGGAGGTGAATATAGAATAAGCTTGTACAATGTGTTTCAGAAATTGATCTCATCATGGACATCAAACTCTGAATAAAACTTTGTTATTAAAATGCAAAATATATTCGATGTGTACTTATATGTCTCAATTAGGGATCAGCTTAATATTGTGGTGTATAAGTATTAAAAATGCCATCTCCATTGATCTTACTTCTTTGACCCCCTGTATATTACATCATTCAAACAAATACTAAATATATACATCTATTATTGTTTCAGTGCCTCCACTCAATCCACATCACCACAGGCTAGGGGGTCCAGGGATGGGGGTCCGTATGAATAGTGGAAACGGAACCCCTAACAGCAATACAAAAATAACACCTCTCCGATTTGCCAACATGCCAGTGCCAGATCGGGAAGTGGCAAAAATAGAAAAATTTGAAAGTTTACTCAGTCAGAACAACTTAGATTTAGGTAAGTTTGAATACCTTAGATTTTATTGCAGTACTTCACAAGTTGACTTGATCAATTTATTTGTTTACTAGATATTAGGAGATTTTTGTACAGTAAATTATAGTTAATTCACTTCCACCAGATTCACTTCTGCCAACTTCTGCCACAAGATTTTACAATATAAACTCTGCTGGCTTAATATTTGAAGGGTGTCCAAAGAAAACAAGCTTTGGCTAATTTAAATAATAGTTGAGAGTATTTCACTGCAACCAACCAAAGGATTAGTAGTTAGTTGTTAGAATGAGAGATATTGAGAGTACATGTATAATGTTTAGGTGCATCATGGACTATCCACTATTGTCATCATGAGCAATATTAGCCATAGCTTGTTCATCATTTTCAATGATCCCATTACAGTTGTAGTCCCAAATAGGGATTTTCCCAACAACAGGCACATCCAGCACTGCACAACAAAGCTTAGCATTGAAGTCTTTGTTAAAAGACTCCTCGTCACATTCATTAATGACATGCTTGGACACAATATCAGCCCCTGGAGGTAGAATTTCCTTCCTATAGACCTCACAGTATGACTGGCCTAGGCGCTTCTCCTGCGGCCCCCCGGGAGTATCGATAACCAGCTTACGGTACAGTCCTTCTGTCCCCCAGTATGATCTCGCCTCAGTGCGACATTCTTTGGGACACGCTCTGAGCATGTGTAGACATCCCTCACAGCCATCTTGAAGGTGTTGGGATTTCGTTCCAAGGTCATCTACAGGAAAGCTCACCTCGCAGGCCTGGTTTATGTTGCTACTACCCTGGGAACAGTTGGTAGAGTTCACCTGGATGTTGATAACACACTGACAACTGGAGAACAGCATGTTAACAATATGGAATATATGGAATATATGATGATTAAACATGTATTGATACAGTGCTGGAGCTCTAACTCAGAATATGTGCAGCTTCTTTATGACTGACTATCTCACTGTCTAACCAAGGAAAAGGAACAGTTTCTGCATGGACATATTGCCTGACTTTCTATGGCATTCTGTCTGTTGACAAGTGCATATCTTGTTACCGAGCACTATGCATGTATGACTGGATACAGCATGCATATATGAACAAGGAGTGTCTTAATATTTATATGACCGAGTTACTGTTACAGTTAAACAGGGTGACTCGATGATGGTCTAAGATAGATGAGATGTGTATCTTTTCACTGAGACACATTTACTCAAAGTGGGAGGGGTTTAAGATTGATCATTGATCCTAGATTTAACATCTAGATGAAAAGGTATGACTTCAAGTAATCATTACAGTCTACATACCTGTGTGCTTTCCATTGAGGTAGACTAGTAGTTGTCTCTGTTGTTTCTGTTGTGTAGCTACTTGTCGTAGTGGTTGGTGGTTGGACAAAGTCTTCATCTATAAATATAACATGTTTGATTTTGATAATACTGAATTGAATTACTAAAACGAAATCAAGTAAACATTGTTGATTTTTTAGCGAGAAACTGGGAGGGATATATTTAACTCTCTTCTTCAGAAATATATATAAGAAAATAATAAAAACAAGCATATTGTTTAATAGATAATTGTGTCATAAAGACTGGCCCTTTTTGTTTGAAAAATCATTTAGATAAGCAGAAACCTCCATAATTAAAACCATATTAAAACAATATTTTGAACCATATACTGTATACTGAGATCAGTTCACTGGTGATCCGCTCAATTACGCTGGTTACCAAAACAGTTCGATTTGGTAACAAAATGCCGGAACGTCGAAGGTACGATTTTTCTTTTTTCCTTATTTCACGCGTTGTAGGCAGAATCCCAAAATGTTTTTTCTCATAAATGTGTATCAGTATTATATGTTTTAGAAAATGTGCATGTTTGCGAAAAAATAGCTCAGGTGACTTATGACAACAGAATCGTTGATTTAATTCCTCACTTAAGTTACATAAACAGTTTGGGTTAAAAGTGCAGATCTTAACCGTTTTTCGAAAAAACCGTTTATGTAACTTAAGTGAGGAATTAAATCGAAGATTCTGTTGTCTTCTGAACTATTTGTTTGGAAATATGTACATTTTCTTAAGCACATGATAATGATACACGTTTGCCAACAACGTGTGAAATAAGGAAAAAAGAAAAATCGTACCTTCAATGTTCCGACATTTTGTTACCAAAACGAACCATTTCGGTAACCAGCGTAATCAAGTGGATCACCAGTGCAGTTGCTAAATAGTTAAACTTTGTCATACCTTGTGCAAATAAGAATGTAGTGGCATAGGTTTTATATAATTTGTTTGCAGGGAAATCCAAGAAGGTTACAGTTGCAACAAATTCACTTGAGTCTTGTGATTGGATTATGACTGTGTTATCTTTGTTTGGATCAATGGAATCCACACGGTGTCCTCCACAGGTGTAATCAAAACAAGTCCAGTCTTGCAGATACAATCGAACACCATTTATCAGAAAGTTGTCACTGAATCGTGTTCCATTTGTTGAAAGGTAGATATATAAATTAAAATTCCCAACATCCCCAGTTGGCATACGGGAGAATGTGAGGCTTCTGTTATGGTACTGTTCCACTGAAGGTACTAGGGACATAGTAGGGTTGCCATGACGATAGACATATCTCACTACTAGACATGGCTTGCTACACGTGATGAGTTCAGGATCATGGCCATAGATCGTGAAGTTAATTGTTATTGATTGTCCTGCCGCAAGACTTGCATCACACATTCTGCGCTGACACGATACTTCTGTGTTTTTCTCTGTAGCAACTACTCGTATATCATGCCGTATAGAGCTCTCTTTAAGGACAATGAATCTTGATCCTAATTGATGGATTGGAGGAATTTGTTCATTGATCATAGATCTACCTGTTCCAAGCCTTTGAGCATATGTAGACCCACTAACTACAACAACAGGGTAGTTTGTCTCTATTTTTGTACCTGTAAGGTCGGCCTCTGGATCCATGTGAACATATGTCTGTCCACTAGCAAGATACACTGTGTGAGCTGGATATGTCTCATTTCTATATCTGGTTGTTCTTTTGGACCAAATTGTGACCTTTGTATCATCATTTGTAGCTGCTATCGAAATCATGTTTCTATTGTTATTATTACCACTGTATCCAATTGCATAGTAAACATGCATTTTTTCCTTGGGTCGAAAACTTGGTATAGGAAATGCAGAATATAATCCCATACTGTTTCCCGGCTTGCTTCTTTGTCCACTAAAAACTTGAACAGTTATTTGGACATCACTTTTCAGGAAAATGCTTTTCCTTGAAACATGGTCGCCTATTTCATCTAAACCATGGTCCGACCAAACTGTGTAATTTATTGATCGTTTCGCTGGAATGAATAGCTGATCTTGTACCTCCTTATATGGACTGAATAAGTGGACGTTAGCATCTTCGCTACTGCTCATTACAATAGTCAGGTCATTGTCACTAGGTCTTGGGTCATTATGGTGTGGGAAAAATGTGGCCACATACTGATACTTGTACTGGTGCTCTGAAACCAGTGAAAAACATTAATTTTTAGTGTAATATTCTTCAGTGATTTTTAACAATTTCTCCACAAATTATATGTGTGTAACACTTTCATGTATGAACGTTTTTACACACAAACTCAGAGCATAAATATTCTGGTGTCTACAATTAAATGTTGTTTAACCCACACTAAAATATTTCCTTCATGTCAGTAATATTATTTATACCATCATTAACTTCATGGAACAAGGTCAATCTTTACCCAAAAACTACAAGAGCTGCAAAATTTTAACTTTAGAGAATTTGCCAGTCTAAATAGTGTAGATAAAGTCCACACCATACTTTTTGGAGATCATAAGTTCTCAGATAAATGTAATGCTGATATTATGAACCTTACGGCAAATTTTGTTGATTCTATCATTTAGCATTAGCCTCAACATTTCATCACCATCATCATCACTATTGTTATCATCATCTCAACTGTGGCCACTGGGACTCTTATAAACAATACATTTACAATACATGTCTGAAACCATTTATATCAATTTTATTTTGCTACTTTTATTTAATAGGGAGGCCAACAATGTAATTTTACCTCGGCCTTCCTAGTATGTTAAATATTGTTATATAAAATTATGCAAAGAAATAAAACTTAACCTAAAAAAAACAAAAAAACTTCATGTTATGCGTTAAGTCTATGGATTCTCCCCATTGCCTCATCCCTTGGGGTGTGGTCTGAGGTGTGTCATGTGGGGGAGAGGATCATAAGAGCTTTCAACAAAACAGATATTACTTAAACCTGCACATCGCTCCAAAACGCAATCTTGGGTTGTTTCGGGGGTGAACTTTATCATTTTGAGCTTAATGAAAGATTATAGAATGATGAACAAATTGGGGCAAATCTTGTGTACAAATACTCACGATAAATGTGTCATTACAAAGATTGTTCATTGAATTGCTTCGATTTTTGGAAGGTTTCTAAATTAAGAACGTGACGTCACTTCTGAATTATAGCATTCAACATAAGTAGCCTTTAACTCATTGGGGCGCTATTTAATTATTTTTAAAAGCTACTGAGCGTTAATTAATTTATTAAAGATTAGGATTTTCATGCCTGCCAATTTGAAAGTGACATAAAATCTAAACCAACAGAGATGACACCACCAAATTTTTACTCATGATTAGAAACATATGTATAAATCATATGATAATGTATGAACTCATCACAATGAGAGGCACTGATGATAAAAAATCCTAAACATTTATATTGCAAAAAAAACATAAGAACCCTACTAAATATTACCTTAGTGTACCCCAGCAGCTTCCCTGGCCTGTCCCCCAGCCACAGAGTTGTCAGGCCCATCATCGTTTTGAAATTTCATTTTCTGAGTCTTCAAATATTAGGCTTCACTACCAGAATCACTGAATATAGCAGCGATTTGATCATCATTACCCAGTCTTAATCTAGCCCTTTTTAAATACCACAATGTCTGATCACTTCCAGATTCGTATTTGTTTCGAAATAAATCAATAAGTGACCAAAATAATTTTTTCAATCATTTCTCTTTGCCAAATTAATTTTAAATCACTTCCGGTCAATGTGAGTACCGGACATTGGCACTGCAATACTAAGGTGACATCTTTTTAAGTCTGTTAAAACTTCCCTTTAGCTTGTCGACCTGGAGTCGACACACGCCATGTAGCGTATTGGCGAAAAAAGTCGACTGAGCGCGCAGATGAGTTAATTACTTTCATCATTCATAATAAGTTGGTAGCCCTGCGGAAGAATGCTCGCTCAGCACGCAGGCGCCCCGGGTTCAAACCTTGCACTCACTTTTTTATTTATTTTTTAACTAAATGATTGTTCTTTGATATAACACAGAAAAAAACAATTTTTATTTACAGAAACGTTATATTAGAGCTTGAAAATGTAAAAACAATAGTCAACATATTGTGTTTTGGAGGGACATACAGGTTTAAATGAACTTATGTGAAATTGAAAATATATGCATGTAAAACATTTGATGAAACATACCTGTGTGTGTGTTTGAGACCACAAATGTGATAGATGTATTTATTCTCTGATAATCACTGTTCACAGAATTCTTAGCAGTACACATGAATGTATATTCTCCATTGCTTCCAACTGGGATTTCTAACTGGGGACCATATATGGTCATGTCACCACCGCTTCCGCCAACTTTTTGCCAGGTGAATTGTGGGTCTGGGTTTCCTCTTGCAGTGCAGTTGATTACATCTCCAATTCGGAAATGGGGAACACCAGGTCTTTCGTAGTTATGTTGAATAGCTATGTCTCTTACCAAATCTGATAAAATAGATATGCTAGAACAATTACATACAAGGTACGATGGCCCATTGAAATTCATTCATCAGTAAAATGTACATCTGAAAATATTATTCCAATTTCACAGAACAAAGCCGAAACAACAAGCAGAATTTTTTAAATTCTGAGTAGTACTCAACTGTGGAATGATGTTTCAAATATATTTATTATATGGTGAAAATCACAACTTCCCACTTCCCCTTTGACAGTGTCTTCTACTCACATCTTACTCTCATAGGTGACCGCACTGTACAGCTATCTAAGTAAGGGGTGCCAGGGATGGTTACTTGGCAGTTGGGACTTGTGTTATCATGCTCATGAGTATTTGTAAAGTTAGTAGTCATTTGAGTCAAACCATTCATGTTCACAGAGTACTGGCTTGGTAGCTGTGAAAATATTTAGGAGGCATAACATATGTACTTTGCAATGATTACTATAGCACTATGTCAAAATTTTGAAAAACTGTCAATTATTCAAGGAACCTCCATTTATCCTGACTCAAGAGATTCGTGCCTGAATCATGTTTTACTATTTGTGATATCACCTGCTATGAATATACATAGGTGCTCAGTTTCTCAGTTATGGTACTTTATACATTGTCATAAAAAACATCAATGGCTCAAGCCCCCTTCCCTCTCTACCCTCTATTTTCATACTTTTTGGAGGAGAGTATTTTTTATGCCAAGAGTTGGTTTAAAATTGATATATTCAGAACTTACCAAAGCACCTTGTTCTGTATACCATGTAAGAAGAGGGATTCTGTTACTCTGATACTCCACAGAGCATCTAAGCAGGGCAGTATCTCCTTCATTGAGGGTATTACCTCTCCTGTTTAGACAACCAGGCGATCCTTTAAATAGAACAGAGAATTGATATGTCCTAGAATTGGACATGTAGCCCTGAAGAAGTCCCCCTTGCACAATGGAATTTGTCAGAGCCTCGTAACTTTGATCAAGTCTCTCTAATATATTATTTTACAAAGTACTTCCCATTAAACTCAAAAGAAAGAGAGTGAGTAAATATGTTTTATATTTGAAAATATATATATTATTGCACACCCATCATTTTTCTGGTATATGAGATTATACCTACTTAACACAATAAGCTCAACTGGGTGACTTGATGGCTCTACCAGGGTTCTACACTCATATGTCCCTCCTGCACTCAACAGTGGAGTCTTAATAGTAAAGTTCCGTCCTCCATTTTCAAATTGATATAATCGTCTGTTATAACCTCCAGGCTGAAATGAAGTATCGCCAAATTTTAAGAATTCACTTAGGATTAAAAAAATTAATTTGGCAAAAAACAAGAAAGATAAAACAAAAATTTATACTTGTACAGTACAGTAAAACCTATATATCTTAACACCTCTCTCGTCCTAGCATCTCTCAGTTTGAACACTTTTTCTTAGTTCGTAATTCTCGACATTGACTGCCATGTTTAAAACATCGACATGTGAATACTTGCTAATACAAACACTTCTGATTGGTCACAGTGGTGTTAGGATAAGACATGTTTTACTGTACTCATATGTAGATTTTCAGTACCCTTGCTGGATTATATATAATGTTTGGTCTCCATCTTGATGTCACATACTCCCACCATTGGATGTATTCTTCTGGCTCTGGCTTTGCTGGGTCACATGTAAAAGTCACAGATTCCCCTTTAGTTGCTTGAATTTCAGGTGATACAATAACTCTTGAAGAAACTGGAATTGAAATAAATTGAATTGAATTCAGTAATCTCCCCAGAGAGTTCACCTTACTGAACTGTTAATGTCACCCTAATGGTGGCCTGGTGAAGTTTTTACTTAGTTGAAAACATTGATCTGCCCTGCATGATTACTTTGGACAGAGAAAGTCTGATATGTAGAAGGAAAATTACCAGAAGGTTATTGTTGCCAATTTGATATGAAGTAGATCCGAGAAATAAACAGTACTCCATATGAAAATGAATATACAGTTGTAAGTGAATATCATACCTGGATCCTTTAGAGCAATCAGTGGTGTTATGCAACACCCCAACACAACCAGTAACAATCTTGAATCCATCTTTTTAACTAAATAACACTTTGTGAATGTGATGTTAGTATGTTACCACATGCTGAATTCTTTACTTCAAGTTTTTATCAAAGACAAAGCATGTAAAGACATGACCTTTGAACATTATCTCAACTGATGTTCTTAAGTTCAAGTTTTTATCAAAGACAAAGCATGTAAAGACATGACCTTTGAACATTATCTCAACTGATGTTTACTTTGTAAATCCTGTCATTGATTTGGATCTTTCTTTGTATTTTAACTTCCTTATCACAATTCATAGAATAGATTATATATGTACCTCAATCTTTATCTTTCACAGTCGAAAATATATGATGAATCTAGGCTTATGAGCATATTAAATTTTTTCATTCAAAATTCAACTTTAATTTGATACAATTACTTTTTCCTGTTGCGCTGTGTGTATGCTGAAAATCTAGTATCAAAGAATGGCCAAGATCACTGTCAGTCTTCTTTTCATTTGATTTGAAATAAACTTTTGTTGATCGTCACTCTTTCTTTACAGTAAAGGATCTGCCTCAAATGGTTTGATGCTGGATTTCAATTTCTGCTTTATTTAAAGCTCATATGCAGATTTTATTTCTTGAATTTGATTGGTATGTATGTACTCCAATCCATATCTCTGAATATCCCACCAACCATTCTACATTTGCATTATGAAAGGTATTCCAGATATGAGAAATAAGTAATAAAGAGAGTCTGTTGACTGTGGTACAGGTTGGCCTATAATTTCTCTTTTATGTGCGATGTCATCATTATAGCCAGCTTGACAGGTGGGCAGGTGGGGCGTGGTCATCAGTGTCTCATTTTTCAGGTTTGTACATTTCCAGACATATCGCTTGTGGTACTGTAATGTTCAGTGTGTGACTTGTTTTTTTTTACTGTATGTTATATATCATATAATTTTTATGTGTTTCAGGAGATTTAAGAAAGCTCAGCTGGTCAGGGATTCCTAAGCAGGTTCGACCCACATGCTGGAAAATTTTATCAGTAAGTAAAAAATTTGTTTTACCTGTTTAGTTCTACTTTAATGGTGATGGTGTATCAGTGATGGTGTAATAGTGTTGCGACAGCGAATCAAATTGTGAGTTCTAATCGGGGAAATGCTAACTGCTTATAGCAGGGTGTAAAAAGAAAGAAGATATTCTGGATTTTGAAGCCCTGTGATCCAAGGATGTATACAATGTTGGTATCAATCTTCAAAAGTAATGCTAGTGTTTCCCTTACTTTCCTTGTTTAAAGAGATATCTGATCAGATATAGACATTTTCCAAGATTAGAAAATGTTGAAATTCATTAGTGTGTAATAATTATGCCGACATTCACTTTTTAATTATTTGGCAGTTTTCAAAATCAGATTATCCTGTAGTCAGAACTTTGTCTTTTTGAAATAGGCATGACAATGAATGATGATCAATGAGAGCCTAAATAATATAAATTGAGATAATTTATGCCAACTGGCTATTTTCATGGACTGTAAGTCATGTCTGTGCGATTGTTCCAAGGAAAATTAAAATTTATTTGTCAAGCGCTACTAGAGTACTCTGGTCTCAAAAATTAATCTTTCTACCTTAACTATTCCAGGGTTACCTACCTGCCAGTTTGGACAGACGCCAACCAACTTTAGAACGCAAAAGAAAAGAATATTTTAGTTTTATAGACCAATACTTTGATACTCGGCACCAGGAGATCCATCAAGACACATTCAGACAGGTAAGAGAACTACTAGTGACATCTTTCTTTAAATGTGAAGTTTATTTTATACTCATTATAGCATATCAGTTTGTGTAATATATCTGGTATGGTGTATCATGTAATAAATTTAACACATACTTCTATTATGGAAAAGCATAATTTGAATATCATTACATAGAGCTTACTGTTTAATTACGTAAAACTAAAATATGAATCCTTCAATACTTCATGTTGTCTTTATATAGTACAGTGTCTATGTACATTTGACAATGTATGAGTGTAGCGAGACAAGTATTGAAATCTTAATACATTATATAAGCTGATATTGTTGCTGTAATATAAACATTCTGTACTTTGCATTATTCTGGCTAAAAAGAATGCAAGAAGTATTCAGACTAGCTTTCTCACAAATGGCAGTTTTTGCATAAATGACTCCCCCAGATTTCAAGTCAATAGCTCTGGGTATAAGTGATGTATATGCAGCTTATATACATGCTTATTTTGTAGATTGAGAAAGATATAAACCGTATGGAGAGATTTATTGCTGAGAACTCATGGGTCTCACAGGTAGAGATCACTATTCTCGCATTAACAGACAAAAACTTCAAGCAAAAATGAAGCAAGATTTATTTTTTAAGTACTATAAATGTAATGGGTGCTCAGATTGGTATGAAAATGCCAAAAATATGTAATTTAATTCCATTTTGAGATAAGGGAGCATTTTTCAAAAAATTGAGGGCTAAACAAAAACGTCGATGAAATAATACTCTTAGATAGTATTTTTATGTAGGCTTTCCTTTATTGCTTCATTTTTGCAGAGGTTCATTTGTCTAGATGCTTTTCTTTAAAGATGATGAGTCTAGGCCCATTAGCCATGTGTCTAGAATCATCTGAAGACATGTCAGACTACAATGGCCTATGTTGCTGAGGTTAGGTGTTTTTGCCATATTACATGTACAGTGATTTACCAAATTGAAAAGTCAAAATTTTCAATTCAAGTCAAAATAAATTGTTTTTTGGATATACCAAAAACTACAAATGAAGTCACATTTTATACATTAAAATGGATGCCAGTAGGAAGTTTTTGAGAGACTTTTTGTATGTCCTCTATGACAACTGACCCTAGTAAGTCACCTTGTGGTGAGATCATTTATTGTAATTATAAATGTCTAATGAGGCATGCATCATTATGATCAGTGTTTCTTTAACTTAGTTTTAGATCTACATATGCATTTACATATACATCTCAGTATGAATGCAACAATTGTGCAGATTATCAAACACACAGTTAAAACAAATGCTATCACATCCAATGAAAAGTATTGAATCCAAGACATCTCATAAGCAGGTTTAGATCTCAAATGACCTGGTCCTTTATGTCGTAAAACAAAGTTCACCCAATAAAGAAATGTTGCTTTTGGCGTCACAGGAGTATCTTTTGCCATTTTTGACAGTTCAACAGCATTGTCTTTATAGACTTTATTTTCAAGCATAGCTTTAATGGCATTATAAATACTCTCTTCTGTGATTGTTTTGAATTTAACAACTAGTCCAATGTTGTATCTTGTTATGATCTTAGCTGCGTTTGTATCCTGGTCAAACATGAAAGGTATCCCTAGAGTAGGAACTGCATGGTTGACGGCTTCATACAAGCTAGATATACCACAATGAGATATGAACAGTTTCGTTCTTGTGTTCCCAAGGATATCATTCTGTGGTAACCATTTCATCAATATGGTGTTATTAGCAAGATTTTCTGGTGTTATGCCTTCATATTTCCATATAACTGTATGAGGTAACTGAGCAAATACCTTTGCAAAAATTTCAGCTTTTTCAATGGCCATATGAGAAAGTAGGGTCCCAAAACTCATAAGGATCACGCCATGTGGCGCAGAGTCATATATGATTTTTTGTAGAGAAGGTTTGATGTATTTTTTAGGAGAGAAAAACATGCCTCCAACATATATATGGTTTGGCATTAAAGGACGTGGGAAGTCCAAGGCATGATTCGCATGACTCATATACAGAGCTGCCCTCTTGTGAGAATCCCATAAACTAAGAGTTCTGTTGTAGTCATATTTTTGGCGCAATTTACGGAATTCCTTCATGAATAATTCACGTCCTATAAACTCATACGCACTGTAGCTTAACAAATTCTGCAATCTCTCCCAGAATGTCATAGTATCTTGAAATCCTACCATAAATGTGGGAATATAAGAAGTGGTTGATGGAAAACCTATTTCACCCTCAGATATTGGACCAAAATTGGAGTACACTATTGTTGGAATATCCAAATAATCATTTAAAAATCTAGAACAGTAGTCTGCATAGTCTAGAATCAGGAGCTCGAAGTTTTCCATTTTAAGTTTTTCCATGAGGCCATTTTTGAGTAAACTCTCACAAAAGTTCACCTGCGTTTTGATAAATATTTGAGGCATCTCTAATTCAGATGATGCCTTGTTGATTTGATCCAAAAATTCTTTGTCAGTTATCAATAGGGTATTAACCGGTGCTGGATATTTCATAACTTTTGCAGTGTTGTGTAGAGGTCTTGTAGTTTCATCATATACGCTACTAATTATCATCGTCACTGAATGTCCATCATCAGCCAACATGCCTATTATTTTTTCCATGTTCATGAGCCTTGAATTAAATCCCTGGCCATATGGGAAGACTGCAATCTTGCCTGATTCAGCTGGCACCAGGCACAGGATTACGATAAGCACCAGTCTCATTGTTCTGCCTTTCACTTGTACGTTCTTACAGTGTAATGTTATTTTCTTAAGGTGGTCCTCTTAATGTCGTCCCAGTGAGATAAATACATGTGATTCCTTGAGCCTTTTACATAACAGGATAGCCTTTTAGTTTTCTGTATACATTGTATACATTTTATGCGGAGATAAATCTGATTCAGTTCAAATGTACCCTTTGCATTCGTTCGACTTCACCTCTTGAAAGAGAGCTCTGTCTTCAGTTTAACTAGACTCTGTAGTTTAACTAGACTCTGCACGTATGGTAGTTCAATTGTTTGGCTTTCAAGACTCTTGAACCATTTATAATTCAACCAGTCCTTCCATTAATCTTTTATAACCAAGTAAGTGCACACATCGCATGACTGTTAATCTAGGTATTGAATGTGTTTATAACTACACATTTCTTCAAGGTTATCACTAGATTTGTGAGGTGTTTATGTTAATACTCTAGATAAATACCTGTCTTTCATTAGTGAATTGTTGAATACAGTAACTTATCAGATAATATTTATTAATTTCACATTCAGTGCTTAAGTATAATTATTGATTGATGATACATCATTGTTGCACTAACTGGATCAAAGTCTAAAATCTAATGCAGTAGAATAACTATATTTTTTTATTAAAGTTGTAAAGGACCACGAGTTGTTTGTAGAATGAATCCGGGTAGTTTTTTCATGCATTTTGCTTGTTTTTCATCTAAAAACATCAGTACACTTTAAAACATTTAGTTGACTATATGAATGTACTGTATAATCCCAAAAAATATTTCTCGAGGATTGTCTCTGGATTAACACTCAGATATTGTTAATTTTAAAACTTCAGAGGGCTGGGAATCATTATTACGATCGCTTTTGAATAATATTAATGCTGTTTTAAATAAGTTTCATGTATGCCAATGATTTCTCAAATTGTGTAAATGGTACCCCTTCCTTAATCCATAGAATTTTCACTTTGATGAATTTCCCATAATTGTAATCCAATGGTAATAGTTTTGAGCAGATTTTGAGATAACAGGAAAGTTAATCATTAATACACACCTTATTTGGTTGTTTTGGCTTATATTACAAGCCAATGAGGTGTGTATTAACTCTCAACATATCTCATTTTTGTGATATTTCAAGAGACCTTTTTGTGTCAGCGGTTGGTGTTAAGCCATCTGTAACAAATGGCATGTGGTGGCGTTTTGCATGTTAATGCCTTGTTCGTACATGCTGTATACCTCTATAGATATTTATAGAAAATGTAAAACATGGGACCAAGTCCCCTACTTATATCCATTGAGTAAAATGTATAATAGAGAGTGTTTAGTTCCAAGTACATGTATATGGTTTAAAAACATTTAAATTGTAAATGACATGTCTCATTATTAACATGCTAAAAATCAAAAGCAACAAACAAGGTCTGAGGAACCCAGGGACAATACAGCAGTTGCTTTTGGTTGTACCATTCTCCATGCTCAGGGCTACGAATTCAATCTTCAAACACTGAATGGATGTTGTTCCATAGACCTGCATCTGGAGAATGGCTAGTAAATAAGTTCACATGTAAGTGGCTAAGGTTACTTAAGTGAGACGCCCTCTTTACTCTGCTATTTACAGATCCATATAGACATCCCCAGAATGAACCCACTTATTCCCATATTCCAACAACCTGTAGTCCAGGAGGTATAGTATGAACATTTACATGGTGTTGTTGAAACTAAAAATTCTAAAATTGAGCCATGGCTCTTTGAACATTTCCTTAAGGTACGTTCACACCAACGGCGCTTTGATGGCGCTTTAAAGCGGCTTGTAAAGCGGCACCAAAGCGTAACAAAGCTTAATTAAAGCGTCGGGATCGTAATAGGTCGTAGAAAAGCTCGGGAGTAAAGCGGGATATTCGGCAAGAGCGCTAAAAAAATTAAACTGTTTAAGCGTTCGCACCAACGGCGCTTTGATGGCGCTTTAAAGCGGCTTGTAAAGCGGCACCAAAGCGTAACAAAGCTTGATTAAAGCGTCGGGATCGTAATAGGTCGTAGAAAAGTTCGGAGTAAAGCGGGATATTCGGCAAGAGCACCAAAAAATGTTAAACTGTTTAAAAATTTTGGGCGCTCTGTTACGAATTGATTGAAGCGCCGAGAGCGTATCAAAGCTTAACAAACCGTTACAAAGCTCAACAAAGCTTGACTCAAAGCGTAGGAAAGCTTAACACAGCTTGGTTCAAAGCGGGGACCCCAGTCTATTCACGGTCTGTTACCACTTGACACGCTTCGTTAAGATGTCTCAAGATTTGCTACGATCTGGCATGAAGATCTGACACGAGGTCAGACGCTTTCATCAATATCTGACACTCTTTGTTACACTTTCCTGAGGGACTCTCAAGCTTTCCAACGAATTGAGACGCTTTAATCAAGGATTGAAACGCTTTGCTGAACGCTTGACAAGTTTTCACACGCTATATCACGCCATGCGACAAACGTCATGTCTTCTTCAGATAGGTCATGCTCTGGTCCATCTGGAATTTCTGGATCTCGTTGTTCTGCCATCGTGTTCTCGAGTCAAAGATGCAATGGTTTTATGGATCTACTGCATCTTTATATAGTCATTGGATCAAAAGCGGCATGGAATCGGCGATCTCGACATTTTCCAATGCGTGACAGAGCTTAACAGAGCGTAACAATGCACAACAGAGTTTTGCAATCGTATCAGAGCCTGATTTAAAGCGTCATAATCGCATCAAAGCGTAATAATGCTTATCAAAGCTTTTCAAAGCGTGATTTCAAGCGTAACAAAGCCTGATCAAAGCGGGATCAAAGCGTGAGGAACCTTTTAGAGCTATGTTAAGCTTTCCTACGCTTTGGATCAAGCTTTTCTGAGCTTTGTTACGGTTTGTTAAGCTTTGATACGCTCTCGGCGCTTAATCGATTCGTAACAGAGCGCCCAAAATTTTTTAAGAGTTTAAAATTTTTTGGCGCTCTTGCCGAATATCCCGCTTTACTCTGAGCTTTTCTACGACCTATTACGACCCCGACGCTTTAATCAAACTTTGTTACGCTTTGGTGCCGCTTTACAAGCCGCTTTAAAGCGCCATCAAAGCGCCGTTGGTATGAGGAAAAATGACAAAAATGACGGCGCTTTGCTCGCCGATTTAAAGCGTGGCATTCGCCGTTGGTGTGAACGTACCTTTATTGTTGAAACTGAACTATGGACCTATGAAACTGAAATATAGCCCTATGAACATTTCATTTTGTTGAAATTGAAGGTTGACCCAAATCTGTTATGTTCTCTCAGTTCAATATTTGTAAATCTGGCTTGTCAAGTCCATTCAAATATTCACTTTCAAATATTCATTCTCTAGTATTAGTGCCTGTGCTAACCCTTTCCTTCAAATAAGTATCCTTAGTTCACTTAAATAAGTCTTGAAATAAAAACTTGTACTGTTGTAAATCTAAATCTATAAGTATTTCTAAACCTTTTGATATATACATTAATTTTTTTATTATATCTTATTCTTGCATTTATGTACATTGTTATTTTATTTAAATTATCATAACATATACTTGTACATTTAGATAATTAAGAACAATACCTTTTCATTTCCACATGAATAAACAAATCTCTGAGACTAAAAACATATATATAAGAGAAAGTTTAATTGATAGCCGCTCTTTGCATTAATATTTATGTTCTTGGTTATTTTCAGTTGTTTGAACGCATCCTATACATTTGGGCAATCAGACACCCTGCCAGTGGTTATGTGCAGGGTATCAATGACCTAGTCACACCTTTCTTTGTGGTCTTCCTATCACAGTATATTGACAATGGTAAGTTCCTAGATGATCTCACCTTTCCATTTTACCCTGTCATAATAGGTAGATCTCAATATGTAGTATAGGGGTTCTTCATCGGACTTTGATGTATGGGGTTGCTTTGTCATGGGGCTATTTCGGCCATGGGATTATTTTGACATTGGCTATAAATTTTAATCTACGCAATTTGCCATGTTTGGTTTTTTGAAAATTAAAAAGTGAATCGTTCTTAATCCAAGATGGCTGAAAGGGGAAATTTGAATTATCAGCCATGGTTGAAGTAGTCCCGGATGAATGAACCACATATGTGGAAGTTCGATGGAAAACCCTTAGGTAGTTTCTTATTTATCCTTAGGCATTGTTAGTTTGCCTATAGTTTAGAAACATAGTTATACATGTAAGTCTCCCCTCATCATTGCAATAGGAAATATTTATCATCATAATGAAAAGTATGTTGACTAATGTATTGCATATTTGATATTCAAAGTTGTACCTATTGTGTTATAGCTTTCTCAATGTTGTTTTATATGTATCTTTTGCATCACCACATTCATTTCTATTTTTCTTTTTAATTTTTCTTGATATGATTAAATTGCATCAATGTCTTTGAATGAATGATAACATTTCTTGTAAGACATTATTTCACATTTATTTATTTTCACATACTGTTATATACTGTTATCTTTGGCTGCAATCAAGTTTCAGTCATTTGATTAATTCTGCTTGGAAAAATGTTCCATGATTAATTTTGGCAAACAATAGATGCACATTTCAGTTTGGCAGAATTTTATTTGGAGAGCACTTACAAGGGGGGGGGCAATAATGCACTCATCCAGGGCCCTCCACAGTTCAATGTATTATAATTACCAGCTAATAATTGCCTATTTTACAGTATGTTATCCCATAGCATTTTTTCATTTTATTTATCCCATATTATTTTTCATTTTATTTATGATAGGTGACAAATATAGTCAAGGTAGGTTGGTGTTGAAGGGTTGGAACTGTCACTAATATATTCCAGTACATATTAGTCATTCACTTCACTGCTATCAGCTGTCCATGCATGTGGGTTTGGGCTGGTAGACATCACCCCTTGCAGATACTGCCTACAGAAAGCACTTAGTGCAGATAACATGAGTGCGTGGTGCTGATCGTGGGACCAATGGTCATTTTTAAATTTGAATTTGTTAAATGCCTTTAAAGGGTTCCGATTAGCATCCCATATAAAAACAATATGGCGGCTCCAGGCGAATCAACTGGATCAGTCCATGTTTAAGAAATAAGGGGAGTTCTGTAAAATCCAGTTTATTGAAATTGTCTTTGAGATAAAGTAATCCGTTTATAATGATTTTGAAAACGTTATCCAAAGAGTGATTGCGTTCAAAGAATACATGTACAACAGCCAATATAAATCCTTGTATAAGAAACCGGTTTGTCTTGCTTTGTTTCATTTGTAGGATATTTCATATGCCAAGCTGTGTGCTATTACGTTATGGGGAAATTTAGATGCCAATTTTTCCTTATTATACACAAATAGAAGATCCTGAAACTTCACCCATAAATGTGGAATTGATTTGTCAAAATAAAAATCACCCTTTTATAAATGTGTGACGTCAATATACTTATGCTATATAACAGTTAGAGGTGTTGACACAACGACCTCGAAGCTGTGAACCCTTGAGTGTTATTCCGGGATCAGGCCTTTTATACTAAACGGTGAGCAACACCAGAAACGAGCGTTCGATTTGCTAAACGATATGCGTCACCCTTTAAAATCTTTCCCACCATTTTTCATAAAATATGTCATTTTGTAAACTATCTATGACACAGTTGGTTATGTAAATGGTTAACAAATAAAATGTCACTTGCAATTTACTTTGATTTTCTCGCTATGCATGCATGTTTATGTTTTCGAGAGATTATATGATTGATTCATGATCAAGAAATATACATCTAGAGTTGATTCAATTTATGACAAATTCGTAGACATGCAATTCCCATACTTTATCATTAAGAGAGAATTTTTGAAAAGGTTGCTAAACATGAAATTATAACTTAAGTTTGTTGTGAGTTTTTCATTTGAATTGTAGAACTAATGGTTATAAAAAGAACACTATATATATATATATATATCTTTTATCGACTCTTTAGATGTCATATCATGACATATTAGTCACTTAGGTAGAGCAGTTCTTCCCATTGTCGAGTTGAAGAACTGGTATCTTTATCCTGGCTAGAACCATAGACAATTCTAGTTGATTAGCAAAAGTTTATGAAGAAAAGAACATTTATTTCATGATGATGTGGAATTTTGTTTTTATGGTTTTAAAAATAAGAATCAGAATAACGTAAATGTATTTGAGAAACTGGCTTGAAGAATTATTTTATTATAAAGTGAAGACATATCATTCAGGTATTGGGATTCTCTTAAAGAATAGATTAATCTACTATGTGTTCTCTTGGCAAATAAAAAATAAAGTAGTACATAATTGTTATACATCTAGTTATAAAACGTAATAGGCCTTTAATTTGAATCAACAAGATTCTATATTATAGATTTATCAATTTCAGAAGATTAAGAATATGTGAGACATATTTTAAAAGTATGTCAATATAAAAAATCAAAGTGGATCAAAATATGTTTTTCTACAAAATAAAAAAAATGTTTTCAGTATGTTTGAAAAAGTTCAATATTCATTGACATGCATTTCTATGGATGGATATTTACCAATAACTTGATTATTTTTCTGTGTTCCCATTGAACTCTTTGTATATAACTAGTCGCACCTCATTTGTAAAGGCATTCATGCCATAAATAAAAAAACATTTGATTGGATTGATTTGACAGATTTGTGAATAATAAAATTGAGGTTTTCGGCTGTCTTATATAATCAATGGCAACGTGGTAATTATCATTTAATACAAAGAGTGACTATGAATTGTCTGTCTACTCTAAAATAGTACTGAACATACATATTCTTGGAAAAATATTTTTCATTTATCTCCTTAAATCTCCAACTACTGGTACCCGAAAATTTTCAAAGGCATTCTAAAAGCTTATTTTTATAAAATATGTAATTGTTGATTCCTTTGAAAGAGACTCTAGTACCCCACACAAGTTTTTTTACATATTAGTAGAGGTTTGGGCTTAAGGTTACACTCTATTACCACACCACTTATGAAAATCAGCTCATTACAATTACATAGAAGTTTTATTTGGTAGAAAATGAACAGATTGTAAAATTAAGGGTGGTTGTATTAGTACTGATATATCATAGTGCTTAAATAAAAGTCAGGTTTAAGTATGAAACTCCATCCTTTATTGTATTCACAAGTGGGATTTTTGAATTACATGCAATAGCTTGGATTTATTCAGCTCTCCTCTAGGCACAACATATATATGCTTTATTACATTTAATCTTTAGATTTTGCTTGGTTAGTGGTTTGACTTCTACACCCCACTTGCTTACTTATGCTGCTAAAATATATAATACATTGTTCAACTATGTATAGCTTTCTCTCTTTTAAGATCAAGTATTCCTTGTACATACTGTTTTTGCACATGTGCATTAACAGGGTATTGATGGTTTGGCAATAGCTATACATTTTGTAATAAAATATCTATATTAAATGAGCTACGAATGCTAAATATCCATTGAAATACTCATACTAAACTATATATTTATATGTTTCAGATATTGAGCTTGACAACTGTGACCTCACCCAGCTTCCAAAGGAGCGTTTGGAGACTATAGAAGCTGACAGTTTTTGGTGCATGTCTAAACTGCTTGACGGAATACAAGACAACTATACATTCGCTCAACCTGGCATCCAGAAAAAAGTCAATGAGTTGAAGAATCTAATTAAACGAATTGATGGTATGAGTTTTATGTAAATATTTTAGGTGTAGATCCAGGCCCATAGCTAGGTGGAGGGGTTCAGCCTTGGCCAAAAATTCTTTCAAAATCATGCAGTTTTTCACATATTCTGAGCACTTTTCAAGTGATTTTGGGCCAAAATTGTCAAATGTCAACCTCCCCTAGAATTTTTTGAAAAGAGAACAAAATCAGGCTACGGACCTGAAATCTTCATGGCTAGAATACTGTTTCGCATAGATTTAAAATTAGGATTAATAAAATAAGGCATTATGTTAGAACATTTAGAATAAGACCTGGTCAGTCAGTCAAAAAATTGTCCTGTCTACGTACATGTATTGTATTGATGGACAAGGTCCCACCTTAAAGATTATTTAGATATATATCTAAAAATTGGGCACAGAAGTCATTCAGGAAAATGCACTTAACAAATACAATTGTAAGATTGTATACATTCTCATTTCAGTTGATCTACACAACCACTTAGAAAGACAAAATGTCGAGTTCTTGCAGTTTTCATTTCGTTGGATGAACAATCTGTTGACCAGAGAGTTGCCTTTACGCTGTACTATACGCCTATGGGACACATATTTGTGTGAGCCAGATGGTTTCGCCAGCTTCCACCTTTACGTATGTGCAGCATTTCTCAGCCGCTTTTCAGCAGATTTGAAAAGAGAGAAAGATTTTCAGGTAAGCTATGTGACAATAATATTTGTGTTTGTTTTTTGAACGTTGATTTATATTAGTATAGTATAACACATGGCATAGAATGACATGTACAAATAACCATGGGGCTATTAACAGAAACTTCATAAAGTTAAGAATTCATAAAATCCATTGTTCTCTAACTGACATCATTACATCCATGGTTACAACGATTAATTTACGAATTTGTAATTTTACGAAGTTTCTGTTAATGACCCCCATATTCTGTAATAGTTTACTAATATGGTATATTTTCAATAATGTCACAAAGAAAAAGGTATGGTTAAGACATAAAGAAAATATAATATTAATATTTTTGCAATAAAATTTAATTTGTTTTTCAACTTCAATGGACTGTATCTGGAGAAGGTTGAAAATACCCTGAATAACATGAGCTATACAAATACTTTATGCTGTGTTGCTATATAATTCCAGGGGTTGATGCTATTACTACAGAACCTCCCCACACATCATTGGGGGAATGAAGAAATTGGCCTCATGCTAGCGGAGGCTTATAAACTGAAATACATGTTCGCCGATGCACCTAGCCATGTCAAGAAAAGGTAGTGAATAGCCAGTGAAGACCTGGTGTATGTCTATGACTACTATGAGACTAGTGAAGACGAGGGAATAGCCAATGCAGTAGAAAATGGAAGGAAAGTGTAACTAGGGCAAATCTATCACTTGATGTATCTATTTACAGTGTAAAAAAGCAACACTAGGACATAGAAGCTCTTAATGTGTCCAGTTGGAATCATCCTCCTAAGTAGGTATCCAGAATCTGTACCTCCTTTCCCCTGCTATAACCAATTTGTAAGCGCCGGATTAAACTGAATCACATGATCTAATTATGCGCAATGACTAATACATGATTTCTGTCGTAGTGTTGCGACAGCCAATCAGATTGCGAGTTCTTAATCGGGGAAATGCTAACTGCTTATCGCAGGGAGTAAAAAGAAAGAATATATTCTGGATTTTGAAGCCCTGTGATCGGAGGATGAGTTGGAATACATGTAGCTTGATATGAAGTAATAATGACTGATTGTTTCAACGTTTTGGAGAATATGCTAACTATTGTCAACTTATTTTGCATGATTGATGAGTAGTATTGTTTTACAAAAAGTGCCACCATACGATATTAATGGCCTCAAAAGTAGCTGGCATGGCATTTCAATTCATGGTAGTTTCTATATGAAATAACTGCCAGGCACTTCTGAAAGCCAAAGAGAAGCAATTTTGAATGGGTAGCTAGATTTTGATCATTTTCTCTCTATTCTGATTGGTTAAGGCTAGATCAAAGGATTATCTATTCTAATATGCAAAAAGTGTACATGAAGCTCTTTTTTTAAGAAGCAAAATTAAGCTATTGATAAGGGTTAGAACTGTAAAAGATTCGATTAGAGCTGACTGTTTCATAATATTTTTGATAGATGGTGTTGTTAGTTAATGAGGTTTATAAGGTAGAGTCTATCATGGAGGAATGGAAACAACCAACTTATGATGGTGTCATCACTTATTGAACTGGTTGGTCTCTTTAAAGGAATTCTTTGTTGTTTAAAGCTATTTCAATTTCACTTAATATGGACATTTACCCTGATCACTGTTCAAGTTAGACAATTTTACAGTTTAGCTGCCAGCCCCTGCTGTCACTGGCCATCACAGGCTGGATCATAAATCATTTCAAGCTCATTGTGCTGACATTTTCTTAGGGTCAGAGGATATGGCCATATAAAAAAGATTGTCCTTTTGGGAATGACAATATCTTGTCGACTGGGCCAGTTAAAAAGTTTAAACTTAAAAAGTGTAGACGACGCTATCTTTGAAGAATTAAGAATTACTGTAAATTACTCCAAATGGGAACCAAATAATGATGTTAATAATTGCTACTATGTTGACATTACCAATCATCATGCCAAAAGTGAACCCGAACTCTATATCACTATAATAGTATGAGTATATAAAGTCTGAGTTCCTATATTATATAAAAAGTCGCTAAGCATTATCATTAAGTGACAAATGAATGCAAAATTATGACACTGCAATACATGAATAAACAGAAATTTTTGTAAAATTTAAAATGTGCAATATTGTTGTATTACCAAGTTTATACTGTAATGATTGCCTCTGTGTGCATTTTTCAGTAAGGAGGTTAAGTAAGCACACGTTTTGAAAAATGTGAACATGTGACTATTTTTCACCTTTGTGCCCTTTACTTACCAGATTGAGTATACTATTAAGGGTATAAGAAAAGTAATTAGTCCCTGTTAAAAACAAAGGGGAAAATAATTTCTGGTGGCCATAATGTGAAATTTTGAAGTCAACAACATGCATTGTCGAAATTTTCAGTAATACACCTTATACAAAGTCAGCGATAATGGATATAGTAAAGGATGAGAAAAGGTGTCACAAATTCAAAGTCATGTCTGTAAAGTACTCGATGATAATTGTATCAGATTCCATATTATGTTGAGGTCATAATGGTGATGAGAAATGGCTATGTGTAGGAGGTTAGCTCAGCTCAGCTCAGAGGTGCTATGCTTATTTGATTTTAGTCACCTTCTCTCATCCTTTACCGTATCCATATGTATTCATTTTGTATAGGGTGTAATATGATGGTAAAATCACTTCATGAAAGATAACCATTGTGCTCTACATTTTGCATTCTGATACTCAGACCATCTCTGCAATGCACAAGAAGTTCAAGAAGGAAACTGAGAGAAGGCTGTGATATCTCATGATGTACATTTTCGAACTAATTTGTTCTATTACGGTATAAAATGACTGAAAGGTAATCGCTTTAAAAGGATCATATTCATGAAAATGTGTTTTCAATTACTTTAAGATGCCATTATTTCAGCTAGCAGTGTCAGTTAGAAGGCGTTACATTTCAAAACATTACATTACATTACAATAGTAATCTACATTTCAAAGGAGTCCGAGATTTAATTTGTGCATGAGTTGGATGTTTACACTTGCAAAAGTTGAAATGTTGGGCATTTACTTGTGCAACAGTTGCAAGGTTAGACAATTACTTGTGCAAGAGTTGCAATGTTGGGCATTTACCTGTGCAAGAGCTGCAATGTTGGAAATTTACTTGTGCAAGATTTGCAATGTTGTGCATTTACTTGTGCAAGAGTTGCAATGTTGGGCATTTACTTGTGCAAGAGTTGCAATATTGGGTATTAACTTGTGCAAGAGTTGAAATATCGAATATTTACTTGTTCAATAGTTGCAATGTTGGGCATTTACTTGTGCAAGAGTTGCAATGTTGGGCATTTACTTCTGCAAGAGTTTCTATGTTGCACATTTACTTGTGCAAGAGTTGCAATATTGGGCATTTACTTGTGCAAGAGTTGCAATGTTGGGCATTTACTTGTGCAAGAGTTGCGATGTTGCGCATTTATTTGTGCAAGAGTTGCAATGTTGGGCATTTACTTGTGCAAGAGTTGCGATGTTGCGCATTTACTTGTGCAATAGTTGCAATGTTGCACAGTTATGATTGTTGGACATTATTTGTTGCAATGTTGAGAATTTACTTGTGCAAAAGTTGCAATGTTGGGCATTTACTTGTGCAAGAGTTGCAATGTTGGGCATTTACTTGTGCAAGAGTTGCAATATTGGGTATTAACTTGTGCAAGAGTTGAAATATCGAATATTTACTTGTTCAATAGTTGCAATGTTGGGCATTTACTTGTGCAAGAGTTGCAATGTTGGGCATTTACTTGTGTAAGAGTTTCTATGTTGCACATTTACTTGTGCAAGAGTTGCAATATTGGGCATTTACTTGTGCAAGAGTTGCAATGTTGGGCATTTACTTGTGCAAGAGTTGCGATGTTGCGCATTTACTTGTGCAATAGTTGCAATGTTGCACAGTTATGATTGTTGGACATTATTTGTTGCAATGTTGAGAATTTACTTGTGCAAAAGTTGCAATGTTGGGCATTTACTTGTGCAAGAGTTGCAATGTTGGGCATTTACTTGTGCAAGAGTTGCAATATTGGGTATTAACTTGTGCAAGAGTTGAAATATCGAATATTTACTTGTTCAATAGTTGCAATGTTGGGCATTTACTTGTGCAAGAGTTGCAATGTTGGGCATTTACTTGTGTAAGAGTTTCTATGTTGCACATTTACTTGTGCAAGAGTTGCAATATTGGGCATTTACTTGTGCAAGAGTTGCAATGTTGGGCATTTACTTGTGCAAGAGTTGCGATGTTGCGCATTTACTTGTGCAAGAGTTACAATGTTGGGCATTTACTTGTGCAAGAGTTGCGATGTTGCGCATTTACTTGTGCAATAGTTGCAATGTTGCACAGTTATGATTGTTGGACATTATTTGTTGCAATGTTGAGAATTTACTTGTGCAAGAGTTGCAATGTTGGGCATTTACTTGTGCAAGAGTTGCAAGGTTGTGCATTTACTTGTGCAAGAGTTGCAATGTTGGGCATTTACTTGTGCAAGAGTTGCAATGTTGGGCATTTACCTGTGCAAGAGTTGCAATGTTGGGCATTTACTTGTGCAAGAGTTGCAATGTTGCACAGTTATGATTGTTGGACATAATTTGTTGCAACAGTTTTGAAATGACTGAACTGAGGAAAATGTGCAAATTAATGACTAAAAGTACAAAACTCACAAAATCAGGTCTTTGAAATATTTTTATGGATATAAATAGTGTATATAATATTAGGAAAGTAGGACAAATATATTAAAATTATGAAATAAACCAGTAATATACTTATAAATGTTTTGTGTCTCTTCTCCATATTCGGGAATATTTCTCAGAATTTTACTTGCTTGGTTTAATTCAATAGTCTTTGTTTAGTTAAAAGTAAATAAAAAGTGCCTTCAATAATTTCAATATCAGTTTCCTTTAATACTTCATTCAACTATGAATAGTTACTAGATATAGTATTCCATACTTGAGAAATGTGATATTTTTAGCTCACATGGTGAGTTTTAAGGTGGCCAATTTGAATTTTCCATCATAAAATCTTGTCTGTAAAGTCTTCTCTACATGTTTTGAGCCAAATGATTTTATGGATCAATCTGAAACTTTCAGGTATGTTTCTTGGTATTAAAGTCCACAAATGCTCAGCATCTAGACATTCTGGATAGATTTTTAGGTAGCGATTTTGAAGTTTTTATCCAAAAAACTAGTAAAGCAACACCATGTGAGCCCTATACCCACGTTACCCTACTATCACACCAAACTAGTTCTCACTACGTTCTCGAAAATGGGCTTCAACTGTGTACGAACGGAATGGACGTACTTAGAACCGTTTGGGGGCCTATTTACAAACTTCATCGAACGTACTTGAACGGGTAGGTCCTCTAGAACTTAGAACATGCTCAAAATGCTCTTGTGGTCGTCACGTTCTACAATTAGAACGAGTGACAACGTACTAACGACGAGCTGGACGTACTACGAACGGAACCGTCGTACTTCAATCCTACTAGGGACGTTTTTACAACGAGTTGAACTGTTTGAGGACGTATTGAGAACGAGGTAGAACGAATTGCAAACGGGTTTGAACTGATTAAGAACGTATTAAAGACTGCTTATGAACGAGTTAGCAAAAATATAGCTATCACACCAAACAAGTTGCCACTGCGTTCTTCAAAACTGGTTTTAAACTGTGTGCGAACGGAATGAACGTAGCTGCAACTTTCTAAGGACTATTTACGAACTTCATGAACGTTCTCAGACGGGAAGGTGATTTTAGAATTTTGAAATGATTCAAAATTCGATGGCGACCATACCGTTCTGTAATCAGGTCATGATGACCTTCTAGACTAAGGGACGCGTTATACGACGTTGCACACCGACGTGGTGCGACCTGAACGAACTGCGAATGAGATGGACGTATTGAAGACTGTTTATGAACGAAATAGCTAATTATATTAGACAAATTTCCCGACCACAGCCAGATTGAGCCCGTTTTACGACGTTTTCGTAGGACTGGCAAGAACGGGTAAGAATAGTTTGGTGTGATAGGGGGGTTACTATTTTTTGTTTATGACGTTTCACCAAAACTGCCATCTTTTATTTATCTTTTCGAGCATTGACATTTTCTGAAAGGAAGGTTTATCCAAGCCTCTGATTTTGCAAGTAGTTTATCATTGTGAATGAAATATATTTTAGGGTTATTTATAATGAGAATCACAGCTATGGGCCTTTTAGCATTTACTCCATCGTGAAGGCTGCTGAGTGCTGATGCTTATTTTACAACCAAAACATCCAGTAGGACAGCATGATGTCCCAGGGGCTGCTTATGGGCACTGAGTTATATATTGATGAACAACGATTCTTTATTTGCTAGTGTAGGCATGTACAGGGTGTCCCGAAAGTATGCCCCCTCCCCCTAGGTAGACATATTCCAGTGTCCTCATAGTATGTGTCATATATCATTTTAAAGCTTATCCAAAGTTACATTGATTTGCCAAGTATCATGGTTTAACTCCCAAATGGGAAAAAGTTACAGTCATTTTAAAGGTTATTGTTTTGTCAAAATAAAGTTCAATTTTACACCACATTACTAGTCAATGAGTCCCCCCTTGGCAATGTTAACAGCAGCAATTATTTTCAGATATGACCTTAAAAGCCCTTCAAATAGGGGTGTGGAATTTTATAACCCTCCTAAAACCTGTTAAGGCACTTTAGAAGAGTTTCCCTAGAGTTTCTACCCCCATCGTTCTCTTTTTCAACTCAATATCCATCCGACCCGGAAAAGAATTGCTGCTGTTAAGATGGCCCGGGAGGACACATTGACTTGTGATTTAGTGTAAAATTTAACTTAATTTTGACCAAACACTAAATTTTGAAATGCCTGTAATTTTTTCACATTTGAGAGTAGAACCATGATACTTGGCGAATCAATGTAACTTTGGATAAGCTTTAAAATGGTATATGACACATACTTTGACGACACTGGAATATGTCTACCTAGGGGAGGGGGCATACTTTCGGGACACCCTGTACATCCCTCTATTGAAAGGATGAATAACACTTCGATTGCAAGATTTCCATAAGTGCTCTGGGTATTAAACTGTTTAATAGTTAGACATTACATTGCTTGATTCCATTAGTGTTGCAAACGACGAGGGATATGGAGAATACACGAAAGGGATCGTCTGACCCTATCGTGAGTTTGTTGGTCCAAGATCATGGGACTTCTTTATTTATTTCATAAGAGAGTGGGCGGAGAATCTAATCGTGTCAGTTGGGTAATTTATTCGTTCCAAAAAATCAAGGCAGCCAGTAGTAATGAAATTTCATATTCGGAATAATCCCCGATTGGTTTATCCATCCCTGGTTCAAATGTGAAGGATGGGACTATCTAACTTTGCAAAATTATAAGGTAACACTACCACTACTGACGGAGCGACAGAAAGCAAAATTAAAAATTTAAATGTACTATTTTCCGACATATTAGAAAAGTTACGAATGTTACGGGAACTGCTGTTATCGTGGAAGGGTTGTCCCACTTTGCATATGAAGCTGCGTACGTTATTGATTCTGTGCGGCCTACACTAAAGATGACTCGAAACGCCCTTAACTTACATTCCCAATAAATTACTCAAAATGTTAATCATACACCGACCACATTCAGGTGTCAGGATTCTGTCTGCCATCAGGTGCGATCATTTAACCGAGCATGCGCAGAAGCTGGTCCACTTTTATAAAAGTAAGAAATTTAATACCAACACTATCAGTCAGATCGCACCGTAATTGATTGTGTCAAACAGAAAGAAATGAAAGGTTTTCGAGGAGCGTTCGTTCTTTATCTTTCTGGATTGGCGTTTGCTGTTGGGATCCCGTTATCCGTTCACGAAGGTATGAAAACGTAATTTTAAATACAAATATTGATAATTTGTTTATGGTCAATTCTCTCATATTTACTCATTACTTTTTGAATATCTTAACTAGCGCTGCAAATCAAAACTGTTTTTAGAACTGCTCGAATCTATTCTTTTAACTTTTTCGCAAATTGGTTACGTTACATTGCGCTCAAGGTTGAAAAATGTTTGTCCTCGACTCCATGTTCATGAAAGGAAGCATCATAAATAGCGAACAACTTTTTCCAAAATTGTATATTTAAAAAAACCTCGAAAATTATCATGTGTTTGTTTTATGTTCATATATTTAAGAAATATAGCCTGAAGAGCAAGTGTTATACCGACGAATACACATCGCAGGGCTAGGCACAAACGTTTTCTGTACCCTGAATGACCGAAATGAGTAAGGAATTCGAAAGCGTTTGCGCCTAACTTTGAGGTATGTATTCATCCATATAACACCTGCTTTTAGGTCTATATTACGATTCGAACATGAAAAGTCACCAACACTTTTCGAATCGTGTATAATGATGTCAAAAATCGTTTTAATCATATATTTCGGATGGTCAAGAGCACAGGTCTGTTTTCGCTCTAGTGTGACGTACGAATGCTATACATTTCGTTCTTTCAAAAGAGAGCGTCAACTCATATCGCAGTAATAACTGAAGATTCCTCTGCACTTCCTTGAAAATAATAGTGGGGTTGTTAAATGGTCTCGTGGGAAATTTTATTACAGCTTGGCAACAGAGTGATCTTTATAGAATTTGAGGTGCTGAAATAGATTAATTCTGATGTTGCCAAAACTAGCGCTAGCTCCATAGCTTTTTTGTTGTTTTAAAACACGTCACTGACGAAGGATACAGTATACAGAAACTCGTATTCAAAAGTTATGAAACTAGCTAGTTTATTTTAAAGGCTTGTACAGAGGAATTTTGTCATTATTGTTAGAACTAATAGATGAACAGCTTAGGGATTATACCCTAGTAATAGACTAGATGCGAGTAGAAATGATCTTGATTTACGTCATTGAATATTCAAAATTCAGTCAAAGTGATGTCATATTTGAAATCTACATGTAAAAATACATCCAAAAATAGGGTTTCGAAAATTGTTTATCAACTTTGAAAATTTAATCTTTTTTGAAAATGTGACTTCTAGTTCGGGTTGATTCCCCATAGACCCCATGTTAAAAAATCACAAAAAGTGAAATATCTTTTCTTGTATTGGACATATAACATTTTCTTTTACTGGACATACTTTAATTTGCAGTATTACATACCTAGCGAAGCATTTGTATGGAAGTCAATGGGAAAGTTAGCGAGCTATATCCACCGATATTGCCCGATTACCCCGATATAGCCCGCTTACCTCGTTTTGATATTAGATTTCTTTAATAACCATGATAATATCATGACGTCACGTCATTGATACAAAGTAACCATGGGAACAAAGGCATGTAATACATCAGTTATGTCACTATGACGTGAAATATGCCTTCGTTCTTGCCCAAATATAGAGCCTCCCAAGGTCGGCCTATATTGGGAGAACTCAGGCATATTTCACGTCATAGTGACATAACCTCTAATAACTATTCGATTCATTAGGGCTATATGAAAATTGAACCACTAAAACAGATGTAATTTAAGTTAAAGGGAACTTTCTACTATACCCGCCATGCTATCTGACCCGAGCGAGCCACCTGGTGGTGAAACTGGTAACTACCTACTCGCACTTGCGTTATTAGTAATCGGGCCTCGTGGTATACAAATCGTAACCCTGTGTTTCTTCACCGTACCATTGTTAAATAGCCTTGTTATAAAAAGTAGAGTGATTTACAAATATGCACAATGCAACCATTTGTTATTAGATTCTTAAAAGGGAATTCTTAACGTGACAATAATCGATTTAGAATAGATTGCGCACCTCTGGGGAGAAAGCAAAAAAGAAATGACAAACGGTTCGTCTGATTGGGACACGAAAAAGGTTGGATGAAAATAAATTTTCTATAATTTTCTTTCCGCTTACCACGTATCCTTGAAATTAATCGTTCTGTTTATGAAAGGAGTATAATAACACGTATTTTATATATTTCTTCTTATAGAGTCCAGCTGAGCAGTGGCAATTTAAAATTATAAATTGCTGGATAACGATCTTTTTCATGATTATTTAGGGCGTTGTAGTCTTATAATGACACCTGTTTGCATAGTTTTTCTTACAGACCATACTATTACATGCTGAGTGTAAATGTAATTATATTCCGGGCGGAGGTTACCAGTATGTTTTTATAATGTGCCACCTCTGCAATGCCATTTAGCACTTAAAATAAATCATTTAATATGCTGACATGGTCTATGAAACATGAACTGGTATAATTAGAAGAAATGACGAATAATTTATGTTATTATCAATTACATTGTTTCGTCGTGACGGTAATAACTGCTTCTACAGGGTGTCAAAAACCAAAGACATCCCTTTCTCTACCGCAGAAACTCCTTGATGATACATGGCGTGTTAAATCTCATTTGAAGGATAATTTAATTCCGGAGTTAATATTTATTTAATAAAACTTTAAATCAAAAAGCTACATACAGTAATTTTGGCTGCTTCAGTTCTTTGTTTGCTGCTTTGTTACTTGTAAAAGCTCAAATCTTGGAAATATGTAGGAAATAGCCCATACCTCAACTGAGCTGAACGCATCAGCGCATGGGTTCAATATTGTGAAAGACATGGTAGGGGAATCGTTGGACGCGGGGCCTCTTGAAAACAAATACAATTAAGGATGTATTTATGCAGAATGTAAGGAAAGTACGTAATTCTATTAAAGCTTTATTTGAATCTTTATTGAAATCATATATCCATCCAGATTAGCTGTTGTTTGAGCACCAACTGACGGTAAATTTAAACGATACAAAGCTGAATTTTCTCAGGTAACCACAGAATCAAGTTGTTATGACACAGTATGCATTTTGCTGTAGAGGGAGTACTTTTGTTTTTTAACACCCTGTATATGTATTGTCTTGCATTTATTTCCACTCATTTTCTGGGTCAAATTAAAATTTTAAATATGAATGAGCTCTTTTCTTAACACAATGGAGATTCTGACTTCAGACCTGTGTTTTAATGTTCGCGATGTAATTGCAAATTGTTCTACTGTCTTTATCTATTGCGTATAAGGTTCATCCGCAATTTGATCTTTTCTTACAAAAGAAAGACGCAACGGTCGCGATATAAGATAATTATTCAAGACAAACATTCCTTCAGAACACCAGTCGTAATTCAGAGTTAGTGCGTTTATTTGTACTTTTAGTGTTAATGACATTATATGTGCATTACCTGCTATGAAAAAAGATTACAGTAATAAAAGACGTTGTTAATCTCTTAATCAAGTAATGCGCATTCAGCTCAAGTTCAACAATAGTGAAAATTGTAAATCAAACAGAATCGGCAAGGACCCCCCGTACGCTTAGCAAACGAACTATCCTTTGGAAAATAGGTCGTCCTAAATAATTAGAACAAGAACAACACTGAACGACAACCATGATAATGTCGTAAATTATTTGATGGAAATGATATGGGACAGTGGCAAACAACAGTATTTGACTGATCTGAAAAGTAATTGCGTTAACCCCTGAAGATAGGACGAATTCTCAAAAACCCATAATTCAATTTAGTAATCCAATTTCTTGTAAGTAGTTTGTTGTACAGTCAATTTGTGGTAATGTTGGTTTCAAGAATTGCCTCTGTAAACGGGCATATCCCCAGGTCCGTAGCCAGCTTTTTCCATGGGGGGGTCACTTCTTAAAAGGGTTCACTTTTGACAATTTTGGTCCAAAAAATGGCCAAAATCACTAGAAAAAAGTGCTCAGAATGCTGAAAAACTGATTTTGAAAGAATTTTTGGCTGGGGGAGAATACTGTAGTATCGACGTTTTGAAAAATCATCAAGAAGGCCCTCTCTCTGTGAACTACCAAAAGGACGCATGGTACATAGAGCATGCCAAAACACATATAGTCTAAATTGTTTACAATGCATGTTGACAACCTGAAGGAGTTACCCTTGATCCCCATTGGCTTAACACGCCCTCTGACTATCTTTGGAAAGAGGATGATAGTTTGTGGGGAATCGGCCTAAAATCGGAATTGAGATTTTTATAAATGTGAAACTACACTGTGTGTCAGAGTCCAAAACTTTAATTGATGAAGCTCTCTTTTAAAATGAAAATGAAAATATTGTAAGGCAAATTTGGGTTTGGCAAAAGTAAAGTTTTGTAAGTACAGGGTGACCCAAAAAAATGCAACCCTCCATTTCTTCAATATTTTTCTTGCTCTGAAATTTGGCACACACGGACTTCATTCAATGTGGGATCCTCTGGCAAAGTTTCAATAATCAGAGTCTTATATTGATAGAGTTATGGTCGTTCCAAAATATGCTCCAAATGTCGTCCATTTCCAATGTTAGGTTTTCGGAAGAATCACATTCCCTTCTTTCTGAACATGTAAACTCAAGAAATAATGTGTTCTGGGATCACAAATTCAAGATGAAGTGCTTCAAAGGCCCCTTCATCCTGTTAAATGCACAGCTTGGGCTGCCAATTTCCAAACATGAAATCATCAGCCCCTTTTGGTTTGAGGTTGATAATGGCAACACTGTTACTGTTAATATGGCGTCCATTTCGACCTGCAACCGGCACCGGTACTTGTGCACCATGGTGCACCGGAAGTGACGTCAAAGGTCACGTGCACCGGAAGTAACGTCATAGGTCACGTGCACCGGAAGTGACGTCATAGGTCACATGGTTACTGATATAACTGGTCAAAGGTTACTGATAATTGATAAGAGAGAGATAATAAACTGATAAGACAGTGGTAAAGATAACTACCATGGTTTCTGATATAACTGAACAAGTCACATGGTTACTGATATAACTGGTCAAAGGTTACTGATAAGAGAGAGATAATAAACTGATAACACACTGAAAAAGATGGTCAAAGGTTACTG